GGAACGTTGGGTGAAGTTAAAAGCGGATCTTTTTATTTATATCAAAATGTTACATATAATGACCGAGGAAGTAATCATTTTTCATGACTGAAATGACCTTTTGGACTGGTACTGATGTAGCATGAGTATTTTCTGACAATGTTGGACTAGGCGAAACGTTTCACAATACATGTACTTATACTTTTTATATTATTAGATATCTATCGATAGGTAAATAATTTGGAATGTCTTTTGATTATATGACGAGAAATAGAAGTCCCAATTGATTGTCCGAGAATGATTGCTGACAGTCAGCATTTTTTGTATGGCGGTGTTACATTTCAATAAACTCTCCGGAGAAGTCTCACATTCATTCTCGGACATTCAATTGTAGAATGTCTCTTTTAAAAATTGATGGGAAATTGTTAACTCCAAAACCAAACGATCAACTAGTCCAATTTAGTAGTTTTGAAATCCAATTGGTTTGATCTGGGTCATTACAGAGTGCTTATTTTTTCTTCTACCGAACACTACCACTGCCAACGGAATTTGATTAACACTTAGCAATACTGTGCAATCCAAGTAATTTAATTCAATATGGAATGATCAATCTAAAGCTCTAGATGCCACGAACACAGAGTTTACGTTTGTCAAAGAAGAAATTTATTAATGTCTCGCAATGATATGAAATAAATCATTCAACCTTCATCCTACTGTATAAATGAAGTAGATATATTCGGTGTTGGTGTTCATTTTTAGTCTCGACTCTCGACGAATGTGTACAATTAGATTCCTAGACATATTATGAGTTAAAAAAAATTGCCATCATCACAATCACTTTTCCATAAAACAAATGAAAGTGAATAAACTAATCAACTGATCATTTCGAAAAAATATCGAAACACAACCGAACACATCGATGTGTTCAAAGGAATGTAAACAAGCGATGTGTGATAAACACATAATCGTCAACTCAGATATTTTGCTTTGAATGCGATCCTTCTTTTGGACATTAATACCTTCAAACACATAATTTTAATTGCACATAAAATGGTCTTATTTTTTTTTTATTATGCATGGTGTGTCCAAAATGTTTTACTATTCATGTGTTGACTGGCATCGGAGTTTTTTGTTGTGTTAAAAATGTGCACATTAATCACACTATGTAGCGGTTCTATTCGCACATAGTACCTACAGAGTCCACTAGAACCTGACTCACTAATAATCATTTGGCACATAAAATTTATCATACAAATACGCATATTTAAATTGGGTTGAATAACATCAGTGATTGAAATCGGTTCAATTTATGTCCATTGGACAATTGTCATAATACACAATTAAAATCCATATGAAATAAATGGAAATAAATGTGGATAATACGTCGTTTCATTTGAAAATATTTTAATTCTCGTATGATATCACGAGATGATTGTACGATCTAATGTGGTACACTTAGTAAATATAGACGGACTATTATTCTTAAATAAGAATGAGACTAATTAATTTTTCAAACAATGAATTCTCCCTATTAACTCTAACACTGTTACTCTTTTTTTAAGAAAAAGAAATATTTCAAGATCAATTTAGCGAGTGACAAATCTATTCATGCCGTTGTTTGCGTCACACACATGTCCAGAACAACAAGATCGAGTGTTTTTCAAACGGAGTTGCGAAATTATGTGGAAATGTGCGAAAAAAGAAACTAAATCCAAGAAATTTCAGAAGAAATGTGATAATTGTTGAATCATTTCATTAAATTGTACAATACGATATGGTCGAAAACATTCGCTGGAATTATGACACACACACAAACTGTGTTACGTTACAAACATTCACTTTCTTTCTTATTTCATTTCATTTACAACGAAAATGAATCATATCGGTCCCTCTTTTAGTACGCAACTCATTGCCTTTAAACTCAAGTATGTTTCTATGAATTTGGTTTTTTTTTTCTCTTTACAATCTTTGTAGTTGACATTTTATTGTGGAAGTAAAACTTGTGAATAAAAAAAATCTTTTTGATAATTTTTGTTCGAGTTAGAATTGAAAAAAAAAGAAAAAAAAATCTAATTTCAATTTAAATTCTACCCTTTTTGTTTTCACACTAAAACCATGTGTGTGTGGCTACAGGGCTCTGAATATCTTTTTAGTGTTAAAATACGCAACTTGGATACCAAAGAAATTGAGATTAACATTTCTCCTTGCGCATTGTGTTTGCAATATTTTCGAGAATCTTTAAGTTATATTCATTATTTGATATTTCATTGAATTGGATTTGTGTTTGTTCAAGATGTCGGGCATATCGTCTATCATGTAAAACGCAGACACCCAAGATCACTTGGTGAAATGGAAAAAAATGAAAAGAAGCACGCACGATAAAACAAACCAAAAAAAACCGTTATCAGTGGATTCGTTTCATTTACCGCTAAAAACAACAACATTAAACGATTAGTTGAAGACGAAATAAACAAGATGAAAACAATGGATAGGAGTTATTGGCCGACTTGAATGATTTCATAGTGCAAACGTATATTTGTTAACACATTGTATGGCCTTGAATCCATGACCTTGTACAATGTATTTGTGCAAATGCAATGTAATATTATTTAAGTCACTGCGTCAATGCAATGCACTCGAAACAATGGCGGGAATTCAAATGGCAGTGGATTGGGTTTAAGCGCCTCACATACAGGGCGCCGCACTTATGTGTGCAAATATATATCCAATCGACTATTTATTAAATAGTCTTTGTTTTCATTCCACATACTTGAATCATTTCAACTCCTTTCTTCTCGATATTTCTGCTGCGTAATTGAATTGATGCGCCACACACAGACACAAGAGACACGCTCAACGGCTATTATTTGTTTAGTTTGAATAGTGTCGCGAAGAGTGAGATGAAATAAGAACAAGAAGAAAAAAATGATGCGACTCTGAATGAGTCGTCCGATATACGATTAGTTTGGAATTCAATTCATTTTGAAATTGAAATTGTGGGGCCCTCTGTTGAATATATTCGCATACTAGATGCACAGTTACACCGCATCATTTCACATGTTTAGAGAAAGAGCTCAGAGTTTCATGTTATTCATCAAATTTAAGGCACATGTCTATTGAATATCATTGTGTATATACTAAATTGTATTATAAACAACAATTAAATGTTAAATTAATCAAATTTAAGTATTCTCTCTCTCTCTTTTTATGTTGTGTGTATGTGTTTGTTTTTTTTTTCTGTTAAAAAGGCACGTTTCGTGTGTCATTTCTAAGGCTTGATTTGTCGTCCGTTAGTTGTGAATAAAAACTTATAATTACAACAATGTATGTCTGGCGACACAAACAAGACAGAGATAGAATGAAATTTGTTTTCGAATCAAATGGCGACGTGATTTGTTTTTGTGGCCACAATGATACTGTTGCTGTGCAGCCTGACATCCATCATCATTATTTATTAATTCGTTTAACTTGGAAATACGTTCATACATTCATCGATGCCGACAGGCTAAATCAAAAGGCGGAAAAATTATGAGCGCGCGCGATACACACACGCTCATAGAATACATACTCCTTAGTTGTTTTTTTATTAAACTATATGAGTTTGAACAATCTGATGTGGATATTTTGTTTTAAATTGAAACCATAGAACAGTAATAGACAATGTACACGCGCTCCTTTTTTTAAATAGAAAAAATCGGATTTTGTGATATGTTTAAAAAGTCTAATACGTCAAAAGAGTGACGTACAAATTGCACTACAAATTGATTGTGGATATATTTATCATTGTTTGAGGGACAAACGAGTATTAAAATCAATATGTAATTATTTATAATTGTTTTGTATTGGCCACTGCAAACTATCCAAATTTCTGCATTTTTATTGGTTTGTACGATGTATTCGTTTCAATTTGTTGAAGCATATTTTATAGAGTCGAACATATTGAGTGTTGTTGTTTTTTTCTTCGTTGAATATGGGGAATCACGATTATAGCTTAATCTACGTCGACGTTTATCTCATATATGAAAGCATATATGCACCACAAAAAAAATTGATAATCAAATGCTACATAAACGCCGCAAAATTTGGAGATGTTTTTTAATAAATTTGCTACTTTGATTCGAACACAATACAATAGTCGGTCACAACACGATTGCTATTTGGAATATATACAAATACAATTTGGCACAAAACCGACTGATATTTGTCATTTGATCACACATTCGAACGAATCATTTATTTCTATATCACAGCACTCGTTTCGTTTGTTTATGTTTTCATTGTTGGGATGTAATGCGAAACGATTAGAAATCGCAGAAATTTTTATTATCATTTTGAGTACACAAGGCATAAGAGTTGATATACAAAGAAGAAGAAGAAATACGATTAAACGAATAAATGACAAAGTGATTCATTCGTCAATCGATTTCCCACATTTGAAGGGCCTCTTCCATAAGACACGAAAAAAAAGTTCAACGTTATTTATCACTTCGCATCGTTCATAATAAAATGATAAAAGAACAATAAAGTCTATCCAAAATTTACAAACAAAACAAATGTTATTTTTTAGAATGAACACCGAAAACTGGGAACTGATTTGCATTCGATACTTGACCGCTTAGGAATCTTATTAAAAAAATTTTAACATAGAAATGACACGATTTTCGGTCGCCAGCACATTGTCCGAAAACGAAAGGTTTTATCAAAAAAATCGTGGCAATTTTTCATCAACCAAATAGATGTTTTGTAAGAATTTTTTATTTTTATTTTTACTTACTTCAGATGGTGAAAGAGATGACATCGTTGACGCCATTTTGAAAAACAACTGACGTTTTCAATAGTTTTGTTTTGTTTCGATACTGCTTTTGAATGGCAATGTGTGCATGTGTATTTCGAATTGAAATTTCATACTAAACAAACTAGTTGACGTGTTAGTATTTGATTATGATTAGGATGGATTGAAATTTATCTACTTTTTTATTAACTCTTTCTTTTTGTATTCGCCATTAAAAATATGTTTGATATTCGATATAAAGCAAAATCGTAGATTGAATTTTATTTTAAACGAATAAAATTTGGTTTTTACTCCACACTACGGTCAATATTTTCATTTAAAATAAAAACAAAACCAAATGTCATCCAACCTATACTCTCCGCTGTCATATGGTGCCTTTCTATGTGTTGGTGAATGTATGTCAAATATATTGGTTTTTGTTTTTTTTTTGTACATAGCCTACAATTTGTTATTGTCTTACAATTTAAATATGGAATTTATTTCGTTGAATTATATTTTTGCGTTTTTCTCTTTGGATATCATTTGAATCTCTTTTTGATGGATTTTTGTTTGAAAAATCGGAGATTTATAGTTTGCTACGGTGCATTTCTCCAAATAGATGAACTGCATAGGCTGCGGTGCCGGGACTTGTTGTCACCTGAAAAAAATAGTAATAATAATCATATTCGATGTCTAAATGCTGTTGTGTGATTATTTACGCCATAGCCGCCGTGTCCATAGTTGTGAATAACTCGTAGTGGTTGTCCGAATGAATCCTTCAGCAATTCATGTTCGACCCTCACAGAACTACGATATGGCCGCAATCCAACTGCTTCACGAACAACGGTTGCTTTGGCCAAACTGGGCACCAATGCTTCGCAACGTTCACGTATCGAAAGTGAATCGTATTTATCAATTTTCATGTTATAACTTTCATAACTTCTTGTTCCGCCCAACGTGACAATACCACCAAAACCGGGCAGAATATATGTATCGTAGTCGGCATAAAAAGCTGTTTTCACCCATGGTGCACGGACTTTGATTATTTGACCGCGAATCGGCACCACTTTAACATCATTGCATAACTTTTGTGCGCCCAAGCCAGTGCAGTTAAAAACTGCATCATATTTTTTACCATTGAATTCGGTCAATTTTGTGATTTGCTTCTGTACAACTTTTCCATTATTTTGCTCGAATCTGTGAAAAGAAATCTCATTTGGTTTTTAATATTGACGAATAATTAAATAAAAAACACACTTTCTTTGCGCCCATGACTGCCAGAGTCGGCACTCTGTCAAAACTGTGGTGAAAAATGAACCATATTTCCAATCACCTGGACAAATGCTTAATTCTTCTTCAGTACATGGTCGGTATAGTGGTAATAAGCCTTCTAGAAAATGATTTCGAACGATCGATGGGTCGGTGCTCGAAAAAACGTATGCCGATAATTGCGTGACACCCGACAACGAAGCATCCTCTCTTAGACGAAGTTTGTCCCAATATGCATACGAATCATTCATCCATTTTCTGGTCCATTGGAATAAACAAAAAATATAAAGATAGTAAAGCGACAAATGATCAGCAACATAAATGTTTGATAAAAAATCTCTATGAAGGTTTATCCGTTTAATAATGAATCATTTGCATGGTTAAATAATTATTGATTTCTTTGATGAGTGTGTATTTTAACTATAGACGTGATAACATTGAAATCAAATTAAGTCGGCTAGGCACTGGATAATTTACTACCTTAGATAGTCTATATTTAGCGACGCAACGAATTCGTATAGTCATATTGATGCCGCTGTTTGAATAATGTGAAGAATTAAAATTGGTGCGAACCTTGTAACTGTCTCGTTTGGCCCGGAGAAACTGGGTCCCGGTCGAAAAATGCCAGCAGCTACATCACTCGTTGTATCTCGACCAAATTTTTCGGCGATCAAACTGACTTTTGAATTTGGATATTTATTCTGTACCTCCAAAGCCGTCGATAGACCGCAAACACCTGCACCCAATACCGCGAAACTCATCTCTGATTCAAAATGCTTAATTCCTTTATATTTTGTAGAACGTTTTGCGCTTTCAATATACGATTAAATACTCCTTTTCCAATACAAATTGTATTAGGTTGTGTATGGTTTGGAGTTTTATTTTGATTGTCATAGACTGACACAGCTGCATGTAAGCGCATATAACTTTTTGACATTTTGTAATGCTGAAAATAGATTGCATTAGAGATAAGATAAGATAAACATATAAATAATACATTGAACTATGAAGCCAATGGCTTTTTTCACGAGCTAAATCGCTTCAAGTTGAATACAACGCACACATACACATGTATACCGAGTTTATTGTTCATTGTCTGTTATTAATGTATACATACTATGTGCTACTGTTATACTACTATCGTGTAGTGTGTCGATGCTACAAAAGATGCTTTAAACTTTTGATCGAATCATTCACACAAATCAACTAATTAAATCGATAACAATTTAATGGAGACAAAGAAAACTTTCCGCTTGCTTACAATGTTTCTCAAGTGAATTTTGTTGTCAATTGCAAATATCCGTTGAAATTAAATATTTGAAATACATGGTAGACGCGTGTTGCATTTTTCCGTCTGTTTTTCGTACAATATTAATATTTAACGGAGTGTGACGACATTTTATTTTCATTTATGCATTTACACTTTTATTGATACCAATTTCGAACTATTATGTTAATGGAAATTTTTCACAAACATGTCGGATAAAATTAAAATCATTTTTAACTACCTTTGGCTGACACTTTCCAGTTTGGTCACGGTGTGTGCAGTATATGATTGATATTGCGTATGAATACTTCTCATTACGATTCGGTTCATTGATTTAAATAATCGATTAGTGTGCCATCTTTTCATTTTCAATTAGAATGTAAGCTTCCATTTATTATAATATTGAATTTCACCGTAGCTCTGCTGGATGAACGCCGGAACACTTCCCGAAAAGACTTTTTTTGGCATTCCTGCCGTATAAAAATATCACACGAAAGATGTTCCTTAATAAAAAAAAAACTCAATAATTTGGTAAATGAAAGGGAAAAAAACTGTCCAAAATGTGGTTTCATTGAAATAATATTTTATTTATCACACTAAAATGTATAAATCGAATTTTCGGTCTTTTTTTGTTTATATGTTGTTGTATACGATTTTCATTTATTTAATAAATCAGGTTTGTTTTTATCTCATTTATGTACATGAAAGTTGTGTTTTAGGGATTTTTTTTCTCACTTTGATGAAGATTATGACCCTTGGTGTTTTTCAATGAATCAAGGAAAAACACGCACAACAATGACATTTTCTATATTTCGAAATTATTATTGATTGTGTTTTTCTTACTTTTTAAAATGCCGAATTAATGGGTTTTCTAGGCACTGTACAATGTCACAAAAATGTTAAATAATGTGTAAAAAAATGTGTCCCAATGCAAATAAAGATTTCATTTTATCAAGGTATGTTTGATGGTTTTTTTTTTGTTATAAAATTTGCGTCTCTCTTTTCAGTTCAAGGAAGTAAAGTATTTTATTTGTTACAATATGGGTCAGACCTTTTCAATGTGATTTTTAAGTTAGTAATAAGCGTTTGGAATTATATAAAATTACACATTTTCGTGCAAACATTAATTGGAAACCAAAAAAAAAATAGATAGAATCATGTTAGGGGGTTGGTGCTTCTTTCATTACAGTGCTGAGCATAGTGACAAACATTCATCAAATTTTACCAGCAACCGATAAATAATGCTAAAAAAAGACAGTACTGCACGTAATCATTTTATCTTCATCTTATTCGTGTTCTTTTTTAATTTGTACAGAGCGATATCGATTGATCAATATATATCGGCAAAATGTAATGCTCACTTCAATTGAAGCGTTGTCATAATCGTCTCAACAATAATAATCGATTCGAATTTGCATTAAAATAACATTCATTTGATGCGGTTCTCTTTGTTTTGGATTGGGTTGTTCAAATAGACTTTTTTTTCTAGTGTAATATGGTTCAGTTTTATTTGATTCAATATTTATTTATTTATTTTTGTTGTAGTTTTTTTTATTCATTTTGTTTATTGTTTGCTTTCATTTCTCTTTGCAATTTACCTAAATTTTTAACGAATCAACTATAATAATATGAGTGTTATGGTTTGTATTTATCTCATTCAATTAATAAATCACTACTCTTGAGTTCAATATTTGTTTTTCCATTAACTCATTTTCTTCAGCCACGTAACTTTGCTTAATTTTGGTTTGGTTTTTGTTGTTGTTGTTTAATTTATTGTGTATATGTGTGTATGTGTATTTTTTTAATTTTTTTTCTTTAAATATGGGTATGGGGATGTTAAATCTATTATTACACGAGAGGATGATGGCTTTGACATAATTTTTTTTTTGTATTTTGCTATAACTATCATAATTTAGATTTTGTTGTTTGTTGTATTTTTTAAAAATTATAATATCATAAATTTTAAAATTAATTTTTTTTAAAAAACAAATCGACTAAAATGATTAACAGAATTGAACTCTTTTTTTTCTCTTCCTTAAAAAGAATTTAAGTCAGTTTTGGTGGAACTTTTACAATTTGATAAGCAAATTTATTTCTTACTCTTAATTTTGTAGTTGATGTGTTGCGCTGATTTTAGCATTGAGTAGAGAGAAAAAGGGGGAAAAATAGAAGAATCGACCGAAATGCATGCGTTCATTTCGATCAATATGTACTGAACAATTCGAAAACAATGTTTTCATTTTCCAACAGAAAAACAATAATTATTATTCATGATTACATCGAAATTACTGTGAATTTATTCACTGGCTTTGTGTTGCAAGGATTTTTTTTCTTTGTTCCTGTTTTATTTGTAAATGTTGTTGTTTCTCTTTTTTCTTTCGATTTTTTTTTTCTTATGTTAATCAAAGGTGAAATATTTTGTGAATATACGTATTTTCTTATTTCGGATTTCATTTTCGATAATTTTTGTGTGTGTGTGTGTGTGTTGGAGTTTTTTTGTTGTTGCTTTTAGTTTCGTTCTCATTTCAATTGCTTATTAAAGTGGATGTCACGCAAACACGTAAGTTAAAGAAAAACTATATCCGAAATGGATTGCATATTAGAAAAAAAATCCAAATTCAAATTGGTCGACTACATGGAATATACACAAATTTTCATAATGTTGTGCCGTTTGAATGCCAAGTTAATAAACATTCGAACTCTGAATAGAGAACCAATGCCTGCACCTGTGAATCAATATATATTCACTGTCTCTCAACTTGGATAACCGGAAAAATGAATTATGGAGAAAAGAATGAAAGAACGAAAGAAAGAAAAAAACACTAATATGAATAATAATAAAAGATTAATAGTAATAATAAATTACGTTAAATTACGTGATTTGATATGACAGTGTGGGCTGATTATTTGGGCGTCAATTTAATATTAACATTAGTATGATGCACTGTGTGTATAAGTGTTTATAATAAAATTGATCTGGTGGTTTTTTTTTTGTTTGTTAATTTTAATTAAAATGTTTTTAATGCCACGTTGCTCACAAACAGCTCACGGTGAATTGAATTTATTGATTCTAATATCTTACTTTGTGTTGAATGTGCATTTGCATTCGCATTTACAATTTCAATGTTTGTGTGTGTATTTTTTTTTATTCTTCATCTCTTGTCTCTTTTCGTGTAAGTCGTTTTCAGGCGACAATTTTCAAATCTTTTCTCTCGCTCTATTCCACTCTCTTTACTAAAAAAAACTATAATCAAATAAAATCAAAACAGGAGTGAAAATTCAAATCAAGCAGGAAGTGAGTTATTATCAGATAATTTTGGTTTGTCTCGTCGATTAATTCGTTCGTCATTTTTTTAAGTTATTTTGTTTGTTTTTCATTTAAATAATGTGTTTTTTTTTTCTTGTTTAAATATTGTTATCGTCTTAACGGATGATCGTTTAAATCACACTGAGGCATAGATTATACAATTATTTCGCTGGGAATGGACAAGTCCAACTAACAACATGACTAATCGATGAAATCAACAGAGAGTTATACTCGCACACGAGTGTTTCATTATTTTACTTTATTTTGTGTTATTTTTATTTTGTTGTTGCTTTTGCTTTAAGCAGTGTTCTAACTGATTTTTAACCAATCATGTTCCAAGCACTGAGCGGCCGTGGCACGCTTATCTGGATCGAATTCAAGCATTGGTCGTAGAAAATCGGCAAATTGTGTTGCATCTTCCACTGACCATTCATACTTTTGAATCAGCACTTCATCCAATCCCCATGGTTTTAAACCGGTTATATGCCGTAGTTCACCTTTTTTATTGAACACAAAATGTGACAATGTGCCTGACAATATGATCTTTTTTGGAATTGGTCCCAGCAATTCGATAATATGCGCGATATGATCTTCATCACGGCAATAATTTTCACCCGAATGCGGTTCGAATAAGTAGTCACCGGTAGCCAATTCAAATGCCATACACGCTGTACTCCAAATATCAGCTGATACATTATACGATGCACCAAGAATCACTTCCAATGAACGATATTGTCGCGTTTGAATGTCTTCGGTGAAATGCTTGTGCACCCAACACGCATTTCCTAAATCGGCAATTTTCACTTCAATATCACACACCTCAAATGCTGGATCTTTGGGCGGCACCGACAATTTCTTATTTATTGCATTGTTATCTTCAATTTTTAATTTGCCACCAATGCCGCAGCCACCTGCACCGCCACCACTACCAATACCAACACCAACACCAACAAAACTGCCATTGCTGCCATTTTTCGAACTTCGATTTGAGGCGATTGGTGATGTTTTTGTTGTATTTGATTTGCTTGATTTTGCATTACCCTCGCTACAATTCTCATTGGACTTTGAAGAGCTATCCTTACTTTTATCCTCCGATTCGTCATCTTGACCTTTGCTTAACTTTTTGCTAGTCTGAAATGGTTAATGCCATTGCAGCGAAACAAAAGAGAAAGTGAAAACGTGAAACCATAAATGAAATGAAATGAAATCAAAGACAACCAATTTTTTTATTTTCGTATTATTTACCTCAAACTCTGAGTCAGATTTTGATGAGATTCCATTAACTAAACCAGTCGTTGCGGATGTAACGCTCTCCACAGAGTCATCATTATTGCTAATTTCTGGTTCGTCGGGTGTATTGTCATCGTCATCATCGGCAGTGCCATTTTCACCATCGCCATTTGTGTTGTCTTCGGTTTTTTCATTCAACGATTCGAGCTGCTGAATATGTTCCAACTGCTTTTTAATGAGTTCGGATTGTCGTTTGGCTTTCTTCTTCAATTTTTTCTTCTTATTTTTGCTCATTTTGGATGTGATGGGTTGCTCTTGAAACTCTTTTGGTGCTGTGCTAATCAATGAATATGGAAGCTTAAGACCTGCGACAGGGAGGGGAGGGAAAAACCACAGAATATAAAAATAATGAAGAAAAAAAATCAAAGGAAAGGAAAGGAAAGGATATCCACCCTTCCGTAATGGAATTTTAATTTTTAAGTGATTATAGTTTGTTACATACCCATTGCATGCAATTCAGTTGCTTCGCATGCCAACTTCCTGATGTATCCATCGTCAACGCAAATGAGAACATTTTCGGGCTTAATGTCCGTATGAATGATTTGACACTCGGTGTGCAAATAGTCAAGACCCTCAAGCACTTGTCTGATTATTGACTTCACATTCGGCAATGGTATACCACGATAATTTGATTTTAAAATAAGCTTAAGTAAATTGTGGCCTAATACTTCGAACACCATGCAAACATGTGTACCATTGACGCCCGATATTTTAAAATCGTTAAGCAATTGCACAGTTTTGTTGCGTCGAGGATTTGTCGGATCACTATCACGCACAGCTTTCAATATTTTAATCTCATCTTTTGCCGTTTCGGTGAAATGATGAGCGGATTTAACGATCTTAAGCGCTACATAACGTTTATCTTCCAAATCCCAGCACAGCCATACCGTTGAAAAGTGACCCCAGCCCAATTTCCGTGTTACATGGTAACGATTCAAGAATAGATCGCCAATTTTAACTGGATGATAGCCACCTTTACAATAATCCTCACGGTTCTCCTGTTCCTCATCTTCGCTGGTATACAAATCCTCGTGCTCGCCTATCGTTTCATTGGAAGAGCTATTCGATGGATCGAGACTTTTCACTTCGGGTTGCTGCAATTGTGGCTCCTGATGATGATTGACAGTGGAATACGTGATTTCTTTGCCTAATAGTGAATTTATGTTTTCAATATTATTGAGAATGCTGTTCGCAATATTTGTTATGCCATTGTCAATTGTTTCATCGTGCACACTATTCACGCTATCATTCACATTCGAATCGAACATATCTTTTTCATTGTCGGTCAGCGGTGTTGTTGTTGTTGCTGATATTACGGTATTATTAGCGGTGGCAATCGTATTTGTGGTCACTGGTACGGTGGTGGCAACATTCCGACCCTTCTTCTTATTGGCCTTATGACGCTTTTTCTTTGCTTGTATCACTTGCACACGTCTGTTTATATCTTTTTTTGCATTCATATTTCGTTTATGATGGTCGACTTAAGCTGAATTCCACCCTTTGTTTCCGTTGTGCTCGTCTTTCGCAGATAATATTCTTCTTCCGTCAAAATATCAACCTGTGCGTACCACTGCAATGTTATTTTATTTTTTACTTTAACTTCATTTATAAAAGAAACCACTAACAAACAGAGTTCGATGTGTAAGTTCTTTGTAATTTTCCGTTTCGGTTCTTTTAAAATTCTAATTCACGCTAACAGATTCTAATTTCACGATGTTGGATAAAATATGATTCTTACATTGATTCACTCAGCTCCAATTTACACGATGATCTACGATGATTGATTCCCTTTGGATTTTTTTTCTCTTCCTCTGTATAGTGTTTCGTGTTTGTCGTGTACAAAATTCGCGCACGCAAATCAAGCAATGAAAATTTAATTAAAAAAAAGAGAAATGAACAGCCTCGATTTTCTTCTATTTCGGTTTTCCGTGTAGTCGTTATTTATTCTAGATCCTTTTATAATTTCTTTTTTCTCTCGCTCTTGTTGACTTGTTTGAGTATGGCTACGATGAACGACGAACACGATGAAAAAAATAACAAAATGATGTCTATGTAAAGAGCAATGAAAAAAGGCTACTACCTTTGCGGCGAATTCGTTTAACTTGATTTCTGTTAAACGGGCAACATACGAAGAACAGCGAACGTGTGAACGAGACTTGCAATCGCGCAAACACACTGTATTTCCTCAAATGTGCGTTGAACAAATGAAGAAACATCCAGAAACTGACATGTTTAATCATCAATAAACGTTTTGATTATGAATTATTTATTTCATTTATGTGTGTAATAAATCTACTTTAATCATATTACTCATGTCAAATTAAATCATTTTTTTCTCGATTGAAAATTTGCTTTAAAAATATTGCCGGAACTTTTAAATAATAAACATTCGAAATGGCCATTCCAATGTGAATCAACCGCAATCAATTTATGACATTTGTAGAAAAAATAATCGAAGTTGTGAAATGCATGCGACTTTGAAATTTTTCCGAATAAACGAAATCTTTTAGAACATTTTCAGTGAAAATGAATCGTGTTTCGAAGCTTTCGTTTACGGGATTTAGTCGATATCTTTTGAGGTGAGTCAAATCTACTTATTAAATAAAATATCAACTGATATCGTCCAATCAGTTCATTGCAAATATATCGAGCGGAGATATCTGTCATTCATCAATTTTATATTATTATTATTTTTGGTCATTCATCAATTAATCGATGAAAAAAAAAAACAAATCTCTAATTTAATTTCAGCGTAAAAAATGTGCGAAATGTTGTGCCAGTTCGATATTTTAAAAAGAAAAGCGAAAGCGATGCTATAAAAAGCGATAAACCGATGGACTTTTTTGGCACATCAGCTGAGAGAGTTCGCGTTACACCAGCTCCACCCGAAAGACCAAAATATTCAGCAGAAATTGTGACGATCAGTCTGGCTAGTTTTCTAGTGTATTTCTGCATTTTGCGAGAAGAAAATGATATCGATGAAGCGCTCGGTCGGGATTTATACGATTATTTCGGCGAGGAAGGATCTCGATTGAAAAAAGCATACGATTATAATATTGAACATGGATTACCAACCGCTGAAATTCTCGATCGATTACGTGAAATTGGCGCACCAGTGCCACCACGCAAATAGATTTTCCACAAATCCTTAGAATTTATATAAAAAACAAAGAAATGTGAAGGTGAAGAGAAAAATGCACATATTGTAAAGCAAACAAATTTCAATAAAAGCGTTTAGTAATAAAGTAAAAATTATTTCGTTATAAACATCGATTTTCATTTAAAAATGAACTTCTTTCTTTTCCAAAGTCATTGTTGAAGCTTTTGAAATTTGGCGGAAATTTTCTTTAACCCGTCTAGCATATTGAGTTTGATTTGAAAATCATATTTCGTTTGAGATAGGTTTTGTATCGATTTTACAGTTTTTGATTCACATATGAATCTGGTCACACCAAAAAAAATTGTGGCGAATTGGTCAAGACATCAATCCATCTATTCTTCATTGAATTTCAACGACAAGAACACAAAACATACATACACATACACGCACAGACGTGTAGACTCACACAAAGACTGCACAGCAACATGTTCACCAATCGAATGGATTGCAAATGAACGTACAACAAACGGATTAGCCAGTGTTGAACAGAAAAAAGAGTATATATATATTTATATATCGGAATAGCGTACGACTGGTGGCGGCCATTTTGGTATTTTCGTTCGTGTATCGTACGTTTCGTTCGCGCATCAGAAATAATTTCATCATATATTCTGTCGTCGGTAGGTAAGTCAAGTCAATTCGTTGTTCGGCATATATATATGTACATATATATTTATTGTGTGTACGGTGTGTTGGTGTACGCACACATACAGTGAATTGGAAAGTTTTTCGGTTTTATTGTTTTTGTTTGTATCGAATTGTAGCACTCGCTCGTGCGATACATTCTCGTCTATGCACTATTATGATTCGTAACAATCAAGCAAGCAGCAGTGTACAACATATAGTCTCGTAGTCCAGAGAAGAGAAAAAAGAAGTATTTATATATTATTATTACTATTATTATTTTTGTACGATTTGTTCGCTCTTCATCAATTCTTCTGTGTTTCGTTGTGATCTTTTCAAACACAGAGAATAGTAAAGTAAACCAATAGCAAAAAAATGAAGAATCAGTGAGGAGTTTCGGGAAAAAAAAAGAGAAAAAGCGAAGAATTCAATTATTTTTTTTTTTTTTTATTGTATACAACACAAAGTTTAAAACAAAGCAAAATTTAGTGAACATTTTCAAAATAAAATCAAAAGAAAGGCACCAAATGTGAATTTTCAAACAAATAAAAATAAAATAAATCGAAAGCGCCGAAAAAAACAAATATCGCGCTGCATCCCATACAAAAAACAGCGCACTCATTTGAATTTGTTTTCAAATATTTCTGTTTTGTAGATCCTAAACCTTTTTCGTGTGCGCCAAGAATTTTTCACACTCACAAGCGGTATTCAGATGAAATCTCAATAAAAAAAGAAACATTTTCCAACGATTTCCATCGCACGGCAAATGCAATGTAATTTTTAAACACGTTGATTGTGAAAACTTTGAATTGTATGGGAAACCCATAAAGGAAAAAATATGTAAGTACAGCCACCAATTCGTATGCAATACAGTTTTTGATATGATACAAAAGATTTCACAACAAAAAAATTTAGCCGCAATTTTTTCGATCCTGCGAATGATTGTATCTACCATACCCATTCGATTTTTCTTTTTTGGGCAAAGGGCCTTATTGGTTTTTTTTTGTATCATTTTATTTTAAAATTAAATCATATAAAGGTGATTTTTTTTACATCTGCATGTGTTCGGTCAAAAATTGAGAGCAAAAAATTTTTTTATTTGAATTTTTTACATTTATAATATGATACACAGGCTGGTAAAACCCACAACAGACCACCCTGTCACTTTTCATTTGAGTTTCATTACGAGCGATTACTGTACTGATTCATTCATTGTTGAATCGTTTTTGCGATAAACAATGAATGAATATATACAGAGCTACAGATTATCGATATTGAAAATCATAAACAATATTAAATGCATATCATCCTTATCCAGTTTTATGTCAATATGAAAAGAAGACGAGCATCCATACAATAAATTTGATTTGATGTTAAGTTGATTTGATGTTGTTGCACGATTTCGGCGGGAAGGTTTTTGTTTTGGTTGAAAATTTGTTTATTACAAAATAAAAACGAAATGAAGAAACGAACAACAAAAAAAAAGAAGAAGACAACAAGTCGCGAAAAATTTCCCTGTGTCTCTGTGCCGTTTACTGTGCACGGTTTGCGCGTTTCTCTCGTTTTGTTTCTATCGCATTTATCGCATACGGGCAACGCATAATTCTGCTCTCGCTCTCTGTATGTCTTTCTGTTCGAATCGTCGATCGAAATTTTTCTTCCTGTTATTCACGCGTTTTATACAGCACATCAGAGCTCGGTGTTCGCTTACTGTTTCGCATACGCGATTTATGCTTTCCTATCGTATATTTTTAAATCATATAAAATTTGATTGTTTTTTGGCCAAAACCATCGTTTTGAACAATGACGAATAAACAAATGAGCCGATCGATTCCCAGAGAAAAATTGGTAAAAAATTTTCCAAAATGGCCCAAAATAATTTTGATATGCACTAATGGTATTTATAAAATGTTCCAACTCACGATAATATGTGTGAATTGATTCGGCCCGGCCAAATACTTTCACATAACAAGAACGTTGGCTCTCGGTGCAATATATTGAAAAGAGGATTTTTAATATTTAAAGTAAAAAATAAACGATCCATTAAATTATGAGATTTCGTTTGGTTTGCGGATTATACCGCAGAGAGGCTAAAAAATGAATTGTATCCGTGCAAACAATGGCGCACCTGACGTCAGATCTCTCTAACATAGTGTAATAATTAGCGCGAATGAGCTACACGCATAGTGTAGTTGTTTAATTCAAAATTATCGTTTAAAACGTACAACAGTATGATTTCACTGTGTCGCAAATCAATACAACATCTCCATATCCCTTAAAACTCTATCTTTCTCTCTTGCCAATCCAATTTCACCGAGAATGAAAAATTATGTTTAGCATGGCAAAGATCTCATGAGAAAGTAAAACTTTTTATTATTAAAATTGAGATATAAAATAATCGCAATGGCTAGAAAATGATTTTTTTTTAATCATTCCACCTTACATAACACTCCGTTTACTGAAATAAAGAAGGAAAAAAAAAAACATTTCAGTACACAAGTTTGTTCATTACAATTTTCGTTGCGTTGCCTGATTTTGTTGCAAGAGAGCGCGACGGTATACAGTGACGACGAGAACGACATCAAACAATAAGAGAATCGCAAGCATGAACACAAACATACTCACATCGCCACCAGTACAACTACCATTATTATCACTTACACTCGTTTGAACTGTGTGTAGCTCGTAGTCGGTGTAAGCGTGAGAGCAGGCGAGAAAGATAAAGAGAGAGAAGGAAAGAGAGACAAAGAATAAAAGGTTGAGGCGCTGTACGTGTAAAAATAGTATTAGCAATTTCGTTTCTTTCTGAATGCATGGATATCGCTCTTTTTCACAATTTCAATACAAAAAACCCAATAAAGCATGGCTCAAATGAGATCTCATTGGTTTCGCATCTATTATATTCATTTATTCACAATAAATTTCTGTCCACCTCGCATTTTTTCTTAAAGCAGTGCATCATCATCCTCATCATCGCATAAAATGGACAAAGAATAATCATGTTTTGTTTTTACCTTATTCTTTGATTTAGGCGTGTAAGTCCACTTCTCGCGAACACACTCTGTAAAGAGAGATGTAAAATAAAAATCATTCTATATACATATTCATATATGAATAACAATTGTTTCGCTGGTTAAAAGAGTTGGCGCAATTCAATTCATTTTATAAAATGCGAAAAACGTTTCGTTTGATTAAATACAGGGCTCAACACGTCGTATCAACAAATACAAATAAAATAATGCGCGCGATACATATATATATATATATATGTGTGTGTGTGTGTGAGTGTGATTGATAAAAAACGCAAAGCACAAAATATATAGATAGAGAGCTGATAGAGAGAGGGGAAAACTAACGTCGGACTCTGAACACAATTTACAAACAGACGGTGAAGTTCTGTGCGGAGCTCGTATACCTCTCTCTCATACATTTATAATATTTGTTGTGAGATCACATACGAGAATTTCGTTGAATATGTGTTTGGCTGTACTTGTGCATCGTGCACATACAAAGATGAATTAGCGTTAAAGAGAAAATATTGATTTGTGAATATACCGTTCCAATGCTCAACGCTGAACAATTTTTATAAGAGTTCATAGCGATATTTTTTAGATTCTTTATATTTTGTTGTTGTTATTTGGTGTCGTTTTTTCATTATTTTCTGTATGGCTATAGCGCGCGCACTTCTCAATCACATACTACTCTCTACACATTTATGCAAAGTTTGTTTATCAATTTGTTTCAAGCATTGAACAGTTGCCATGCAATATGCACTACAGTTCTCTTTCTTACTGCAGTTTGAGCAGAGATAGAGAGAGAAGGAAGCTCGAATGATAGCGCATCGACTTGCAAAATATCGAAATGTGAATGAAAGGTGTTTCTTCGATGAAAACATTCCAGCGGTGCCATATCTAATATTTCTTTTATCGCATAAATTACTATCAAGAGCGACATTATATTTTCCCCGTGCAAAATATGCAACCCATTTTCCAGCCAAGTGCAATGCCTCCTGCGTAGCCAATACATGTTTATGTAATAAATGCTTTAGCGAATCGAATCAAATCGAAAATCGTTGTTGTCGCATTTGAAATGTATTGCAAAAAAAAATTCGCGCGCGTTCGTTCCACTTGTGCTGTTGAAATTCTGTATCGGCTCGCTACATCAGTAAGAATATACGGTTCGGATGAATTTAGTGCGTGCATGACGACGCATTCGCAAAGTCGCTTTCGCATCAACACTTTTTAACTCAATAGCAAATCGTTGTTTTCATACCAAATCAATCCCATGCTGTAAATGTGATCAATGATACGTTGTAAAACATTGAATTGACGCTTTGATTTGCGTTTTCACTCTCATTTTAAGATCACGTCAAAAACATACTCACGATACCATGATTTCACACAGACAAAACAAAGCAAGTTACAACCAACACAAAATAAACGCCAAAGGAGAGATACAAAATTGTTATTTAGAAAGTTTTTGATATGGCTGCGACGAGCGCGAATCGCAACCAAATACAGAACATAATGATATGAACACACTTTTAATGCAATATATTTAGTCGATATTTTTATATTAAATCCCTTCAATTTAGGCCAAGAATTTTCAAGTTAACTTTGTCAGAAATTTAATTTATTTTTGCGTAAAAAAATCACCGAAAAAAATCTCTCTTTTCAAAAAATGTCTTAATTAGTAAAATGTATCATATATTTTCGATGAGAAAGTTGTTATTTTCACAAAAAAAAATGTCATTGGTTAATCGTTGGTTGAATTTCTTTTGCAGTTATTGGCGTAATACAAGTATTCACAAGTGTGTGCGTTGTCAGGATGTGGCTGCGAAGTGAGAAGCGAAGCAGCCGCATTGCTCAACCAAATGGCAAATCATCGATAAATCTGCGAAAAATTATTAAAAATACTCCAGCTTTGAAGAATCTTAAGCAAACCACAACGACTGTCACTTCCAATCGGCGCAGCGGTGTTTATTCAACGACAAGCTTAGCAAATAGCAGTAGTGGTAGTAGTAGCAAGCAGCAAACATTTCGTAATAATGGTGATACAAAGCAATCGCCAAACATCAAGTGCAATATTAAAAGTCGACCGGCAAGCGTTAAGCGTTTGGGCAAAAAAACTGGCAGCTCATTGAGCAAACGACATGACCGAAAAAAATTTGAACCAACAACAAAGCGAACAAGCGAAAAATGTGTACGGGGACGTTTTGGTCGAAAATCATTGCGAAACATCTCGGAAATGGGAAAAGAAAATTGCTGGCAAGATGACCAGGGCCAATTAGATTTATATGCTGTGGATAGTAAACGGAATCGAAAGCAACGGACAACAGCAGCTGGAACCGATGAAAGTGCCGACAGTGTTGGCATTAAAAGCACATTGCCAACACTTGATACAATCTGTAGCCTTGTTATGGTCAACGTATGTGATTCGTGTAAACCGAGCACCACATGCAGTTGTTCGTCAAGCTCAAGTCAAACGGACGGTAGCCAATCATCGAGTGGACCGAGCACACCAAAAATCAACTGTGTCAATTATATTGAATGTGACAGCACAACTGACAATGATCGAACAAATTTACCATCTACTTCAATGCTTGTTACGGTATGTTGATTTCGTTTTTAACTAAAATTCAATTAATTCAATTTGACTAATTCTTCAAAAAATTTGAATTTATTTTATTGAACACAATATTCTAGGTCGATCCGGAAATCGACTCAACCACCGATTTGCTTCCAACTGAAGCAACATCGTCCTCTTTAACAACATCATCTTCATCATCGTCGTCATCATCATCGATTTGTTGTGATGCCGAAACATTTGCGATACAACCGATTCAAGATCCACAAGACGATAAGTTACCAAATCAAAAGCGTTCTCAATTGACAACGGCCAATTTGCAACCGCAAATGACGACATTGGCCACATCCAGCAGTGCATGCAGCATAACTAACTTCCCAACAACGCCCGATCTTATCACATTGTTCGACGAAGAAATAAACAAAAATTCAACGGACATGTGTCAATATTCAGAACTATTTCCATATAATAATGTTATAACACAGGCACTTTTGAATTGCAACGAAGTGAATTCGTTGTGCGAACAGAGCACATCAAATGATATGGGCAATTTGACATTTTTATCGTCGATGAATCAAACGGCCATCGACAACTTAAAAGCATTGACCAATTTGCAAAATCACTCAACTAGCTTCCTATCGGGATTGTCGGGGATAGCGTTGACAAAAAATAATTATAACGAAACAGTAAGTAAAAGATTAATTTCGATTTAAATATGAACATATTTATGATTGGCATCATCTTTACCACTTTATTTGTGTTGCCTACAGCAACAGCAACAAGACCAACCGAATCAGCAACAACAAATCCACGAAAACGCAAATGAGATCCAACTTGAAACCGACGAATGCATGGAAATTGAAGAAATAAACGAACGGCAAGAGGAAATGGCATGGGATGCATTCGATCCGTATGTCTTTATCAAACACTTACCACCATTGACAGCTGAAATGCGCGCAAAATGTCCAGCGTTGCCACTTAAAACCAGATCAAGTCCCGAATTCAATCTTGTCCTCGATTTGGACGAAACATTGGTTCATTGTAGCTTACAAGAGCTATCTGATGCTAGCTTCAAATTTCCAGTTCTATTCCAAGTACGTTTACAATTTTATTCAAAAAAAAAAAAAAAAAAAAAAACAAAAATAGTTTATAATTTTTGTGGAAAGAAAATGAATTAATAATAAACATCACATTTTCATAGGATTGCAAGTACACGGTATTCGTTCGCACTCGACCATGTTTCCGTGAATTTTTGGAACGAGTTTCCACAATGTTTGAAGTGATTTTGTTTACAGCATCGAAACGTGTATACGCCGACAAATTGCTCAACTTGTTAGATCCGGATCGAAAATGGATCAAGTAAGTTTTTGTTTGGAAAAATATCAACTTTCTTGAAGCTTTTTTTTTTAATTAATCAAATTATGTGATTGGTGCATTTAGGTATCGTTTATTCCGGGAACACTGTGTTCTTGTCAATGGAAATTACATTAAAGATCTTACAATTCTGGGACGTGATTTATCCAAAACAATTATCATTGATAATTCGCCGCAAGCATTTGGGTATGTAAAAATTCAAATAAAATATGTTCTTTTTAAATGGAATTCAGTTTTTTTTTTTTAATAAATGAATTCAACGTGAATGTTTGTTAACAGCTATCAACTCGAAAATGGAATCCCCATTGAAAGTTGGTTCATGGATCAAAATGACAGAGAGCTAATGAAGATTTTGCCATTTTTGGAATCACTCGCTGAAATGGTACGTATTGTTACATTTTCGAGCACAATGTCAGTGCATATTTTTGGTCAATTTGGGGCGTCCACTCAATTTTTTTTTTCTTTACCAGCGTCAAGATGTGCGACCCCACATTCGAGAAAAGTATAACCTGTACCAGTATCTTCCACCGGATTGAACTGATCTGATAAAAAACGGCAATTAAAAAAATAAATCAAATAAAAATCCACAAAAAAATCGAATCTTCTCAGCAATTGAATAGGCAACTGTATATTTGACTCGACAACAAATAAACACACATATATTAATTATATCCACACACAATATATATTATATATAAAACGAGAGTTGGTATGAATTCGAATTTATACCAAAAAACAACCTGTTATTGAATCGCATTGGCACTGTTCATTTATCAGCAACAAATTAAAGAAGCATCTAGTAATTAAGATTAAGCTTTTAAATCAATATAATAATCTAGTAATGTTTCAAAAACATTTTCGATTCACATTATATTTTTTGTCTGCTCTTTTTGTTTTCTTCCGTTTTTGCTGAGGGAGCAAAATCACCATCATTTGTTACATCTATTTATATTTAAAATGAAGAAAACATACACAAATTAAAAAAAGAGACATAAATTAAAACTATATCATTGGCAATGATTTTTGTTATGAGAGAATACGAAGATTAATCGGACGGGGAGGCTAGAATATTATTTAGACTGCAAAAAAAACGTATGAACAAAATAACACACACACACAAAAAAAAAGAAATCAAACAAACATTCGTTGATTCATTTATACAAAGAATCTTTTCAACGACTTTTTGTGGCTTTTGTACGCTGAATTTTGAAACGGATGACCGTTATTATGGATAAATTTTTATTGAATCAAAAGAAAAACTAATGTAGAAAACAAACGATTCCCATCATATAGACATGGCATCCCGTTTTCACTCCGATATCAAAAAACATAAATTACATTAACCTAAAACTGAATGATCATATATCCAATAAATAAACTATCCAATCGTAATACATTCAGTAATATATATCTTATTAGATGTGAATACAGAAACACTTCTACCATAAATCGTATGAAATATTTGAACAATCGATGCACCGAACCAAATATTGATAAAGCACAACAATCACAATGCTAATTCCATTAATTACATCCTCTTTCGATTTTCCGCATCTCTAGAAAGAAGAAAACAAAAATTAGCTTCGCACCACATTCAGTTAAAAATATGACTCTAAATTAGCCGGAGTGGAAAAAAATATTCCAATGTTTAAACGTACCAATAAAACAAATCAGAATATTACATGGTAATCAAGAAAGTTTCAGTGAAACGAATAAAAGTGGCATGGTGTCCGTTTCAATTTTATTAGATGTTGCTTGTTGTTAGATAAAGTAATGTGTCGTTGAGTCGTTCAGCATGACATAATAGCAAATAAATAAGGAAAAAAAAGTATATAACCGAAAATCGATTTAAAAACGATAATCAATTAACAAGAGAAATTAGTAGTATTTATAAGGGGAATAAACATTCACCATGAAAATAATCAATAATAACGACAACAAGTGAACAACAATTATAATGATTGAACATTTTAAATATCACATACATACACAGTGTGTATTACACACCAATTAAAAAAAATCCCCTGCGCCGATTTGTTGGCAACATAAAATTGCCTTTCGAACATCCTTTTTTTAATGACAACCGATTTTTTTTTTTACATTTTCAATAAAAGAAATGACTCAATTCTTCAACCATTTCAAATATGCCTTCAAATAAATTATTGGCGAAAGTGAATCTGCGCCAACCACCTTCCCCAGACAACATGCACACACACACAAACAAAATAAAAGCAATTTAAGTTTTTCTTAAGCCTTTCCAATTTGTATTCGTAACAAAATGGTTGTATATTCTGGCGAGTGCAAAGCAAGCCTTAAGTGTTCTGTGTTCTGTTGAATCGTTAGTGGTTTCATTTAAATACAAAAAATAATAATAATAATAATAATAATAATAATAAAGAAATAACAAATTCTAAACAGACACTTGAAATAGGTTCTAAGTGTTTCTTTTGTGTGTGTTTTTGTTTGTTCATTTTTTACTCGAGGTAAAAATTAAGTTTTATTTATTCGATCAGTTGCGGTCCAAATACAATGGCGTCTCACTTTGGTTTGCGAAATACAAATACCACATATATAAATCATTTTGACATTTTTTCAATCACACATACATTACACACACTCCAATGCTAGATTTGTCATAAAAATGTTTTTAGTTTGACACAGAAAATCTGATTAGTACAATGCAGACAGCCAAAAAAAAAAAGAAAACAATTTTATTTATGGGACATTCAACATATAAAAAAAGAAAGAACAAAATTTAGATCTAAAAAAAAGAATAAAATGAAGCGAACATTATGGGCTGTTTTATTTTTTGTTGAAAATGGTGCAAACCGAAAATCTTCCGAGAAGAATGGCATATTTTGGTCAATGCCAAACATAGTCTCCGAAATAGCTCATCCACAATTTTAATGTGCATATTTTGTACATATAGAGAAAACCACACATAATATTCACAAAACTGACACAAACAAAAAATGAAATTATACTGAAACAAGTTTGATGTGATGAATAAGTATATTTTAAATTTATCTATTTTAATTTAGCTCACAACGTTTTTCTCAGTCTTTTTTTTTCTATACCTTTTTCTGATTTTGAAAAATGTATGTGTGCCATACATGCTCATGGCCGAACTCCAAAATATATGAAGAAGTAAAAGAAAACAAAAAACAAGCGCCAGAGATTTTCAACTTTACACAAAATAAATGATTAATTATGAAAAGATGAAGGATAAAGAAAAAAAAAAAACAAATAAATATATTATATATATATATGAAAATATGATTATAATAGTTAATAAAATAGTTAATGTTGAAACTAATATTTAAAAAGTTGAATTAAACGTAATGTGTCTATATCAATCGACCCATTAGATAAATTTACAGGAACCTAATCGTAAAATTTTCTACATAACAAACTAACTAAAAACAAGAGGGTATGATTAATAAAATTCGATTCCGTGCTCTTTTTTTTCTCTCTCTCTCTCGATTAAATAAATCAACAGTCACACATATATGGTTGATATGATTGAAATTTAAACAAAATTCAAGAAAATACACAAATTCAACTATGTTCACGCATTGAATTGATGGAGTATGATGCGCAAAATTAAAAATAATAATAATGATATTTCTTATGACTATAATCAATCAGACTCATTGTTTCCGTCTTGAGTAGTAAAATCAAAATCACTTGGCAAATGAGCTTTGATTTAGTTTATTTTGTCATCAAAACATAAACTGGTCACAATTGAATTTGTGATAAAACCTCATTCTAAATCTAAGCCATCAATTCATTGTAATCAACAATGAAATTAAAATAAAAACCAATGATATCATTTCTTCCGCTTCAAAAGCATCAACATTACTATAAAGAAAACACAAACTTTCCATTTATCATAATCAACTAATTAGTTTATTTTATTTTAATGATGAAAGAAAATACCGAGTAATGGCTGACACATATAACACATGAACTAGAGAACGAAAGTTTGAACACAGAAAAAACAGTAATTTTTTTTCTTGCAAATTTATACAAAAATTGACTTTGTTTACTTGATGAAATTTCACATTTTTTTTACAAAACATGCGAAAAAATCAAGCATGAGAAAGGTAAAAACGTTTTTTTTATATTTTGGTTAAAGTTCATTAGGTTGTTATTAGCTAGCCATCGGCATTCGGCATTTTTCCTTTATCACTAGCAAAAAATCTAAATAATCGCCAAATTGTTGATTAAACATTAAAAAAAGCAAATTAGAAAAAATGAAATTACACATAACATATGCATAAAATTATACCGCAAACATGATGTTTTCAACAATTAATTAAATAAATTTTTATTCACTAAAATTATTCAAAAATCGTTTTAAATTTTATCACTTCACATGTTTCCATTCCGTATCTCACTTCTGGTGTCTACATAGGAGCAGTACGTTATAAATACACACTGATGACAAAAATAGTGCCACCAATACATTTCGAAATTCACTGAAAAATGGTTTATTATTAATTTTTAATCAACATCTCTTCTCTTTTTTTATTAATTAATTGAAAATAGTCCGAAATTAATTTTAAAAGGAACGACACAATGCAAATGATAAAGTTACCATGACTTTTCACAATTCTAGCCAATTATTTTCTAAAATAAAAAAGAAGTTTATTTGAAGTTTTTCTTCATCTGACGATATCTGGCTGAGCTGATTCATCTGGCTGAAAATATCTCATTATAATGTCTGGTATATTTAGCTTCCATTTTTCTTTTCAATGTACTATGAACATTTATTATTGTCCAAAAACCTTTAGAAAACGTTTTCCGGGTATCCCGAGCCCAGTTTCACAGAAATACCCCATATTATTTGACCCCAAAAGGGGGTACCTTATTTTTTGAGAAAATTGATTTGGGAAACATCGGGAACAACATTATTGATTGTTTAATATGTGGTCATATTGGGCTCTCTTTCAAATGGCACAATCGCAGTAGTCTGCACCTTTGCGTATTCAATGATGATACTGTTCACTTGTATTCAGACGTACAACCAATGTCGCCCACATACACATACATAGATACACTCTCACATCTCTTTCATTCTTTATACATATACGCAAAGGTGCAGTATTCTGCGTCCGTGCCATTTCAAAGGCACATAGAGAAAACACGGGATGTAGATCAGACCATGCCACTTCCCAGCATTGTGAAATAGTGTTAGACGCAACTATTGATTTAATATTTTCATATTTTGTTTTTTTTTTTACCTGGTTGAACAATTGATTGATTAGCACTTTGCATTAGTGTTCACACCAAGCACGACAAAAGTTAATTGTATGTAATGTAAAAAATTGAAGGCTAGCTTTTGATCTTCTCGGAACAAAATTTATTACGGGAAGAGCGAGTATTTCGGTCAAGTAAACCCTAGCAAATCGAAAGAATCTCGTAAAAATTGAATTTTCTTAAAAGGACCATTGGGAACCATGGGTCAATTCCTATGAGTGCTGCACTGTGCACAAAATGGTTTTTATTTGAATAATATTCATGTAATATCCACGTATACACAATTCACAATCTGAAATGTATTGTTTTTAATCGTTTTTGCTTTGTGTGTTTGTTGTGTGAATCACGCATGACTCAAACATTATTTCATCTATGACAGTGAATAAAAAATATGATTAAAAACAAGACAATTTTTTTTCATGACCACCAGAAAAGAGATTCAAGAAAAGTTTTCGATCCACCTTTATTTTCTTGTACAGAATGTTTAGCTTTAGATATTTCTTTCTTTATTTTAATTGGCTTCGAATTGATAATTTTGTTGGCAATTCGTCCAAGTTGAATATGACACATTTGCTGATCTAAAATTGGAACAATTAAATTGTATTTATCGATCTTTCTATTAATATCGGTTTCACGATTTTCCAGCCGACAGACAATTGCTGACCATTCGCTTGCATCTGCATCACTCAATGGCATTTCACCAATGTACGAACGATGGTCAGTTAAAATTTCAATTAAATTATCAATATCTTCACGAATTTCTTTCTGCACCGTAATCCACTCGGGTGTGAATCCATTGTCAAGTAGAATTTTATTAATTTTATGTTGAGTGAAATCAACGTAGGGATTTTGTGATTGTGCATGCGACAATGGTTTGCCGCATCCTTCCAATTTATCAAATTTTCCTTTGCTCATTGCTTCCTGAATCAAATCCTCGACCACACGGTCAAAGCCGTACTTTGTTTTGATGGCATGACTTTTGAAAAACGTTCCCGGTTTCATTATTTCGGTATCTGATGCGCTCATTTTATCGATTCGATATTCAACCACCTAAAATATACAACGAACGCTTAGTCTTGGTAGGAGACATTAATAAAACGAATTATTTAAGTATAGTATACCTTGCCATATGCTTTAGAAGCTCTAGATTGTTGATATTGTTTCTCTCGTTGGGCCGGTGGACCATAGCCAACCCCATCGTAGCTCAAATATTGTCGATGTTGTGGTGCAGTATGCTGAACAGTTAAACATAAACATCAAATACATTTGTCGCATTATTTTAATCAATCATTTCTCTACCTTGATATCACACTCTTTGACATCAGCATTTTCTTTGATGCCACGTCTGTCTTTTGCATACTTTTCTTGCAAAATTCTAAAGGCATTGTCGACTTCAGTAAACTTTTCGGCGCTTGCAGAAGGATGGCCACTATCGGGATGAACAACTTTAACTATCTCGATATATGCAGCTCGTACGGTCTCTTGATCACATTCGGATGACACTTTTAATATTTCATAACATTTCTAATGGAAAATGCAGAAATATTACGAATAACTCATAAAATAGTAGGCATACCCCATACGCTCCAGCAAGACATTTTTTAGTTTCTAATTGAAACCTGGTCCCATTTTTTGTCTATAATTAGTGCGAATTTGTGCATGTATTGTTAGAAGTAGTGCATAAAATGCTGGCGGGATATTCGGCTTTTAACTCCACACATTCAGAGCCCCTGATCAGGGGCAGCTCAGTAGTTGACTTGAGCAAAGTTGGCAGCAATTCGCCCCATATGAATTGTTAACATTTCAAAAAATAAGAACATGGCTGTGAACAACAAATCGACTTCGGCGAAAACGAGAAAAAACGACAGCGAGTTCAACAACATAACTCCTTTTCAGAAGAGAGTTTATGAATTTGCTAAAATTATCTCGCAAAAATGTTAATATACACACACAAAAAAGAGTTTCAAAGAGGACGCAAGAAAAATTGAGCATGAAAACCCGTGAGGAAACAGACGTTCTAAAACGAGCAAAAACCTCATTTGATTCGATTGATCGTGCGCTAAACGTTGCTGACATTCGATATATTATTGTTATTGTGAGAACCGGCTTTAATGGCTAATGTTTGACATTTCGCTGTTTTTAGGTTTTACTCTGACTACACATGATTGTTTCTTGGTATATGACTACAAACATAATAGCTTGTGTTGTGTTTATCTTATAGAAAACGTAGAAAACCGTACTGATTTTGAATTAACGTTGTTTTGTGTGTGTTTCATAAACAAATCTATCAAACTAATCGGAACAATATCATATAACTTAATAATGATGATCTTGTTACGCGTTTAGATACTTGGCATACATAACTGCATACGAACATTTTCTATAATTTAATTCCTCTCACCGGTATACACAAAAATCAAAGACAACCACTTTTTTGTTAAAAATCCAATCAATTTCTTTAACTGTAATTCACTTCTTTATAATATGGGGTACGAAATAGAAGAAGGTTGTGTAACAGAGTACGAGGAGCATGATTTTTGCTCATCAAGTAGAGATGAAATTCGTCATCGTTGTCCAAAACACGAAGAGAAACACTGAAAGTACGAGGAAGATTCGTCGACGTCAAGAAGAAGAGAAGCGTGAACGTTTAATAGAAGAATTCAAAAAGATTGCCGCCGGATCCAAACGTCATGTCCAGTTGAGCAAAATCATACTTACACTTTACAACCGAATACGCCTTATTCAGCGGCTAAATCCAGAAATAACGTTCATCCTTCAACTTGATAAAGTTAAAAACCGATGGATGTGCAAGCAAGAAGCAACAATCTTTTACATGGATAAATTGTACAATTTCACTTGACTAATAACAATTAATATTGATCATTTTATAAGAAAAAATCAAACACATTCAATTAAAAGATAAATAAAATGCCGAATATCTCGCCAGCGTTTTATGAACAAATTCTCACAAATTATGCATAAAAAATTGGACCAAATTTCAATTCCAAACTCGAAAGTGCCTTGCTGAAGAGTATAGGATGTAACTTACTTTGTACAATTCAGCTTTGGTAGACGTATATGCACGACATTGCTTTAAAAATAATTTGTACGGACTACATTTCCTAGGTGAATTAATTAAGAACATTTTTTTTCAAATTTTGAATGTAATTTACAACAAAATTACATTACATAATTTTTGAGATGTAACAAAAATTGTTTTGTTTATATGAAATCAGCTGAGAACATACTATACTACGTACAAAAACACATACTGTCTATCATCGAGAACACTGTTATATCAAACGACAGATAATAGTGAATAGGCCTCACTATAGTCTCTTTTTTGAACACAAAATACGTTTAAACTTTAAAAGAATTTTTCACCAAGTTTGCAGAAATTTCAATGAAAAATAAGTGTATTTATAAACAAAACTTTTAATTTTGTATGGCAGATACCTCTAATTTGAATTGAAATTCCTTCACATTTTCAAAATGTTAGTTTTTTTGTGAAAACAATAACCCATGCAAAGTTTCACGCTATTACGATATCATAGAGGCATGGATCCCATTCAAAAAACCAATTTTTTGGTGATTTTTGTATAAAATTGTTAATTATTTGTTGTTGTAATACAACAACAATTCTATATAAAAAAACGTTTGCTCTTTGATATAGCAACCATTCTGTACGTTGTTTTTATTCTAGAGCGTTCAATTAATTATTATAGTTAAATTATAAAATTATTGAAAAAATCTTTCTTGAACAGTTAAAACATAATTCAATAATTATTTTTTTAAATAAATACTATTAATTTAATTTACAGAAAATGTTTTACTTTTGGTTTTGTGTAAATTAATGTTATTGGTTTTCACGCCGTTCAACAAAAACATTTGATTTACTATTTGTCTTATTACAACGAAATACTTCTACTTGAAATCACTCCAGAAATGCGACTCTCAAATGTTTATTCATATTACAGCCATTTTTCAATAGAAACAACGAAAAAAAAACGAAAATCTTATTGATCATTTTCTTAACAATTATAACGTAAGTGTAGTCACGAATGGCTAAATTGTTTGTGTTTGCATACAATGCATGTTGTTCATTACCAGCTCGATGAAATGGACGATCTGTGAAGGAGAATAGACAGAAACACACACAAATCAGTATACATATTGTTATTAAAAAGACGAAACGAATACAAAAAAAAAAATAAACAAAAGGAAGTAATACCATTGGATTTTCATTCAAGTCTCTGTGATCACGAATGGTTTTATTCAATTCTTGTATTGTTTTCTTCAGATTTTCCTCTATTAATTGCAACTGTTCACGTTTCATATGGATAATAGTTGTGAGGCTTTCATCTTCGGCGGCTGGTGTGGATAGAAATCGTTGATAAGTTTGGAACAACGACAGAAAATCGAATATGGCTTGCTTTGAATTTTTGTCGTTGACAATTTTCAATGACAACATTTTCTTGTGGATCGTGTCGGCTTTCAGCAACGGTAAATTGTCCGACTTTGACGTCGAGCTGCCCAGTGCCGCCAAAAGCAAAACAATGGATACATTAAATGTGAATTGATTGAAGCCATTAATGGCAATTATGGTGTGATTTATATTCAATGCATTCTTCGACACCTTCCAAATCGCTTCGGCCACGGCAACCACCTAAAACATTATTATTTTTATGATGAAACACAGTAAAATCAATCAATCTTCAAATTTACCTTGTGCTGATCTCGACTCCAAAACTCACCATGAGTGCTGAATGTGTGTGCTATTAGTCGCAACTTTTCTACACCAACAAATGGCGATGAAACGGATACAAAGTTGATACTGGTCACAATTATCACATATGCAATAAATTCTTCGAAATTCACTGGTGTGTATTCACAACACAACTGTATTAAGTTGAACAGATTTGTGGTTTTCGTATCATTTTCGCTATCCAAAACAAGTTGCAGTTGTTGATTCAGTTTTGATGCGACTTCATCGGGAAGCTTTGGATTAATTTCAACACTCCAAAGTGTCTTCAATTTGCTCAACTTTACTTCTTCTAATTTGAACGGCATTCTGTCGGTATTAACAACCAATAATTTCAATCAACAATAAACGTTTTACAGGTTATGAACAGTATTTGACACTTTATATAAACACATACGATCTGTCAAACACAAAATGGTTTCATCGCACCATCTACAAATCATTTTCAAAAACATTGGCCGTTTAAAAATGCAGTTTATCCGACTTTAAAAAAATCGAATCGTTAAAAAGTATACATCCACCGATCAGCTTACTTTTAGTCTGCATAGTAAATAAGGTTAATCCTAACCACATAGAACTTCAAACGGGTACAGAAACGTCTGCATATTCAAAAGCAGAAAATGAAACGCTCAATTTTAGTTTTAACAATGTTTATTTTTTTGTACACTTTAGAATCAGTATCGTATACACTCCCTTCGTCACCATATCGTTCGCGAAAAACTTTTAATCGCTGAGAAAGAATGAACCGAATAAAAAATGTTGAATTTTCTTCATGAATAAAATACTATAATTTTGATTTCAATTGTTTGTATGGCGCTATATTACAAAATTTGGAATAAAATTGAAGAAATTAACAATTGATTTGCCTAGTGCTGTTTTTTGGTTTTTTTTTTTAAGTTCGTCTCTCTGATATGTAGGGTGTAATCAATAGCAAAGTGAAAATGGTTCTAATCGATTTGTTAATTAAAATATATGGACACATTTAAGAAAATGATGGTTTGGTTGTATTTTTTTTTTTTTGTTTATCAAAATCAATTGTTAAAAATTCAGCATTATTAGAGACGGATCAGAAGTAATAGTACGATTGAAATCCGGAGCGCTATCTTCATCATTCAATTTTTATTAGTATTATCATAATAATTATTATTAATATTCAAAAACTAGTATTCAATTTGTTGTTTAGTTTTTTTTAACCTCTAGTAGCATTGCGATCTTCGATGTGAACATTTGTTTATCAGATAAATTTCAATTGCATCAAATGTTTGTGTGTGTGTGTTTTTGTTTTAGGATGTTGTTTGGTTTTTGTAGGAGAATGTATTTTAAATTGTACTTGGCATTCAGTTTAGATCGGTTCAATCGATGTATTTTCTTTTTTAATAATATATTTATATCTATATAGATCAGATTTATTCTTAAGACTTTGTTGTATTCAACGTATTGTGTTGTTTTTATAATCAACGTTCAAAAATGTTTTAAAAAAAAATGATTTAAATATCTCTATCATTCTCAGTGCAATCAGATATACGTCTTTACTGTTCATTTTTCTTATTGTTTTCTCATCAATCATCTTCATCACTCGCCATCTGTGTGTTTTCGTTTTGTTCATGTCAAAATTGTACATTTTTCGTGATGAGTTGAACTGAAAATATATGAACGAAAAAAAACCCGTGAACCGAATTTGGTGATTCACACTTTAACATAAAATACAGTACAAATGCTCTAGATTTCACCGCAAAAATCGAAACATATCGATATTATTAAAATATAAATCAAAATGGGCAAACTAAATACAAAATATATATAGAGAGAGATACTAATATCGAAGCCGTTTTACAAAAATACGCTAAATCAAAATAAACATTAGACCGGATTTGAGAGCTCAAACTAAGACACTATCATTTCGAAATAAAAAATAAAATGTTACAAATGAATGACTGGCTGTGCAACGGTTTTCATTCATTTTCAAAAGTGAAAAAAAAAACAACACACAAATTTCAAAGAGTGACTACGTTGCATTCGAATCAGGAAAATCGAACTGACCAAATCAACAATCAATGCACAACAATAAAACGTTATTATTTTTCTTTTGCCCGCCTCTATCATTTCCTGACTCGAATCACAAGCACTGTATTATACACAACTAAAAACCGTTCACGTTCCCTTCGTTTTGACTTTTCATGACTCAAATATTTGGTTTTGTTTCCGATTTTTTTTTTCGATTTTTCATTGACATTTTTAGTGATATAGGCTATAAGAAAGAAAATGATTTTCCCTTTTTACAAATGAGTGGTATGGTCTTGTAGTTGTTGTTTTTAGCTTAGTTTTAAATTTGAAGAAGCGATCACCGATGTTTGTCGAAATCGACAATCCAATGCTTAGTTTTTGTCATCCATTTTTGTTTCTCATTCATTTTTTGTTTGTTTTAAATAAATACACTTCTTTATGGTTAGGATGTGTTATTGGCCGAATCTCATAATGGACTCGTATCTGAGTCGCGCTCCTGATTTTGGATTGCTATTGATAAGGCATTGGGTGTTAACCATTCTCTGTGAAGAAATGTTTAAATGACATATTGAAATTGAATATCAATATTTTGAATAAAATTCAATTAAAATCTTGAATTGTTCATAAATAATCGGTGTGGCTTACTTTGGTAAACAGCGCTGAAGAAATGGCACACACGAGCTAAAATGTGCCAAACGATTTACCCAACCAGGAATCTCTTGGCCACATAAAATCTAAAGCAACAAAAACATATATATTTAACAAATTATTTTATTGGCGCTTCTGATCAGAATCGGTGTTGTGAACGAATTCATTACCTGTGTTAACGAACTAGAGAAATGGTTGCAATTGTTGTTCATTAGGTGATATCGATCGCCACGAAACTGATTACCAATTTCTTCTATAATACGTCGAACTTCTACTTCTGTTTGAATTGAAAATTACAATAAAAAAACGTCGTTCAGTTATGCGTTCGAAATTTTTGATTAAAATGACAATACTCACCGTTGAAGTCTGTACAGCCGATTTGAATACTTTGTCTGTTATAAATGTGTGAATTTTGAAAATTTAGAAATGTTTGCAAAACAGAATGCGTAAAATCAACTTTTTTTTTTACCTAAAACGAAATTGATCGCCGAGCTCATTGTCGTCACGCGGAGATATTTCAAATACGCCAGTAAATGCAAAGGGATGGCCACCTGAAACATTCAACAATTTATTCGAATGGACCTTATAAACATATTGTAAATCATGTGTACACATCAAAGCATACATACCATAAGCAAATTCGCAGCCATAAATTTCTACACCTGAATGAAAGACGCCAATTCCAAGACTACTACTGTAGTCGTTGATCCAATACTAAATATGTCGAAATAAATCAAATTTTTATTGTTATTGATGCGATACAAACAAAAATTAATAATGTCCCATAAATGACAGCTGTTTTTAATGTAAATTCATTTCAAACATTTCAAAAAGCATTAAATCATTTTTTTTAACTTTATGAACCATTAACGACCATTCATTGATGATGCTCTTTTTGTGTATATGCTTGTTTTGGCGTAGAAAAACATTCCTTAATTATTGTTCACTCGTACATTTGATCAATTGAATGTAAATTGTGTGGGTTTCAATTTATCAACTTGTTGTTTCAAACTGAACAATGCAAAAAAACCGAAGAAGAGAAGAAAAAACCGTACAGTTTATGCACGTTCATATGTTCTACACGTTCTTCTTTCGCACAACTATGTAATTACTTTTGTCGAGTGGAATTAACAATCAAGTTGAGCGACCGCGTATGGTAAACATATTTTGTTTGAATTGAAATTACAATAAAAAAAAGTCTGTCAGCCATGCGTATGCGTTGGAAATTCAATAAACAGTGATTTAAAAGACAATACTCACCATATCGTAAACATTTAGAATAACAGGTTCCCGATTGCCCATACTTCTCGGTAGTAATTCATCGCTTCCACTATCTTTCGGCATACCTAAGCAGCTCGGGAATGGTAAATTGCACGGAAGACCGTTTGAAAACATTGCAATTGAATCGATATCCTAATATCGAATAGAACTCGTACGCACGCAAGTTTATGGAACCAATAAATTCATGTGATTTCACACGATTTTACTCGATTTTACTTAAACAAAACAAATACATCAAAACCTTATTGAATGAAAAAAAAAAATGATTGGATTAGAATCAATTTGTTTAAAAAAAATCATTTTTGACTTCAAAAAATAAATCGCTTATGCTGAAATCGGATTGCTTGGTGGAAATTCCTTTAAATATTGAATAGATGATAAACACATAAACATCCGCGCCAACTTGTTACAAATGTCAAAATTGATGTGAACAAAAAACAAATGCACACCGACACTAGGCGACTTTGTTTAGTTTGCAAAAACAATTAAATGCAAAAAAATGGTACCCATAAAAAAACACTTGTGAATCATTTAATACCGAATTTGTTTACGTTGATTACTTGATTTCAGTTATCACGATTATTCAGTATCAATTCGTGTTCTGCAGAGAAATTTTACATAAATATGAGATTATCACAAACAAAATAACATTCATTTGGCTTTTACGATAAATATGATTTGTCACTGTGATGTCATCGCAACCATACGATAGTGAAAGAAAGAAAAGGAAAATTGTCGAATCTGATCGTCCAGATGTTTGTGGACACAGGGGTCCTTTTCATATGAAAATTGGCTGCTACCGAAGAAAATTCAAAATCGAACGACCAGAACACATTTTATTTGTATCAAAAATAAAACATTGAACAATTTGCAAGACATTATTGGATTATATATCCTTTTCCACCGTTTATGCGTGAGAATCAAAGGACAAATACGGTCCAAACGCACGCACACACATAAGAAGAAAAAGAGAAAAAAAGAACCATCCGAACGAATTGAACGTTAATTGGTTTTGTACTCGTGCACCCTCTCAAAACATTCGATACGAATTTATAATGTTTTGCAAACCGATTGCAAAATCATTACGACGAAAAACTATAATTATACTCACTCACTTTAAACGTAATGAAAACATCTTTCTCTCAAAATCGCTCTTAATGTATCGTTTGGATCCTTATGTGATTTATTTTTCTCTATTTATCGCACAATTTCAAACCACCATTTGTGAATAATGTAAATGTTTTGTTTTGGCTTTTGGTTGGTTTGGTACGGTTCTGCTGCAATTTTTTTTGTAATCGTCAACGTTTTTTCCAACCTTCTTTAAAACAAAATGATAAAAAAAAAATTTGCTGCAGACATTGACTTCAGTATATATATGTTTGACATTTATTACGGCTCAACAACAACACCGAGAAAAAGGAACACACAAAAAAAAAGAACTGAGAAATAAGTTCAGACACAAGCGCAGCACAACGCGTTGATTTGATACATTTTAGTTGGCTTTTTGGTGTTGTTCGTGTTTGTTGTATTCATTTGCGTTGCAATGCGTTAGCGTGTAAAACTAAATAAAATGACGTGCAGTACGATTGAAACTAATGGGCGCTCTTTTCTCACTACCACTTGCAATGACGTGTTCGCAATATCATTGGTATGATGATATATACGTCAATTTTTGCCATACCAAATGCCTCAGAATATAGTCTCTCACTCACACATGCTGCACACATATATTTGCGAATGCTTATTCAATGATTCAACAAATTCTATGACGAATGAATGGTTCTGTTGCCACTTCATAATATTTGAATTTTCGGTTAAATAATCGATTTTTGAATATGATGAGGAAATAAAATTATTTTATCGGATTCATTTGTATAATGATAAAGGATGGGATTGAAGCAATCGTTGTTCAAAAAAAAAATGTTCCATTTTTTAAATGCAAATTAATATGTTATTTCAGCGCTTTAAAATGTCAAAGTAGAAAAAGAATGCAATAATATCACCAAACAAATATTATCTGCATTTTTCAAGTCTTTAAGGCACAAATTAGAAACATTTTTTTGTAATACTTACAATTTTGATGCATTTTTTCCTAATTTAGTCCGATGATTTTCAAAAATGGAAAATCGAAATTCATTTATTGAATACATTTTTCAATGAATAAAGTAAGTGTTTGATTGTATTTTATTCACAGAGTTTGAAAAATGCAAGAATTTTCTTGGGTGAAAATTAAAACCAGGTAAATGCACTAAATAATAGCGAAATGTATCAAAGAGTTTCGAAAAAAGTAGACATAGACAGTAGTAGTTTTTTTGTTGTTTTTTATGAAAGAGATGTAATTCTGAATGAAATGAAGACAATCTTCGTGTACATTGTTATTATATTTTATTATATTATTATTATATTTATTGTTTCATCCTCAATTAAGTTCAATTTCATCTTTTTTTTTTAATTATTTCATCATACTTTTTCTCTCCTTTTTTTAAATTTGTTGCTTTGCCTGCATTTACTTGTATTAAATGATTATTTTGGATGATTTGAATATCTTTAGTTGATGTTTTTTTTTGTTGTTTTTAAATTAATTTCAGCTTATTGTTAAAAAAAGTAGTGGTTTGCTGTGGTACGCTCCTCGGTGTCGTATGATTGAAATTGATATTTATGGTGCGTGTCGCAAGTGTTTGCCATTTTGTTGTTGTTGTTATATTTGAAATTCTTAATCGGTTGATATTGGTGGCTGATGTTTTTGCTGCAGTTGTTGTTGTTGTAGTTGTAGTAGCTGATTCTCTTTTTGTTTTTTTTTTTTATCAGAAATGATGGTTGAATTTCAGTTTTTGTTGAAATTTTTTTTTTATGCGCGTTGTTTTTATTGTGGTTTCACTTTAAATTTAGATTTGCTTATTGACGGTCAGTAGCACGCAATTTTTCTTCTACGGCCTCCTGCGATGCCTCCGACAAGTCGGTAGCCTGAATATATTTTTGTACGCCAACCAATGATTTCTTCAATGCATCGAATGAGCTTGAGTACAACATCTTCTTCTTAACCTGATGAAATGGGAAATGGAAACGAACATTTGGTTGTGCCATTAGAAAATAATTTTGATATGAATACGTACAATGGAATATATGCATTGGATATACTTACTTTGGCGGTGTCTGGGCACCAGGACATTAAAAATAGTTTTTGTTTCTTCGAACTTTCAGATGTGCCTTGACATTGATGCATGTATTCGAAGTCGAAGAGACCATATCTGAAAATGAATCGAACAGTTAATTTTCATAATTTAATTAAATCATTTTCGAAAACAAAACACATAACGCTTTTGTATTTATCTTTGGTTAGTTCAAACTCTATGCATTATTATCGAATTCAAACCATACTAAACAAATCGTTAATCTGCGAATCTCATGATATTCAATGAAGCAAAGAACTGATTAATTGAAATTAGTTGCTTGTTTTTGAGCTCGCGATCTATTCATTCAATCGTTTTGTGCATCGTATCAAATGTATTTGAAAGCTTAAATGCAAATTCCATTGCGAAAATGTGGGAAAGAGCACCTTGTTAATTCAAACACGTTTTTTATGCGAATTATTTGACATTTTCATGCTTGTTTATTTGTCAGCACAAAAACTTAAGGCAAAAGCCATGCTATAATTCGGGTTTATACAGTCACATACAAATATTGTGTCACGACCAAACGTGTACGCATGCACGCATGAGGACCGGTGCATTTTTTTTAGTAACAATTGACGGATATGTATATATTGTGCGCAAGAAAATACTTACCGGCATTCACCAGTGCCGCCCTTTTGGATGTCTTCTAAAAATTGTTCGTATTCAGCGTTACGATCACCAACCACTTCGACATCGATTTGCTTTTCATCGCGAATGTAGAAGATGACATAGCGATGCTTTTTATCTTTTTTGATTTCTTCGTACGTGGTTTTGCATACGTCTGAAACAGTCACTCCTGATGCCTATATGGAAAGAAAAAAAAAGAAAATTTACATTTCATGTGCAATGTGTATTTGTGTTTTTTTTTTCTTTGACAATGTGTTTTTGTTTTGCGTTTGATCGCCATGAATGATCCAATCAACAGGTTAATCATCTTTTACCATTTTTCGTGTTGTGTTTTTTTTTCACTTGGAATTTATTTCTGAGATTAATTTGATTGCGTTTAAAATCGATGTGAGCAGCTTTAATGTGCTGTCTGACTAAAATCAATTTCGTAAAAAAGGCAACTGAGAAATGAATCTATATCATCAACAACAATCTCGTCTCGACACCACATACACATCCTATGTATATTCCATTTCCATACATGCATGTATCATATACATTTGATTCAATTGAGTTACTCATATTTTGATTACTGTGTTACACACAAAACACACTCTCTTTATTTGTCTGGTTCGCTCTCTGTTTTGATCATGTGCAGTTCCGCTATAATAGCACCGTGGTTGCTGCTTTTTGCGTGTATTCGCATTCACTTCACCTATTCTCTGTGTATATAGATATTGATACGTTTTTTTGATTGTTTTGTCTCTATCGCTCTTTCTCTGCTCGTTGCATTGCCGTTGTTTTATTGCATCGACTTGAACCGAAGTGTATATTGAATTCAGCACACTATGTGCGTGTGAGTATCATGAAAACATTGATTCATAATCTATTTTGTATATATTGTATTTAATATATGCATATACATGCCTTTTGTTTTCGAATGCAAACGAAAGAAAAACGCGCAAAATGTTTATTACCAAATATGGAAAAGTAATCACGATGAAAAATTGACGATAGAGCAACGCTACTGCAATAATTGTTGCCACTACCACAACAATGAATGTGAGACAAACGATGTACCACACACTTGATCAAATTGCCGTTCCACCCATTTGATAGAGTTGACAGGCAAGTGAACGATACACACACGGCGATTGCATTTTTATAGGAACATGCAAAAAAAAATCGGTGCACGTATGATTTATGAAGCTCAATTTCAACAACAAATACCAATCATGATCGAAACAGCTAGCACGGCATTAAATTCTTGAATGAGAATATTTGCCAAAAACGAGAGTATATTATGCAAAACAACAAATTTGATGTGAATTCATCAAACATGACGAGCTTGTGTTTATAATGGCCAAATTCGCATATACTTATATGGCAAAGCGTTGATTGGTAAATGCAAAATGTATTATTGAACGGTACTAGACACCTTGCCTATCATTGCACATTCAGTTCAAATAATTGCTGCTATCATACATTGCAATCATACTGCAAACAATTTCATTTAATGTGATTTCGTGCAAGAAAGCAATGGCAAAAAAAGCAAGAAGAAGAATTATAGAGAAAAATACACTTTCAATCAATCGATGTTTTGATGATATTCTCAGTTGTTGTTATTACTTTTCATTCGCTTTGTTTTCGTTTTGTTGCTTTTTCACTGATTCAATTATTAATATGTATAGATTTTTTTTTTCACCAACGTGTTCGTATGGTAGAAAACATGATATCGATATTTTTCGTGAGATATCCCATTCCCAGCGCCAAACGAAAAGAGTTGAACAATTATGAATTGATCAATCAATTATATTAAATGACGAATTACAATGAAATTCCCTAGATCACGGATTTGAGTAGCACATTTGAAGATCATTGTTTCCAAATAAAAGAGAGATAGAATTAAATTTTGTGAAACATTCGCTAATAAATATTTTTCAATATATAAATTCATATCGTCAACTATTTCATTGCATTTGATGTCATTGTGATTTTCATATGAGTGAGCGCCGTGGTGGTGGTCATTGTGTCATTTGAATTTGTAACTTGTGAAAAAAAAAGTATTTTTATTTTTGGATAATTTGTTTATCGTTTTTAAAAAATGATCTCGAACAAAAATGTTGACCGTTGCCAAAATGAGCTTGTCAAAATTGAGGCCAAGTGATCGTTGTTAAAAACAGTTGCATTGTCAACTTATTTTGATTTGTTCTCTATAAAATGGTAATTCGTTTTCAATTTGTTATTTCCCTCACACAAAAATGAAAATAGTTTGTTCTGCTTGAAAATGAAAAATCGCCGAAGAGCAGTCGACACACTTTGTGTGCATTATATATAAACTATACTATATTTTAAGAAGGCAAACAATCAAGAATAGACTAATCCATGCGTCGAACATAAACAACCGGCCACATAGAATCATACGATTTTTCAACGAGTGAAAAACGTAATCCAAACGAAACGAGATGAGATGAGAATTTTTCATCAAATTGTGATCGCATGTGGTTTTGTTTAACACGCTCTATTTTTAGCGGCATATGGAGAACACGAACATTTTGCTTTCGTTCCAAATTTCATAGTGTCACATAGACGAGTACAATATTTAACACCACCAACATTGAATGCTTTCATCACTTCATTATAATGATCTCAATTGTTATCAATGCATTGTGAAAAATCACTTTTTTTTTTATCATATTACATTTCCGAATGAAACATTGAACATTTTTTATATCAAATAAAAACCATTTCAATGTCAGAAATATTCGGATTTAGAAAATGTTTGTTTCAACAAAAATGTTAAAAACAAAAACAGACTTAACAAATAATATTTTTAATCATTGTTCGGTCGAGATACACGAAGGACACTCGCCGATAGATATATATTTAATATCAGTTCGCATAACATTTTTGCGCCTACATAATATTTTTTTTATATTTTATTTGTTTTAAATGCTTAAAAGATTTAGTGTGTTTTTGCGCTCTAAATCGAAAACTCGATGAAGTGTGCTATTTTCATCATACATGAATGAAAATCTACATTAAAATAGATTACTTTGATCATATGAAATAGAAAAAGAAAATGTTGAATTTCACTTTCTGGCTATTGAATTAGTGCAAAGTTCGTGATCGTGATCACTTTTTCAAGTCTTCGGTGAACATTTCAATTTTCTCAATTTTTCATAGTTTGGAATTTACTCGAAATCACTTATATAGAATGGACACATCGATCGAGAAAGAAATGAAGAGAGAAAATCGAGAGAGAGAGAGAGAGAGAGGAAGAAAAAACCGAAGAGTGAACCTCGAAATGAACAAAGCATAGTCATAACAAATGATTCATCATTCGCGGCCGCAATAAATATGACTCTATTTGCTTATAATTCTCTCTTTTTCATATTAATTCTATGAATTTTGCAAAACCATTTAAAACTATGATATCTTTCAAATTTTCTAATAAATAAAAGAAACTTATAAATGTATTTGTCTTTGGTTAGTTCAAACTCTATGCATTATTATCGAATTCAAACCATACTAAACAAATCGTTAATCTGCGAGTCTCATGATATTCAATACAGCAAATAATTCATTGATTGTAACTAGTTGCTTGTTGATGAGCTCGCTGTATTCAATGAAATTACGAAAAAATATTTTTGTATTCAATTTAATTCCATGAAATGTGCAAATTTGTTCAAGACGATTTTTTTTTCTTTATTTAACTATGACGAATGGCATCATTTTATTTTGACAAAACAACAATATGTTTGTTTTAATTCAGTCAAATTGAAAATTAACCTCAATCGCATTGTGCACACTGAATTTCTGGCAAAATTTGGAGCACGTACCATGAAATTTACTAAAAAATTCGCTAAGGGTCATAACCTGTTCATTTATTCAGAAGCACATTAGCAAAAGTGGTAAATGTAACAAAAAAATAAACGTAACCAAAATGTTATGCACGTTTTCTCCACGAAAACCGTAAATAGCGTGTATTAACACGTGTGATTCGTTTTTTAACGTCTTCTGACAAACCTCCTACTGTGCACGTTGAGAAAACCATTTTTTTTGTTTTAAAATATATATATTTATATTCCTTGTGACAAAAAAAATCATCTTCAAAATATGTGTGATAGAAAATGACGGAATATTAAATGAATGAAGCTGAAAATGTGGAAGAAAAACGGTTTTTAATTCTTACCGTTGGCATTTCTTTCTTGGAGATCTGGTTATTATTATTATATAACTTGTTGTTTCATTCTATTAAATTTTTTTGTTCCATACACGCCGTGAGTACATTGCCATCTCATCATGAATTATTCTAATATGACACTTCTGTTTTAACTTGCTGTTGGCAGCGAAATGAAAAAATGAACGGCAAATTCTGTCCATATTCGGAAACAATGAATCAAATACTCAGCGTGTCTATATCAAACATTCAGTCAATTCAAAGCCGTTTGTCTCTGTGTAATAATCATTTTTTTGTTTAAATATTCCAGTGTGAATATGTATGTAAAAGAAGAAGAAGAAGAAGAAAAACGGCAACATCGACACATTTGTTTGAGTGGCAAATTCTACATAATAATTTGGCATTCAGAAATAGTACATGATTGTGTGTTGAATAGATAGATGATTCATATTTGCTTTGGTTGTTCTCGAGCGGCGAATACATTTGGTCGAACAAATACATATGCATTTGCCGCGCCGCTTCATCGAAATATACCGCTTAGAGAGAATTGAATTATGTTGAATATAAAACTATAACTAAAAATTCGAAATAGGCAGAGAAAGCGAGATGGATAGCGCACGCGAACTGTCCAATATAAGCGAGTGTGTCGAATACGAATGGAATGAGAGAATGAAAGGGAGACAGAGAGAAAAGTGTATACACACATATATATATATATGATTTGAACACGTCTGCGCAAATCGTATGCGAAGACAGCACCCGATCGACAACTACAAACAGGCACCGATTCATAAGAACTTCCATATAAGCACATATTTCATGTGCATTTGCCACATACACCATGACACATGGACTCTACATTGAATCTATCTCAATATCATTTGTGTGTCTTTCTTTCTCTTACAAACAAAATGCATGCACAGATGTGCGCGGGCTCAGTAGATAGAGAAACACCAAGTACCAACTGAAAAATAAAAACGTTACTTGCACGATACGAATACATCTTGGTCACGTATTTGAAAGAAAGGAAATAACACGAAAAAAAAACACGATCATCAAGAGAGAAGAAGAAATAGAAGAAAAAACAATACCAATGACTTTGATTTGATTGTGCGTACAAGAGAGAAATTGTTATTTGAAATATTACAGACGCCATAATCTCTAGTAATAAACAACCGAAATGAAAACATTTGCTGCCCAAACGTTTTCTTTCCTTGTTTTGGTTTTTCGTACAAAATACTTTTGACGGTCATAACCTACGCATTCAAACACAATTAACATTGGCCCGATCAATGCAACAAACCCCATCGTCGTCAAATGGGTTTCCTTAAATGGATGTGCAAAAATGATGTCTTTCCATTATTGCACAACAAATGATATACGGTCTCGTCTTATGCACTCGTGTCCATTCCCTGTTATATTTTCATAAAAAAAAACTTTTCATGCTCTCTGGTAAAAAGAAAAATATTATATTCATAAACTTTGATCCAAATAGTGAGCGTGTTCGTGTATATGGCTTTCCTACGTAGTTAAAGCGTGTGTTTTTATAAATAGACATGATTGCAAACGATTTCTTCGCCTTTTATCTCTCCCTGGTTGTGTGCGATCTATTTGCTGGTGGCGGTCGAGATGTTCATATTTTTTTTGTTCTTCATCAAACTTCGATCGTTTTCGAATGTGAAAAATACAACGAATTTAAAATTAGATACATTTCGGAGTAGTTACCACACATTGGACAAGATTTTTTTTTTTTTTTTTTTTTGAAAATGTTGCGGGTGCACACGCGCGCGTCACATTATTCGATATTGACTTAGAAATTGAAAAGATCACCAAATTAAAGAACAGATTGATTGCACCGCGGTAGTGCATTTCATGTGATGTCATAGAAATGAGTCATCATCGATGTCTGTGGCCATGCAATTTATGGTATCAAATGACGCTAATATCAGTGTAAATGAAACAAAGACACCAATAGAAACATGTCTGCGATAATAAAATCATAATGAAATTTTAAAATGTTCGCATTAGTTTTACTAGTAGTTTTCATATGAGTAATATGCATCATTTTATCTGAGTCATTCACCAAAATAAAAACCGTCGACTAATTGTCAGGCATTCTAGTTTGTGGCACTTAATTTTATCGATAAACACAATATGTTTACCATTCATTTGAAGTGCATTGCATGACATTATGATAGATAAAATATGTTGATTGTTGCCATCAGAAAAAGTAACATTTCCTTCGACACGATCAGCCTTTATCATTGATACAGACGGAACGATATGGAACAATATCGTCAGTCGCATCATCGAATAACAAACTCAAAACGTTGGGACCAGAAAAGAGGTGTATGAATGCTAAAAATAGGAGAGCAAACGGTTTGTGTTCGTGGCTATGGTACCATGGCATAGGCTCTATATGTGACGGTAAATTTAGACAAAATACGAAACGAACAAAAAGTGAAATGATACAAATCAGGAGCATCACCATTCGTATCAAAAATGATTTTTTTTTTGTGAAATGAGAAATGTATTGTCGAATAATTTAAAGCACTTTCCTTTCTAGGTTTGTATCTACAGAAATGATGATGAAGAAGAAGAAGCAGGAAAAAATATTTTATCGCCATACTTGGACGCAAATCAGAAATGAAACACTTAAACACATTTTCATAGCGGTATTTTGTAAGCCGCAAATGTGTTATAGTAGAGTTGCCTATGTTTCATTTCACGCGGTACGCCTTTTTCCCGCAACACATACAATTGTCTGTACTAGTGTTCAGTGTTCATTCGTTTCGCTATCTTTCTCTCTGTATCACGCTACATGTATGCATGGCGTTTGAATCATTGCGTGTGAGAGTGTGTATTTTTACATTGCACACACATATGTATACGGACGGTACATGTATGTGCCGAACACCGATTTTTATATAGTTTTTTTTTTCTTTTGGGGCGGCGAAATTGTTGAGTTGAAATTTATTTATAAATATTTTGATACATATTTCTTTTTTATTTTGAACAGACGGAGGAGAAAAAGAAATATTGTTTCCGACCATTTGAAATATTTATATGTAAAGATTGAGAATGAATTTTTCGACTCGGTTTTTGTCAGAGTAAAATTAAACAAATCGAAACGAACTCTTGGATCGATTTCTGGGCAATAGAGAAAGCTTGAAATCTTCACTCAGAACATTTTGGAACGCGTCTCTATAAATGGCTGACACAGCCGGTATATTCAAAAGAATTTTATTCGAATGGTTTTGATGAATGTCAAAGAAGAATTATTCTCTTCTCTTTTTTTTTTTTGTAAAAACGTACGTACTTATGCTACACATATATTTATATATATATATATATATATATATATATGTGTATGTGATTTTGTTGATGAAGTGTTAAGCGCAGATTTCGATTTATGTGAATGCCAATTATGCCGAACAGTCTAAAACAACAGGCAATGACGAATTATTCGGCGCAAACAGCACGCCAATGTTAACGATCGAAACATTTCAAGCGAAATACGTTAATTTTTAATAATTTTCCATATCTTGCTTTTCTCGCTCAGTCAATTCATTCAATGCATTTCTTCTAAGCGCTCATCGCAAATTGTTTTGTTGGTTTCGTTTGGCAAATATTAAATTCAATAACAACAACAACAACAAATAAAAATCACAAGTAAAAATAAATCACTGCAAACGAACGAATGAATGAATCAAACATTCTAAGCTACTCGAAGGAAAAAAAAAAACAAAAAATTAAACTGCACGTCAACACTCACACACGCACACAAACAAGACGGCAAACTTTTGTTCGTCTTCGATGGGTTTTTTTGTCGTAAATTCTGTTTTAGTCGATGACTTTTTTTCTCTGTTCATTTGTGTGAATTATTTGCATCGTAGACAAAAATTGATGTGGTTTCGCGTTCATTGCATACACACAGTCACTCAAAAAATAATATTAATTCATTTTTGTCTTTAGTTCAGTCGTTGTCGTTATTGTTGTTGTTGTTGTAATGGGGCGAGATCAAACCGGAAAGACGCATTTTTAACTTAGCAAAAAAAAAATTCTCCAATTCTTTTTTCTCTCTCTCTCTCGCGGTCTATACTTAACTTATGCGATTTTTGCAAAACAGAAAAAAATGTGACGATTTTCCTTCGGTCAAAACAGCAAATCAAATGTAAAACAAAATTGCCAAAAAAAAGGTGAATAAATTGTTCTAAGCAAAAATTTAAGATCCATACCATTTTTTATGTGTTTTGGTATAACTTTTTTCGTATTCCTAAGTTAATCCAAACGATTTGTAATCTATGTGCGGTGTTTTTTTTTTAATTTGCGGAACTCTCGGCTTATTATGTTACCACTTTTAACTTTTGGTTGTATTTGGTTTGATTTTTTTTAACTAAATAAAAAAAATTCAGTTGTTACACTATTTTAATAGGAAGAAAAATTGGTCGATTTTTTTTCTTACAAAATTTTGTTTGAAAATATATATATTAATATTTTTTTACTCAGTAAGAGAGGAGAAGATGTTGACTTATACAACACACAAAAACCAATGGCGACAATCTTTTATTCGTTCGCTTGCCAGCTACTTTGTACAACGTTATTAATACGGATGCAATCGATACACACACAAAGATAAAACGCGCGTCGAATGGAAACACCTAATACACGTATAACGTTTACATACACTCACCTTCTCGCTCTTTCACTCTCTCTCTCTCTCTGGATACATATACTCACGCATACGCGCACACATAAGACTGTCTTTCACACGCTTATGATTTTAATATCGAACATTTGCCGAAATGGAAAAATGCAGTGTTGCCATTCGATCAAACGATTGCTTTTAACATTTGAAGCTTATACATAGCCATGGCTTCAACATCATCGCAAGAAGGTTCTTGGAAAAACCATGACTACCATATATGGATTGAATTCGATTGACAAGTGTTGCCATTGGATTTAAATCATATCGTTCTTTTGTTGTGTCCGAAATTTCGATCACAAACACGATCCAAATAAGGAAAAAAAAAACAAAATTCGGTATTGAGTTTTTAATAAATTTGCTCACATTTCGGCTTCGATAAAAAAATATATATGAAATATAAGTACGCAGGCGCAATCTTTTAGCGCCGATTACGTCGAATAATAAAAATAACGCTTAGCTCTTTTTTGCATCCAAACTATCCATTTGCCATGGCGTGTTGATTACTCATGCCAAACACACACGTATATATATATATATATAAATAATATAAGCAAACGTTTGGTAACGTCGATAATATTTCTAATCATTTTGTTGGATCTATGACTAATTTAATTTATCAAAACGATTTTGAATGAATCTCATAAGATTTCGGCGACATTAATCGCTGTACGTAATATTTTCAGGTACAGCATAAAATCATAATACATCGTCGAATCACAAATCAATTCAAATATCGAATATCCGATCAGAACCGATGTGTTTTCAGTGTTGCCGAATTGGATAACATGGTGATCATTTTTCGAATATATTCATCTCGATTCATGCATTCGCCGTTGACACTTTTGAACCGGCTTGTAAATGTATTTGTGAGGCCATCCAAAGAATAATGAGAAAATGTATTGAGTTTCATATATGAAAATGTTTGCTGTTACAAACAAGCCATTTTAATGAGATTGTTTGAATGTACGTGTAGTTGTGAACCGGCTTCACTTCGTTCATTTCGACAGTTATTGTTAGTCACGAATACATATACAATTCACACACTAGCACAACCAAAAGCAATATGTGCAAAACGAATTTTTACCTTTTATGGTCATAAACTGTGATGATGTCGCGCTCCTTCTATTTGTCTCTTTCATTTGTATTCGATGTTGCGTTTGACGTATGTACGTGTGTGCGTTTGTCGGTTTTGAGCGTACCGATTTGAATTGAGTGTACGCGATATATTCGCAATTCACATTTCAAATATGATTGATTGAATGCGATTGTTTATCGCCACATTTCGATGTGCAACTGAATGAAATGGACCACCATTTGGTTCTTAAGCTATTAATGAATTCTTCACTCGAATAAAAAAAAACAATGCCATTTTCATTCAAATTGTTCTTATATTGTTTTCTTCATAATTCAAGAATAACTAACACATTTTGAACATTCTCGGTACATATATTTCACCAGAAAACAAATGTCAAATGTGATGCAAGAGTAGCGAATCATTCTATTTTTTTTTTGTATACAATCTTATAAATAAATACATAAAATTACGATCAGTCAGTTTAAAATGCCTCGTTAACAGTTAATGACAGCCAAGGTATTTAAGATTAAAATATAAAAATGTATCTGCAACGAGTATATTATTTCATCGGAGATATGCGTAGGGATTTTTTCAGTTTTCTATATTTTTAACGGAATTAGAAGCAGAACTTTAGTCTAGATAGATTCAATGTTTTTGTATAGCGTCAATGCTTGTCCAAATGAAACCGCCACCATGTGTTGATACATCAGTGTCGACTGGCGGGTACGGCGTAGTTTTGTCCATATAATAGTCACTCGGTGCATGCATTACAAATTCCATACAAGATAAAAGACGTGGATGATCTTCCTCTGGTCCAATAATCTATAATGAAGACAGGAATACAATGGTAAAAATTGGCGAAAACAACAATATGTAAAAAAAGAAATGTCGAGCAACTAACATAGGTAGATGGATCGAATTCTTCATTTGGCGGTGGGCTACTTTGGGTTGGTAAAAGCCAAGATATTACGGCTGACTTTTCGCAGAAATTGTCCACTAATAAGCCACGTATCTGCGCATAAAATACATCGTAATTGGAATTGCATAAAGAGACAATGTCACCGATTTGAATGTAAGAACCCTGCGAACGATATTTGTTAAGACAAAAAAAAATCATCATTGAAATAAATTTGGAATACACCAACCTTATAGAATAAACTTTTAACATGATGAGTGGATGCTGGTATTGTTGGTGCTTTCATTGGTGGTCTTCGGAATAGGCTACGTCTTCCACGTCCACTCGGTTTTGTATTACTTGTTTTACTTGAATTCGAATTGCTAGTTCCAGGCAATTGATTCGATCCGGTGCCATTTTTACCACTGTACCGAGTACTTCTGGTGCTTTTCCTTAATTTACTTCGGTCCGGCTTACGTTGATTATTACCGTCGATCTCCTGTTTTGTATTATTCTTAGTTTGTTCGAAACAATCGTTGCACATATGCTGTGTGTCGCTTATTGATTTCCACAGCAATGCCGCAGTACAGTTGCACTGTGCACATTTTAATTTTTCACACAACACAATTGAAGACATTGCATTCGAAATCTATGTATTTTCGTTTAAATTTTTCGTTTTACGTTTAAATTATCAAATAGAAGCGATCGCGCCGAGACTGATGAAAATATTCTTTCCTTTAAATACATGCGAACAATAAACGTCAAACAATTGACAGTGAGAACATTCAATTCTCGAACCGTGTGCGAACCAATGACAACCAATTTTGACAGAACTCATTCGACCCATTTCAAGCAAATGTACGAAAGAAAAAAAAATCGGTTATTTTTTAACACATTAAATTTATGTTATCTTTTTCTTCAGAGTTTCAAGGCACATTTTTTGTTCTGCAATTTTGAATTCTGTATTTTTTTTTGTATGTTTTACAACAAACCAAAGGAAATAATGAACTTTTTTGCTTTATCACTTGAGATTTCTTAAAAAGTTGAACTTTTATTCTTATACTCACGATGCATTTCAATTGGTCTGGAGCTGAAAATTTCACGTCATAGGCTATGCCAATCAATTGAAAAAAAAAATTAAAAATGAAACAATTTTTTGATTATTTCGTTTTTTGCTGATTTTTTTTGTGATTTTTATTATATATTTTTCCATTCTTTGGCTTAATTAGTTGCTCTTTTTTGCTATCATATTTCATTTAATATTCATGAATTTAAATTCATTAGATTAGTTGTTGTTGTTTTTTGTTGCTGTTATTGTTTGCGCCACACACAAATGTGTGTATTTTTTCGATTTTAAAGGAAAATCAAAAAATGTCTATCATTTATTTATAATAAAATGTGTCACATTTCGTTTTTTTTTTTTAAATATGTGTGCAGGGCGTGCGATTTTGGTTTTGATTTTGAATCGTTATTCTTCATCTCGTTTTTTTTTCTGTCATGTTTTATACCTAATGCATTTACAATATTATGTATTTTAGTTAAGTTTCTGTTAATTTTTTTTTTCATGTTGAATAGACGATTCTCATATAGCGTAGTTTTTGCTATATAAATTGTTAATTTAGAAGGAAAATATTGTTCGATCTGTATTTACAGCTCCACTGTTTGACCGAAACCAAAATGAATTTAAAATCATTTCGATGAGGCAGTACTCTAAATAGTTGAGCCCACAATGTTGTAATGTGTTGTCATTCATCAAGAATTATTTCTGAGTTCAATTTGTTTTTGTTCGAATCGAATCATTGTATATTAAATGCCTAAATGTTTATTTTTCTCACTTGTTGCTTGTTCACAATTCGATCTTTTATGGGAGTCCTGTATCTGTATTAACTGAAATGGATTTGACAATTTAAATAGTTTTTAAACTTAGAACAAAAACAAAAACCTGAATTAGAGCCTAAAAATAACTTTAAAAAATCATTTTTCAATAAGTGTGTCTTTTTTTTCGTATCCTTGTTTTTTCATGCAAATGTATGGGTGTGGGTGTGTGTGGGAAAATTGCTCATTCGTGGAAATTCAATTGTCCTATGAAATTGATGACTAATCATGTTCTATCTTAATAATGAATAAATAAACGTACTAAAAATTCCAGTGGCATTCGCACAAATGCAATCGAAAATAATGTATAATTCTTTTCATCAACAAATCATAATAACATTTTAATTTTTTTGCCTAATTTCTGTTGATCGTTTACAAAAAAAGTTTTTCATCACCATTTTTGTCTCTTCTTTTTTTGTCATTTTTTTTTGTTTTCATTTGGAAGCACACATCTACACAATTTGTTAAATAATGTTGTTCTTTCTATAAATGATTTGCTTCAATTGATGTATGTTGGTTTTTTTTCATTAATTTCTCTTCCTTTTTGTTGATCACGCAAAAAACTAATTTTCTTAAACTTAAAATAAGTGCACAAATACGTTTCCATTCGTCTTATTTTTGCGATGAGGGATTTTTTTACCACTTAAACTAAGACCAATTTAAACATTTTTTTTATTATAGCAAATTTCTTGCGCGTATTTTTCATCATCTCATTCTTCTTTTTTTTTTGTTAAATAAAACGATTCGACTATTTTTGATGAACATCCGTTTATTGATTTTACATTCATTTTCAAATGATTTGTTTTGTTGCTTCATTTTTTGAGTTTTTGTTCGAATTTATGCAATAATTTCATTGTTGAACACTGTCATTTTTTTTCTTTCTTTTCTTTTTGTATTGTATGCTTTAATGGCGTATGGATATTGTGTATTTGGTTTGTATTTTTTGCAATTTTTTTTTATTGTTTTTGCCGTTTTTTCTTCATTCACTTTTCTTTGAATCGACCATTTTTTTCTTCTCAATCATTTTTTGTGAAACCCCCTCCAAAAAAACAAAACAATCGAGAAAATAACTATATTAGTTTATTTATAGTATATTCTGTTGTTTACTATTTAAACGTGTCTTCTTCTCTGTTCTCTACTTTTCATTTATTCTTCATAGTTACTTATATTACTCCGCAAAAACACCTATAAATATAAATACATACATGAGCAAAATAAGTGACGGCATAAGTAAAAGAAAAGAATGTCATTAAAACGGTAAAATACCTGACAATCGTGGTTGTCTGTAAGCACTTGAGAAACCTTTTCCTTCCGGTCCTTTTGGTGATCGAATCAAAATGAGACGAGGCATGCTTTCATCAATTGAACTATGCAATTTGAGACGAGAGAGCAGACGGTCTGGTCGTGGTGCAACATTTTCTGATATTTTAACGACATTGCATGCTGATGATTTGCCATTTCGCTATAAAAATGAATGGAAGCAGAGAACCGTACATGAATATGATTTGCTCATCAAATTAAATGAATGGAATTGGTATAAATTTAAAATGATAAATCATTTTTTGTTTAGATTTATCGATCGAACCTTGCTCACCTGATTGGTAACCACAGAAAATTCAACCGAATCGCCTGGATATAAGTTATTATGATTGCCATGTACTTCGGACATATGAAAGAAAAGCTTTTTGCCTTCGTCAACTTCAAAATTTAAAAATCCAAATTGACCTTTAATCGAATCGACAATAGCTCGTTTCTTTTTTCGTACGGCAGTCACATCCACAGCTCGGCTAGCTTCGTCCACTTTAAAAACGACCGGATCATCTTTTTGCAACAAATCACGTTTATTGATCAAACTTGTAATGCCGAATTCGTGCGATGATACCGGCTCACCAGCATCATTGATCAATTGAATTAAACCCGAATACTCTTCTTGGTCCGGATTGATGCAGCGCAATGGTCGTGTTACAATGCCATTGTATGCCGAATCAAGAACTTTTGGCTGTGAAATCGAACCACGTTGAAGTATTTTAACATTTTCAGCGGGCAAACAATTGCCAGAATTGCTACCATTACGTTTTGACAATGTGTATTCAACCTCTTGGCCCAACTCTAAGTTGCTCGGATTGCCAATAAAATTGCTAAAATGAAAGAATACCTCTTCGTCGTGCTGAATGGTTTCAATGAAACCGAAATTCTCCTTTAATACGGCCACAAAGCCTTGATATTTGGTTGTGTTTGCACTTGCACCACTGCTTACATCATCCGATTTACCATTTAGATTACGAGCCAATGCACTGGTTGTACGTACACTGTCCGGTGCACTATTGACGGTGCTTGTAGTTTGAAGCACAACACTTCCCGTATCCACAACACTTCCCGGTTGCTGCTGTACTTGATGTTGAATACACAAAACATCGACTATATTCACAGCTATTAACTCTTTGTTTCGTTTAACCTATTAAATGAAAATGCAGTTTTATTTATAAAAACATAAGCAACGGAAATTGATGGGGAAACGGTGATCGAACACTCACTTGGCAAATATCAAATCGAACATTATCGCCAACTCTTGGTGGTTTTTCGCAGTCTTTTAGGAAATACATTATAGTCTTCTTAGTATTGGCTTGTGTATATGTTATTACACCGCCTTCCATGCGTTCTTGAGACTTCACTGGGCTTCGCGGCGCTTCACGTGTCACCGTACCTATAACCATGACAAATCCAATCAAAATGATTACAATGCTTCGGAACACAATATTTTTTTGTTGCACAATGTGATTCATACCTTCAACATTTGTTTCCATCAAAGTCTCAAATTGAACTTTTCCTGGAGGCAAGTGTTTTATTCTAATGGCACTTAACCTATTGTTTGCAAAACTTGAACCAGGTTCTTGAATTGTTGTAAATTCAACCTCATCTCCGACGCGAATTTCTCGTGTCTATTTTATGATTTGAAACAGTTAACGAAAGCAAACAAACAAATTAGTCAATATAATTTGGACATTTTGGAGTATTTTTACTTAATTTTATTGGCGATATTCCTTTTTTTCAAGAAGAAGAAGATAATCTTACCGTGTCCAAAACTTCTGTGAAGTGAAAGAATAGACGAACATTTCGGTCAACACATCGTAAAAATCCGAAACCATCTTTAAGCGATGCGACCATTCCCTGTTCACGTCGTTCACCGGACAATTCAAACGTTTCTTCCAATAGTGAAATCGAAGTAGCTCGTTGTAATTGATCACGACGATCGGTGGCCAGCAAAAACTGTACCCAATCTCCATGGCGTAGAGTAAAGTCACCCTTCTGAAAGCAAAATTCATTTTTTTAGTTTTAAATTCAGAATTAAAAAAAAAAAATACAACCATAAACATACCTGATCTTTGTCGCCAAATGGAACCTCAACTTCAGAGTGGTCAGGTGCACGATAACGAATTCGGCCAGGCAATGGATCGTTATTGTGACGAACCGGATTAGCTCTTTCAAGTGGTTTGAGTACCTGTCCCTTGTACTGTTGTGTTCCAATGTCTTCAAAAACAACGGATCCAGGTGGTAATCGACTAATATTACAAGCCACTTCTTTGCCCTATCATTTCCAAATAAATAATTGATTTTTTTAAAAATCAAAATTCAATAGTTCTCAAACTATATGGTTGTGATGTCTAACTTACGTTTCGTGTTTGAATGATAAATTCAACGTCGTCACCAGGTCGAAGTTCAACCGTACCTTCGGCTTCAGAGAAATGGAAAAATATCTCTTTGACAACATCAGCACGTTCAATAAATCCAAATGATTCTTTCATTGAACAAACAACACCACGATATTTAACCGGATGCACTGGGTTCTCTAAGCGAATGTGACATGCACCCAAATTACCACGTTGATTTGTTGCAATTTGAAAACTGACTTTATCGCCTGAGCTCAATACAACATTTCCTTCGACATCGTCTTTAGTATACGGTAAAAAGAAACATTCACCGCGATTTTCGTAGCTTATTCGGCCGGTCGTTGTTTCACTAGCACTACCATCCATTTTTATTTCGGTTGTAACCGTTCCAGTGACACGTTCTTCCGATAAAACAACTTCCGGTGCAATTTTTGTCACTTGACTAGCAATCGGTTTACCCGTACGACGATCATAAGTCATTTCGAATTCAACTGGATCGCCAATTTTCAAATGTTCAATATTGCCACTGAATTGGGAAAAGTGAAAAAATAAACGCGCTTGACGCTCACAACACTGAATAAATCCGTACGAATGCTGCATTTTGAGTGAAGTATAATAGAAGATAAATGTTAATTTAAAAAAAGTCCGCGATTCAGAGGAGGTATATGAATCAAATAACATGACGATAAATACCAATAACTTTTCAATGATGCCAGTTTCGCGTGTTGCTTGATTTCCATCTCCTGATCCATTGTTGTTATTGTTATTGGTTGCAGTGGTGTTGCTGTTATTGTTGTTATGATTACCAGTACCAGAAAATGAATGGGATGATGTTGTTCCATTGATGCCGTTACCTGTTAAACGATCACATGTTACTAATTGCTCAAAACAAATGCTTTTTTTTTGTGTGTGTTACACCAACTTACTCATCAGCTGCGAAGCGGTTGCTGGATTGAAATAATCCGTTTGGGGAAATGTTTGATTGGCAGCCGGTTGTGTTGCTTGCTCAATTGAAAATGTACCAATGGGAAAATTGTTTGCCGAATTGTTCAATGTGTTGTTTGATGACGCATTGAAATAATTATCACGAGCAACATATTCACCAAACTCAGAAAACGAACCTACAAAAAATTTATCATTCAAATTCAATAAGCAATGCCATTTTATTCGAACGATTTATAAATGGAAGATGTTTACTTACCGTTATCACCAGTGCGATGTTGTTTGTTGGCACTAACATCCGATGAAATGATACGTAGCGCATTTTTGAATTCATTAATCATGGATTCGGATTGCATCGTCGTTGATTCACCGTCTTCCTCTTTGGATATAGCTCCATTGTACGAAGAGCCACGAATGTACTGTGGCATATGGAATGTATTCCCAATTGATTGTTCGGACATTCCATTCATTTCGCGAACATTTGCGATGGTTTGAGCACGTTCGATACGTTTCTGCTGCAATTGAAAAGAAAAAATGAGTTGAAACGTAAATAAATTGATTTGCAAAAAAGAATAAACTATTAAATAACTGTACCTGATGTTGTTGTGTATTGCTCGTAGCCAAATTGGCTGTGTTTACAATGGGTCGACCAGTTTTTACAATCGGTTGATTTGGATTGAGTTGCTGCTGTGAATCGAGACAATTTTCAATAAAATTACATATCTTAACAAATCATCAAGAATCAGACGTATGCTCTGCAGGTAACAAAAAGGCTAAGATAAGACACAATCCACTCACCGACTGCGGTATGATTGATTGTTGGATGTTGCTGACACCGAGTCCACTCAAATTATTGGCAACCGTTTGCGAATAGAAATTGCTCTTTGCTACCATGATGTTATTGGTATTTGGTACAATGCCGCTGCTCAACGAGTTGATACTCGTGGCTGGTGCGGCAGATGAGTTAACATTTACCCCGGCATTATTGCCAAGAAAGCTAAGTTGCAACAAATTCAGTATGCCATCAGTCGAATTCTTCGATAGAGCTGAATTACCGCCAACACCCAAAAAATTGTTGGACATAGTGCGTGTTCAGTGGGATTTGAATATATCAAAACTGGCGTACGAATTTATTTGTGTGGTGTATGTGTGCTCAAGATACTTTCTCACGGGAGAACTCGATGGGATAACACAAATTTTATGGTTGAAATTGTGTGTTCGGTGATTTCCGTTTAATTTTATTTTTATTTATTTTTTTTTTATTTTCCTTCTATTAATTTAACTAAAAAGTCTTTTAAAATCAAAAATCGTGTCTAAAATTATTATTATTTTTTGTTGTTTTGTTTTGCTTTTAGTCTTTTCGTTTCAGATTACTTTCTATTCTATTCACTTCTATTAAAAGTAACTCCTTCTTTCGCACATTCAAACTTATGGTAAATTTCTTTTATGTATATATTGTTTATCTTTTTTTTAGCTTTAAGTTGTATAAATAATTCAATTTTTTTTTATTTCTTTCACAGAAATTCAATGGTATATTTTTCACGTCACTTGATCTATCTCTACTACTTTTTTTTAAAAATTATTGCAATGTCGCTCGACGATTTCTTTAGGCAAATATTTCGTTATAAATTTTATTCTTTTTTTTTATTTATTTATTTTAATTTTTTTTTCTTTGTTTCCCTTCCGTTTAAATAGATTAAATTCACTTCATTACACAGATTATTGTATGAATTTACTACGTGCACTTGTTTTTGTTCCAAAATCAGGGTAATATTGATGATTAGTTGAACTATCTCACTGACTCTTGGAGCCGTGAGAGCAAAAGGTTGCGGGCGGGAGAAGCGAATTCTTCCCGTGCTGGGAGAATGGATGGTTAGAGCCTCCACGACTTCGAAGCTTGCTTGCTGTGCCAATTCACTTCCCTTATCAATTCAAGGTGTAGCCGAAAAAATGTGATTTTTCTTCGATCGTTTGTTTTATGATTGATGCTTTTTGTGTACGCAATTTTCTTTATATATAATTATTTTGCTATGCGATGCGATGAATTCTTTTTATCTTTCTTTTATGCACTGGATTTTTGTTTTTTTTTTTTGAAATTTATTTATTAAAAACTTAGTTAATCGATTTAATCTTAGAATAATTTAGGTTTACTTGTTGTGATTTCTTGTCTTTTCTGTTATCCGCGTCTCCCTCCGTTTCGCTAATAATTTGAATACTTTATTGAATATGTATATATATAATATATAATATTAATAATATAATATATTTTTATTCTTGTATCACAGTATTGTTGTCTCCTTTATTATTATATATTTTTTTGTTTTTTTTTTTTGTTTTTTTTATTTAAATTTATTTTTATTTTATTTATTTATTTTCATTTAGTTCAAGCTTTAATATAAATGTTTCTCGTTTCAGTATTTACTTGAAGTATGTTTGTTTATTTTTTTGTTATTGTTTTTTTGCTCTCTGTAGAATTAAATTTTGTTTAATGCAACGCTTTTTGTATTATTCAGGGATCGACTTGTGATTGGCGAAGAGTCCGGGGCGTGCATTCGTCGGTGACAAAATCGGTTCTCACTGGTTTCTTTTAATGTCCTTATCTACCGTATTTTTGTAATTTTTGTTGTTGTTGTTGCTGTTGCCGCTTTAAATTTAATAGTTTTTTAGTTGTATTATTTAAAAAATATCGCAATCCGTTTTAGTCTTAACCACAATGTCTTTTTGTCCTTCAATAATTTCGGTTAAGTTTTGTTTTGTTTGTTTTTCTTTTTCTTGTTTTAATTTATTAGAAAAGCACTTGAAGTATGAAAGTATTGCAGTTTTATTACTTTGTGTGTTTTATTTATTTATTTATTTTATGTTTCTCGCTACGTTTCTTTTTTTTCTGCTCTAAAGCGCATCGGCTTATCAATTTGTACTTAATTTGAGATTGATGTCAGAACCAAAAAAAATCATCGATATTTCTCCACTTTGCGAAGTAGTTCTTTTTTCACAATTCATTAAGGGAAAAATGTCCGTGTTTTATTTTCAAAATGATGATCTGAGTTTCACTGTTAAGGAGAACTCATCGAACAACAAAATGATAAATAAGTGATTTCACAGGATCGTGTTTTTCATTCAGTCCTTTTTTCAAAAAAAAAAAAAAAATGTTTCTGTTTGCCAAATGTGACAAAAAATATCGAGGTTACTCAACGACAACAAAAATTTAAAAAAAATATATATTGTAAGTGTAATTTAACTAATTCGTTATGCTGTAATTCGTTTTCTTCTGATTTCAGCTAGACTGGATTTATTTGCACTTGATTGTTATTACGGTTTGTTGTATCTCTTGTTTGTTTATTTTCACTTGGTACTGGAATTATTACTACTTGCTTTGTTCTCGATTGTGTGTGTGTGTGTGTGAGAGAGAGAGAGTGAGTGAATTCGCTTATTCCACAGATGCAATTCTAAAGATGAATGTTTATTGTATTTTATTTTGTATGTTTGAAAAATAGAGCACAATGAATGTTTTACTTTTAAATGCCTTTTTGTTGGTTTCCTTTGGATTTGTTCCGGTTCATCAGTTTTTTTTTTGTGTGTTAAATGATTGCAACAATTTTCGCACAGGAATACTTTAATATACGATGAGTGTTGATGGATGTTGAGTTTTTTGTCTCTGTTTTCTTTTACTTTTTAAATGGGTTCTTTTTACCGCTTTTTTCGGTGATGGATTTCAACAATATATTTTCCTTTGTCGATTTAGCCAGGCTATGTTTTGTTGCATTTGTTACGACTTGTTTTTGATTTGTTTTTGGTTACAATTGTGTGTGTGTGTCACTTGACGAATCCAGATGATAATAAATATTTTTATCAGCTGAGAGAGTCTCACGTTCTTTTTCTGTTCTATTCCTTGTGATAATGTCGCCCCGTCGTTCAAAAAGTGAAATCGAAATTGTTGGCAAATTGTTTTGCGAGTTTTTGTTTTGGGATGATGATGTTATAGTTGATGTTGTTGTTGCTGTTCGTGTGGTGTTGTGTTTTTTTGGCGTTTTCTCTTGTACTAAAATATGAATTTGATCCACGTAAATGTGAGTGTCTGGCTTTTTAAACTAAGACCAGCCCCAGGGCTCGCAGCCAATTTATCGTTGAACCGTTCAACTTTCGCTGTCCTATTAAACCGCTATATAAAACTTGGTATGCGTACTCTACTGTTTGATATTTTGGTTTCCTTTCGATATTTTGTATTTGTTGTTGGTATGTTTCTCCCCTTCAATCCCGATCGATCTCTCTTGATCCACCGTTTTTTGTTGCAATGTAGATGTTGTTAATTAAATTTTATTTAATCGCTTGATTTAGTTAATGTTTAAATTTATCACTATTCGTAAATGTGTGTTGTTGTTGGTTTCTTTTCTCCCTTTGTGTCCCAAACTCAAGATTGGTTGCTAGCAATCTGTTTATTATATATATATTGGTTTTATTGTCCTATAGTTAAACTAGTTTTCACGTTTTCACTTAACTTTGTTCCAACAGTTCAGTGTTGCGTGTGTGTATGTTGGGTGTATATTATGTGTTTTATTTTTTGCGTTTTTTTAGTTTAATTCTTATGATTTTCTTCTTTTTCTTTTTCTTTAAAATATTTTTGTTGTTGTTGTTGTTTCGATAATAAGTTCTAATGTATCTAAATTGTTTTATATTTTTAGTTTTGAAATCACCTTGGCCACAATGCGCGTATTTAGCGCGCGATTGTATACGTTGATGCAACTAAATGAAGATGTATTTTGTGTTTGTTTGTTTGCTTTCGTGTCTGCACTTGTCTCTCTTTTTTGTACAATCCAATAAAATAACGGAAAATAAAACGTCAACACGTGCTGTCGTGATCACGATAAAAAAAAAACAAGAGAAAAATAATAGATGAGGAACAAATCAGTGTTTATTGTGATCTAACACCGATGATTAAGATGTTGATTATGAGAAAAAGCGCCTTCACATCCACAGCGAGCTTCTTATGCTTTGTTCTATGTTCGTTGATTGAATTAATAACAAAAACGGGAAAAAAGTGTTAACATGTAGTTGTTTTCAGGATCACTTGTTTTGTATATATATATATATGTGTGTTTTTTTTTGCTTTAAATCAAAATGATTTACTTTTCTCTACAGTTCCAATGTTCAACTAATATTTTTCGTAGTTTGTGTTTTGTATTCAGTTGACATCAATTTTTGTACATAAATTATTCCATTAGAACAGATATTTTAGTTGCTATTGATTATTATTTCATTTATTGTGTGTTTTTTTACTTCTTTTTTGATGCGAGTACAGAGAGATTCAGTTAACTTTGTCGATAAGTCTTTTGGTCTAGAAATGTGTGTAAATATATGTTTAGGTTTAACAGGCATCTCCTGTAATTGAAAAACAAAAAGTGTAAAAACAATTAATATTCAATTGATTTTTTTCTTAACTTATCAATAATAATCATCCTGCGATAGGTAGTCATTAAAACTTCAATAAATAATAAATAAATAACGAAAAAATGTTTGGTTAAATCGTAAGATCTATGAATTGGCAGTAAACAAATTAAAAGACATGCAGTTAATATTTAAATCGATAGATAAATCGAAAAGACTCGCACACAATCATTCATTTTGGTGACACAAAAACTTAAAACAAAAATTTGGAATTTCTTTGGCAATTTATGTTCTTCTTCTTTTTTATAGTTTAAAAACAATGCACAATATTTTGTTTGGTTGGTCATTTATCTATTCTATTGCAATATCTATATTAGCAATATTAATATTTATAAATAAATGGAATTATATTTTTGGATTCGAAATTCGCATATCGATTGAAAAATACATTTTTTTTTCTATTACAGGAAGTGGAATGAGAAAAACACGATTTTATCCCCGTGTGCAATAGTGCATATGATAAAAACGAAAGTTTTTCAAATAAGAAAATAAAAAAAAATGGTTAGCTGCATCTAGTAGAAAGATGGTTGAATGGTATGAACCGTCAAAAAATTTCTCCAATTATTTTAATAAGTCCCAAAAAAATGTGCCGTTGTTCACTTAAATCACTTTCTCCATTCAAAAATGCACAAAGTATTCAATATTATTTCGTTTGCTGGAATATTCTTTGTTTTCCTGAATGATTGGTTTTTGTGTCATTTGCGATTGAGAACGAAAAAGAATTGAAAATGATGATGTTAAAATTGATGTATGCACGTCGTTCGCTATTGAATATACATATATCGTCATCGTCGCCGACACTCAACTTTTTTTTACAGTTAATGTGGATTAAAAAGAAATTGAAACGCATCGAAATGATATTGCGGAAACAATTGGCATTGCATACAGAACATTTATTCGGTTCTATGTACAGTAAATGTCCCAGTTGGAACAAGCTACTATGTTATTTGCACGTTTTAAATTTGAAACATTCGCTTTTGCATATTTGTTGTTGTTGTCTTCGATTCAGCCTTTTTTGTATGATGTCTTTAAATTATTGTACATTATTTTTTGTTGTTTTCGCACCGAACGAAGAAGAAGACAGTTGTGTGATTGTATTTCTGATACACTTTCATTTCACTTGGTAGACATTTGGTTCTAATGCATTTGGCTATTTTCTCTCTATCTCTTTTTGTTACTTAATCAATCCCTTTGTGATAACGGCAAAAAAGTAATAGTAATAACTTGTTAACGAAAAAAAAAAAACAATAATGATACTACACGCTTCTTTTTTCAATCTTCAGTTTCAGTGTTCACTTTTGGCAACAAAAAAGGCCACGAAATAAACGCAGAAGAAGTACAAAAAAAATCACTTGTATGCGAGTCTTTCAATATGCACTATATGTTAAACGAATTGGCCTGTCTTTTCTCTGTTGAAAATTTCTGCCGTTTGTTTACCAATCGCATTCTCTCTATCACACACACACACACACACTTATACTGTGATTAAAAAAAAATTTCTACTCGTTACGCAAAACTGCAAACACTATCATTAATTCAAATTCGTTTCTTTATCTATTGTATTATCCCTTAAACAATTTTCTTTTATCTCTACGAAGTTCTACAGTTTGGATACTCTTTTTAGGTGTTAAGATGTTTTTTTCTTCATTCCTTACATTTGCTTTGTCTAAAGTGAATTCTCTTCGTTTTTCTATCTTTTCTTGCTTTATTTTTTTTCTTCTTTTTTTAACTTGAATTTATTTCTCGTCTTAGATTGTTCTATTTCTATTAAGTTGTTTAACTTTCGGTTGCTATTTTACTTTTTTTTGTGTGTGTTTTATTATTTAAGTTAATTTAAAGTTTTTTTTTATGTGTACAAAAATGAAATTAAACAGAACACGACAAGACAGCTACGCACCGACGACATGCCGCCATGTTAGTTTTATATGTAAGAAGAAGTAGTAACAACAATAGTAATACTGTTAACGAGAGCAAAGACTTCGTATTCACACATAAGTATGTGTGCACAACTGCACAATCAGTATGTACTTAATATACCGTTTGATTCTCACTTTTAGTTGGTGTGTGCGTGTGTGTGTTTGTGTGTGAGAGTTGTTGTTGTTTTAACTTCGATGCGAAGTAGATATTGCACCTGAAATTCTCTTTCATCCAAAACATCGCATAATCCGATCGATGAATAAATCAATGCAAATTGATTGAAATATTGACTGATTTTAATGATTGTTTCATGCGTCATTCTCTTCAAATGCAATTTAAATCAACAATTTATGTGATTGTGAATGTATGTTTCTATATACTTGGAATAATTACTTCCAAATTGTTGTTCAATGTAAATGTACCTTGGTGGGTACTCAACTTGGTCAGAATGGCTTGACGTTTATAGTACTTAATGAAAATGATTATTGCCGATGACTATGACGATGACGATGATGGTGACGAGATATTATTTACTATGCCGCCTTGCGTTAGTACATGAATGCGATTTATTACCATTTTCACCATACCATCATACTCAACACGCACAAAGTATTGCCAGTTGCGTTTTATCTATATCACATTGATTTTGTATGCACATTTTTTATTGAACTACTTAAGAAAGAATAGGTGGCTATGTGATTTAGTTCATCGCATCTCCGTTGTGCAGATTTTATAGATTTTTCTTCTACTTATAATCTCAAATATTTTGTGCAAGTGTGTGTGCGCCCGCGCGCGTGTGTGTGTGAAACGAATAGTGCTAAAAGTTTAGTACATTTTAGCTGAATAGACATTTAACTATTTTATATATGTCAATAACAACATACAACATCAGTTTTTATTTATTTACCTTTGTCACACAAAAGTGTAAATGGTTTGACACCTAATGATTCGATTTCATGACAATTTATTTGAATCAATTAAGGAAATAATACGGTGCAACCAAAACATATTAACGCCATCAAAATGTGGGACATCTCATTGATATTTCATGAAAAGGTACGCGAATTCACACCACTGAATCATCAGGTCAATGGTTATTTATAATAATTTCTGGTGTGTCTTTCCCAAAATACTGTCTCGCACAAGTGATTTTCTTATAAGAGTGCGTGTTCTTTTTTTTCTTTGGATATTTATAGCAAGAAGGCAGGCTATGTGCGCAGCATTGTTTGAATGCAGTGTTGCAAGGATCATATTTCACGGCTGTTGATTTAAGTGAAATAGCAATGGGTTTGGACGAAGAGGAGCGCAAACAAATGTCCGAAAATGAAAAAGGTGTTGAATCGTGAGTAGAAAAATTAAATTCTAAATCGACCAATTTCCATGTCTTCAATCGATTGAATCGATTCTAAGAATCATGAACATTAAATTGAATTTTTATTTCTCAAAACACAGGGAAGATTACAAGAGATTCCTGCAACAACCGTCGGGTAATATACTTTACTTATAATGTGTTGAATTATTTTCAACTTTTTTTTTGCTTTTGCCTCGCACAGGTAACATGGATGATACGGGTTTCTTTTCAGTTCAAGTGATTAGCAAAGCGTTGGTGCTATGGAATTTGGATTTGATACCATTAAATAGTAAAACTAATTCGATTGCCACCGACATTCGGGCGAATCCAACCAAAGCCCAAGCATACATATTCAATATGGAAAGTCATTGGTATTGCATACGTCGTTTCAAATGTGATACAACACAAAGGCCACCATCCAACGAAACATACGCTTACTTTAATTTGGATTCGTTGTTAAGTCGGCCCGATTACATGAGCAGCTCATTCTTATTAGAATATATCAAACAAATGCAAAACGAAGGCTATTCAATATTTGTTGTGAGCGGCGATTTTCCGGAAAGTGTATCGGAGCCAATCAAATATGTGCCAAACAGTGCACCACCAACATCGTCAACCGCCTTCATCGATCTAACCAAGTCCGAATCAAAGGTGTCGGACGACGAAGACATTCAACGTGCTATTAAATTAAGTCTCGATGAATATTCAAAGAAATACGATCGGTATATGCCACCAGAGGCGACAGAATACAAAGCCAGTAGCAGTGGTGCATCAACATCGACGGAGAGTAACTCCGATTTGGATGCCGCATTGAAATTAAGTCTGGAATGTTTTGGTGGTAGTGGTCAAGAGCTCAGCAACACAAATAAATCGGAAACGCTCACCCAGAATCAATTGAGAGACAAACGTTTAGCTTATTTCAGTGCAATGTCTTCGAATGACAAGTAAATTGATTTACACTACTTTTATTCACCAAATGCAAACGAAGATTATAACATAAAACACGAGGAATATAATGTGTTATCGTATAACAAAACTAACAGTTAAGTTTTAATTTTTAAGAAAGAAACAAAAAAAAAACACATACACAACACTTCTAACTCTAGTTATTTATTGATTTATTCGTTGTTAAATTTTTAATTTGAAACAATTGAAAAAAAAATTGAGTTAAGTGAATTGTAAAATGTAAGCTGCAAAGTGCGCTGCGATCACAAATAATTTATAATAGAATAAATAATGTGCCTTTGAAGCAACACCACATAACTGAAAATATCAAATAAAAAACTAAAACATAATTCATTTTTGAACAATTTATTTTCTTTGAACAGCCTTTGTCTCTAATTTAGAGGATCGCTTTATAAATGTCGACCGGATAAATATCGGATCGGATCGTACAGATTTTTTAAAAACATCAAATAGTATTAAATAAATATAATAAATACTATAAAAAAATATCACGAAATTTTCTAGAAAACTATTTCGATTGTCAGTCTTTTGTCATATCAAAAGTAATTAGCTTAGAAGCTGTGCTTCGCCAATTTCATACACCATTTGTTGTCTGAAGCGCAGCATATCTTGCTGGGTGAAAGTAATTGCCTGATTTCGTGTTACATGTTCCGCGTACATGCAGCTGAATACGCCGCAATCGTAATCATTGTCCTGTTGTGGAGTGATAACGCAAGTTTTCTTAAATTGGCTAACATCGATTTTCCTTTCTCTGGCGCAATCCTCTATATATTTAAATAAGTTTTCCAACATTTTTTTATTTCGTTTTCCCTTTGGATCATAATATTGAATGATCCTATTTTTTATATGTATAATAGCCATACACCAGTGATTACCATTGCGGTGGATAGGCACCACAATTATGTCGTAGTCAAAAATGTTAGTCTTTCGGGGTATATGTTCACTTCGAACACCTGCTTCTGATAAGAAGAATGTGCTCACAGCATAAACACTTGGCAAATTGTTATCTAGGCTACGTTCAGCCAATAAATTCATGTAGAAATTAATCACCATGTCATCGAGCCAAAGATCTGTCTCTTTGTTTGCGTTCAATCGCAAAGTTTGAATACTCTTGCGTGTTATAACTAAGCCATACTTGGTAATTAAGACAGTATCTGGGTCGTTTCCTTCGATCAATTCATATATTCGTCTCATTATCTCATCGTCAAAAAAATCCGGTGGTTCTTCATTTGTTTGACCAAAAGACTGTTTGGAACTAGATTCATTTGCTGATTTGTTACTCTTTCGAACATAATTCACCGTTTTGCCTGATAAAAAATGACAACAAATTACTCAATGAATTCGCAAAATCTCAAATAAAATATAATCTTGTATACGTTACAAAATGATATTGAAAATGTGTGTCTTTCAAATATCGGATCTTCAACGTTAGTGTTGATATTTAAATTTTAAAATTTTGATGCAATTCTCAGAACATATCACCCAACGTAGCGGTACTTGTACTCTTTGTTTTCGATTGGACCACCAGTTGCAATACCATTTTAAAATAATAAAAATCAATTCTTTGCATGTTCGAAATATCATTTTTCCAAAAATCGACACTTACCTTCCACTTCTATGAGTTGCTTTAATTTCTCCGAATTAGCCACGAGATTGATGATTTTTTTTAGATATTCTGGAGTCGGACGGGTTTTTAATGATAGGCAAATAGTCACCTTGGCCATTGTCACATGGCCATTGTCACATGGAATTTTCAACTCAAACCCCGAATTAATGTGATGAGAGAGTACCAATTCAACAGGCGGATTATTAAGCGTCAAAATGCGGATAAATGCGTTATTTTTGTCCCCACCTCCAACATTAATTTGGTTTTTCATTAAATATTGAACATAGCCCTGGTCCAGATTCTCCAGAATCTGGAAAAAATGATATGTGCAATTTTTGAACGTTTCAACGCATATAGATCAATTTTTTACCTTTTCAGTTGTTTTACTTCGTTTAGGATTCTGCTTTTTAGGTGGTCCATCATCATTCGATCTTTTAGAACCCATATTGTACGTCGAAGAGCTCATAAATTTATCAAATGTTTATTGATAAAAAATATGACTTGCAATCTTTTCGTTTTTCAACTCAACAATTTTTTGGCGGCCAGGTACGAAAAGCAAAATGGTTGGCAAAATCGAAATGTTTGACATAATTCAAATCGCAAATGATTGTCATCTACTACGAAAATGAGTTTGAATTCAATCAAACATAAAAATGTGTAAAAATATCAAGTTGACTGTCAACAATTCTTATCATGGAAATTATCGATTTTAATTGTTTTTATTCCACCTTGCAAGCAGTTTATGCATCAATTTTCAATATAACAAAAACATACGGATACAACAATGTATCCGATAATTGATTGAAAGGTTTTTTTATGTCTCAGAAACTCTTTTGACAACTGTGTATTTAAAGGCCGCAAACAACTATATATTTACTATATGTTTACAATGTTGTTAATTGAACAATTTAAGTACTTTCGTAAGCAAGTTGAATTCGAAAAAAATTGAGACCAAATACTTTGTATCAGAAAATGAGAAGCAATAAATCAATCAGTTCAAATGAAAATATTCAGAAATGCATCAATTAGTGGATTTACAATTGTACATTGTACATATTGTACATAAAAATTCTCAATTCGTTGTAATGGTGACATCGTTTCAAATATAAGTCATAAAGTAAAGAATCTAAGTCGTAAAGTAAAGTCAACATCAAGCCGAGCATTTTCAAGGCATTTCAAATGAGATCATGTCAACAGATGCTGATCACAGAAAGCAGCGTATCCTCTGAAACCATCCGACACACTTTCGCCGGTAATACCTTTTTGACATTTATTCGATTGTCCGAATGTGAGACTTCTCTAGATATTTCAATGAAGTCTTTTAATCACTTTAATAGATTGTAACATCGCTATTAAAGAAAAGTTACATTTCAATAAAATCTCGGGGGAAGTCTCAAAGCACGCCTTCTCACATATATTGCTCAGAGATGCAGCAGTATGACCCCTTCAACTTACCGACCGTATATATACATGATATCAATTGTATCATCTTTCACTTTTTTATTAAAATAAAAGCCAATTCAGATGAATTGACAATAATTGATTTTTGAAAAAGCATTTCTGTGTCAATGTGAACAAATGTGTTTTTTAACGGATCATTTGTACGTTAACCCATTAAGTTCTAGCCCATCGTCTGATTATGAATGGTGCCGACGGTATTGTGCCAATTTCAATTCCGAAATATATGATGTCAGAGCACCGTTTTACATGTTCAAGATCAGTTGTGTGATGATCATTCCATTCGAATGTGACATTCATACGACAAATATAATAGTGGAGAATGTCCGAATGCACAATCCCATCATCAAAATATTTTGATATCAACACACAACATTTGCGATACATATGAAACAAACGCGTTCAATTTATTTATCTCTAGTTGTCGTATCACCAAAAGGGCAACGACTGAATCAACATCCTATATTATAATTTGTACATAAAGATTTAGAAAGGCGGTTGCAATGTGTCCACTTCTTGAAAGTGCGTGTGTCTGTGTGTGTATGTTTGCGTTTTGGATTAAATAAACTCAATGAACACACACGAATTGTATCAATCTTTCATTTACTCAAAACTATTCGCATGCAAGGAAGATTTGGAAAATCATTGATTTGTATGGTTGGTATGCAGAAAAAACAACAACAACAAAGAAACAAACAAATACAGCGACACATACGCACATTCCAACATATTATATGCGAGTGCCGAATGTGCTGATAACGACCAATGTTAAATGTGCACTATCAAATGTATCCGAACTGTTTCTCACACAATCGACTCACTCGATACTGGGACTCTGCAACGCACATTTAATATTTTCACATTTCCAATATGTTATATGTATATGCAGTCGAAACAAACGAAGCAAACTCATATGCACAATACAATCTGATATGGTTGGGATGTATTTCGTTCGTTGCTTCCATGTATACACATTATTTTGTTGTGTCTTTTGTCTCTCTTCCTTGCACGCATACATCTGCGTGTAATCTGTTCCTTCTATTTAAACATTATCGGGTCTTAAACTGACAGCGGTGAGAGTGAAAGAGATTATGAAAAGACAACGAGACGAAGAAAAAAAAATAAAAACAACGCACACAATATGTATATATATATAAAAAAATAGAATCGTATGTTGTTAAATATATTCTGTCGAATTGCGTTTTCCTGGCTCTGCCTTTTCCTATATATTTTTGTGCGGCTGTATGAAATTGTATTTTCGAAATATGAAGCAGTTTTCGATGTACCTCGGACAAACGATGTTCGACTTTTAGCTAACCCAAAGATCGTGTGCATTGTTTGTGTCGATTCAAACAAATTTTTCTTCTGATCTAAGTCTGTTTGTTATTTTTTTATTTTTTCCTGTATGTAAAGAAAGAGTTGTTTTCATTTTCGATTTTTTTTAATGCAAATAATTTTGTTTCCCATTGATCAGCAGTAAGTGATGAGCTCCTGATGAATAAATAGCAACATCTGATCGAAAACTCAGTCACAAATAGATTTTCAAGTGCTACTTAATCGAAACGACACCGAAAACATTTATTGGCAAATCTCTGAACATCAGTGTGGAATTTTAATGAAGATTTTGGTTTTCCAGCAGAGTCAACATACACAAATAACACACGCAAAACATGATGAGCTTCAAAAATTTCAATTTTGGTTACACTATATTTGTGATTCTCATATTGACAACAATAATTAACGGTAATTCACTTCGGGAAGCTCTTCATTAAATGAACGACTAATTGTTTATGTGAAATTTCAAATGATACGATTGTGTTTTGACTTTATTGACGATCAAAATCGATCGTTTCCATTAATTCGCATTAATGTTCTATCCGTTGCCGTATTTAGTTCTTATGATGAGTGTGTGTGTGTTTTTTTGTATTTGTGATTCACAGTCACGGCTTGCGTCTAAAATTATAACTAGCAAATAAACGGACGCCGTCTTGAATTTTATCTTTGAATGGAGTTTTCCACTAACTGAACCACATCAGAACATATGCTTTATATAAAACATTTCGTTTTCAATTTTGTTACAAATGTATCTTAATTTAAGAGGGCCGCCAATGTTCTCATTTAGAATAGATTCATGCACATTCACTCTAAATGCAGCATACAAATGCAATGCTTCATTCATTCAAACCGACCAGTGGCGTATTTCGACAAGCATTTTTTTTTTCTCGTTTAGTTGAGAATACCCTAAACGAATATAATCAAATCGAATCGTATTTGCTCAAAGAATGTGTGTTCAAATTAGTCGTTATTTGGTGTTGTTGGCCGTTATCAAGATGCAAAGGGGTTTATTAGGTCAAACAGACAAAGTACTTTTATAAATAATACGCTTATATTTTCAAATTGAATGAAAAAAAAACACATACACTCTGCGTCTGTTCATTAAAGTTGAGCGTTCTTTTTGAAGAGACAACCATACACAAGCATATATGTCTTATATATTTTTTTGTTTTAAATAGATGGAATGTTGTGTGTAAATGCTTGTGAATTGGACCAAACACAGCACGGATGTCGCATTGATAACGGTGCTTGTTCTTGTTCGTATGGCTGCAAATCGGAATTTCGTTATGCAAATCTAAAAGAATGCAACGATGCTCTGAAGGTAGATACACTTTTTAATGTTTGGTTTTTTTGAGGAAAAATTTATGTATTTAACTTAAATTTCAAATGTTCCATTATTTGCGGGAAAATATGAAGGGCCGTTCAAATGATATATGCAATCGTAAACCGTGTCAACATAATGGTGTTTGCACTCAAATATCCCAATCGCCTGGATATCGATGCAAATGTGACGGCACGGGATACCATGGGAGTCGATGCCAAATAAAATGCCCGGATCCAAGTAATCCTTTAGATCCACAATTGAAACAATTCCCATATGAATGTATCATGATTTGATGAAAAGAAAAGAAAAATGCGTTCGTTCAAATGCATGCAATCAGTTGTTGTGTTAACAAGAAACTAGTAGCCATATGTTTTTTTCTCTTTCTTTCTTATCCTCAAAATACACACAAATATAAAATCAACAAAAATTACTGAATATAATCTTTAGTGTTTATCTATCGTGCCAAAGAAAAGTTCAACTCTGTTCTGATTAGAGGCTTAGTTTGTCTTGTAGTCAATAAGCAATTTTTTCGTATTTTTTTTTTAAACATAACAACCGATTTTCAAACTAAAAGAAAATAAAATTGAAAAAAAAAAAATGAATGAAACATTGTTTTATTAATCTAGTATTTTCCATTCATCTGCAACGCTATTCATTCATGTTTGTTATCAACATTAAAGAAATTCGATCATGTTGATGAACATGTTTTTTAAATTAAATTTATCACTTATCAATCAGTTCTGCATTTCAAAGAATCTAGCTAGACAGCTAAGTATATTATTCTGATGGAGACAGAGCTGTCATATGCACCGCGGAGGTGCAGGCACTTTTAAGTGTCGCTCTTTCTCTCTCTCTCTCTCTCTCTCTCTCTCTCTCTCTCTCTCTCATTTATTCAGGTTTTGCACCTAAAAAGTTTTATGTATTAGGTGCCTCAACTTTTCCGGTGCCAACGATGGCATGGATTGAAAACTGGATGTCCTATTCGCCCGTTTATTTCAAAGGTCAACGTTCACACCAATCTTACAGTTCTGTGTAATTGTTTTATGTGAAACTCTGCAATCTCTGTTGTCTTGAGCTTAATGACATAAACAATGAACAGCTGTATTGTTAAACCAATTTAAATGTTACCATTTCTTATTAAAGAAATTATTTAATGTCAAAACAAAATGTGATTGAAACGCACGATTGATGTGCAATTTTTACATTTGTTAAATTTTATTTATATCTTCCTTTCATAAACGTTTGTTTTTCTTTTTCTCTTTATTAGTGATATTATGAATTAATTATAAAAAAAAAAAAAAAATGAATTAATTATAAAAAAACTGCAGAGATGATCGAGCTTAAGTATACCGAATTGGGCAATGGGCTCAATAAATAAACAAAAGTCGTATACGCGTCGCGTATTCGAAACGTTGTAAAAAGACACGACCTACTTTTTCTTCTCGTCTTTCGCTTTTTCATCTTTTTTCGCTGTGCCATTGGTGGTTGCTTCCTTATCACCTTTAGCGCCATCTTTTGAATCCTTATCTTTGTCTTTCTTCTCTTTTCCATCGTCTTTCTTACCCTCTTCGGCATCTCGATTGGTTAATTTATTGTTGATCAAATTGTGCAATGCGATAATCGAACGAACCATTGACGCTAAATAAACTACCAGCATTTGATCGTTTGTTTTGACATACATGGTTTCGGTGAACGTGTCTTGGGTTACGTCTGGCAACAAATTCAATATGTCTTGCAGCTGATAGACGATTTGATGATTTAACGGTAATTCACCATTGCCAACCTGTGACATGAAATAGAAAAACATATGTTCAATAAATGATCTTGAATGATGGACAAAAACACGAAAGATCACCAATTTTTTTTTCTCATTCTCACCTTAATCAAATACTTTTTGATGTCTCGCAATTGAGCATTCAATCCCTTTAAACCGAGCAATTGATTTGTAATTTTTTGCGACAAGCTGCCGACACTGTGAATAGAATTGGTACATTGAAAGTGAACGATAGTTTGAAAAAATGGTCCATTTTAAAGCAAAGAAGAAATTTGACCTACCGAGTGTCTTTGATGTCACGCAGCAAATGCTCGACACCAACCTCTTCGGCTTCCTCAGCACCAATTTCGCTGGGTACATGTTCAAACGTTTTCGATGTCGGTGTGCCATCCTCGTGCACCTCTTCAACGGCGATGTACGCTTCAGTCGGTAGACCTAAATCCTTCGGTTTGGCATCGATGATAACAAGCACCGAATTTGGACAATATCGACGAATCAATTCATTGACAGCGATGTCGTTTTGATGCAATTTCGGTCCGGTATGATACCATCCAACGACTCGTTCGCGTGCATTCACCTTTTTAAACATGGCATACATACTGTCCAAATAATCGTGGTCCAAAAACCAAACCGATTTGTCTTTGTCGTCTTCGTCGAATGGAACTGCATTGAGAACAAACAAAAATAATTAGCGACTCACATAATTTCCATTCGAAGATGTGTGAAGATCAAAATGCATTGAGTATGCATACGCGCGAGCACACACACACACTTACCGGCAAAGCTATTGGAGACATCAAGTACACCTTTTTGTCGCCAGCAACCGAGCAAAACGCCAACAACACGCTTTTGGTTGCCGATTTTCCCCATTCGATTGAAATGATCGACGACACTGAGCAAAACCAACGGATGCACAATCACCTTATTTACAACCACACTTTCTGACGGCATTTTTTTTGTGTTGAAAATTTCGTATCTGCCCGAGCAAAATTCGAATCTAATCGAGAGAAAAACAAATAAACAAAAAAGTTAAAATTTTGTTGCGAATTGGACGAAAATAATTCGTGTCGAACGTGTTACAAATTGAATTTCGAATCGATAAAAAAAGAGTGATCAACTCACGATTTGTATTTATTTCTTGATGGAAGTCGCTTGCGAATGACAGGACACAATTTGAAGAAATTGCTTGTATACGTACTTGAAACGGTGTACATGTGTAGTGGTGAAACAATGATATGCACAATCGGAAAATGGATGCATTCAATGTCAAGCGCTGCGAAGTCTGTTGAAATCACTGTTGACTTTTATTTTTTGTTGTATTTTTTTTAGATATTTTATTTTTTTGAAAATATAATGATAAATGGTCGCATTATTTACATCAAAATTAAATCGAAAATAAAAATTCGATAAATCGCATGTGAAAATGTGCAAGAATTATTTGTTTTTGTGATATTGAGTATGTCTAATGTCATATTGACAGTATAGATGAACGAAACATTCAAACAATGGCAATAGTTTTGTTTTTCCCCATCGAATTTATCGACAAACGCCTAAAATATGCACTCTTCTCATGTTAATTAAGCGGATATTCATTTTTCTCGAGTGCTTTTCTCAGTGAAAATTGTTTTCTATAGCCAAGTGAAACAGTACACATAACAAAATGAGCTCAAGTAACGATGTGAGTATATATATACATATATTTTTCTTTTAAAAAATGACGTTCAATTTGTGTACGATGCATCATATTAAAATCTTCAAACCGATTTATTTGTTAATCGTTTTTTCAAATGGAATTTCCCATTTTCACAGTTCTCCAGCAATATTGAAGAACGACGACTTTGGATTGGCAATCTGGACACACGAATGACCGAGTAAGTTCTTACAGAAATTGGCATTTGGCATTCGCATCATTTGCGATTCATATGAATTGAGCCGAAAGAGTCATTTTTGTTTGGGATCTCTCAATTAACCATTTTCGTTTGTTTTTTATTCTCGGATCAATTGGTTTCAACTCTTGAAAATTGTGCAAAAATGCGGCCAAATTGAAAAGTTCGACATGATCTTCCACAAGTCGGGCCCACAAGCTGGGCAAGCGAGAGGCTATGCATTCGTGACCTACTACAATGTAAGTTAAATCGATTTGTCATCGAATTTCCATCGATGAATGATTGAAATTGGTTTTTATTATTTCTCTTGAAATAGAATTCGGGAGCAGTGACAGCCTTGAACAAATTGAATGGGACATTGATTGGAACAAAGAATATCGTCGTGCGACTTGCCAAGAACATAAATTATGTAGGTTTTGTTTTCGCGTCACGTAAACGATTTTTTCAACGATTTTTGCGAGTGCTAATCAAATCGTTTTCAATTTTTGAATAGGATGAGATGGGAAAGCCAAAGACGAAAGTTGAAATTCCAGCATTGGCCGCCGGTACATCGCATTCAACAAAAATGAGCAAAGAACTGACAATTAAGGCGATCGAGGCAAAATTGAAAGCGTTAGAAAATCAAAGCGATGATTTGGTCATAAATCAAACATCAGACAGAGAGGTGCCGCTCATACATAAGTATCAGTACAATAAAAATGGCGATCGTGGTAATATGTCAACAGCCACGGCCACAAATAGTAAAAAGTTCAGTTCAAGACCAACCAACGGACCATATAATCGTAATCAACGACGACATCATCGATAAAATGGGATAGCTCCCTCATTAGACAAAATTTGAACTCTCTCAGTATGACCACCATATACCATCCTCCTCATTAGCGAATAAGTGCGTTTGTCATTTTCATCAAGTAGCAAACTAATTGGATTTTTTTTTTTCAAACAAACCGAACAGTATCGACAAAAAATAAAGAATAATAATTTATAGCGTCTACATTTGGACTATTGTTTATTTTTTTTTATTGGGATTTAATGTTTTGCTTAAGTGAATTCTTTGTTTTTCATTTTATTATTACAACATGAACATTTTCCTCTGCAGTTTGTGCACCACATACATTTGTTGGGACAAATATTTATTTCTCATCGGTTTCAGCGAAACGTGGACTGCTACCATAGAATGGGATGTATGGGTTGGTTACTTTCCAATCAGACACGAACAAGAAAGCCAATGCTCCTGCGATTCCGTATTTCACGGCACTTGGTCCACTGTGAAGATAAAACAACAACAACATTTTTTTCAGTTTTCCAATCACCATTTCATCACGTAAAATGAATTTCCGACGTTTTGATATTGGAATTTAATTGAATATTGCTACGGTTAAGAAGGACATTGTATGTGCTTGTGTTATGTAATTTGCATTGAACCATTGCCATCACACAAACATGTTGGTTAGAAATTTTTCTTCGTAACAATATCAATACAGAAAATAAAATTGTGTGTCAAACGTTACTTACTAGGTACGGAGAAGATGGAAATTTCTTTGATTCACGAATGGATTCGACATCTTGTAGATTGTTTCTTTTCGTTCAGCTGCGAAAAAATGAAAATTGATCTCGATTGCTGCTGCAATATTTCCACAGTCAATATGAAATGTCAACCAAAATTTTTTTTATTTTGACAGAATAACGAGAGAGTCAAATCGGTGTGAAGTTGTCGACGAAAAGTATCCCACAGAGTGTGAGACATGCTTATTTGACATTTTGAATATTAAAACACAACCTAAATCTTTTCCAAGTGAAAATATCAATTTGTTTAGATACAGCAAATAAATACAATTTTTTAATTCAAAATGCCGTTTATGATAGGACCCGCACCGATTCGACGCACCAAACAGTATTTGGGCTATGGAAAATTGTATCTGAAAGATAAAATTAAAATATTGAGCATAAACTACAATGATAAAGGAGATCATCATCAAGGTGCCCGGTAAGATTGAATGATAAATGTGTCGGTTTAGTCATAGCTTTGCTCAATTGCTTATGCTCTTGTGATTGCAGCGACTTTGCATTTTGGTATGTGCCACAAATCCAGTACAAAAATCCAACGGTTCAAATTCTTTCGTTGAAAAATATGACACCAACTCCGTTTATTCGATGTTTCTACGGTATGTTGAACTGAACAGAGAAAGTCATCTCACATAAAACTATGGAATTTCAATGCATTTTTATTACAGACGATGGAAAGGAGCTTCTAATTGATATGGACAGCAAGAAAAAGGAGGAAATTCTATCGCATTGCTTGCAAGTGATTGGTAAATCCGAGTAAGTAGCGATTTTTGTCCCTTTCATATGCAAATTCAATGGATAATTTGAAACCTGAAGCGGCTGAATCGTATAATTGGTTTTTGTTGCTGTTTTTTTTTAGTGAACAAATTTTAGCTGAAAAGATTGCTGCACAGAAAAAGGAAAATCCATCAATTTTCGGTTATGGTTGTGAACGACCCTGTATCTGTATGGTTCCTGGACAAGGTATATATCGATTGTTGTTTGAATGAATTATACTATTTTTCTTGTCCTAATTAAATTTATGAATTTATTTCATAGTTCCATGCCCTGGTGTTGTTAGATTACCGAATCACATGCGACGAAAATTCAAACAGCAAGAAGAAAATTAAGTAGTGAATAGTACACTGATTTATAATATGTCTGTTTATTTGTAGAAAATAAAGGTTAAAAACAAAATTATGAAATGATCACATGATTTATTACGAATGAAGATGTACGAAATTAATTAACAGCCGCTTGTTCTCGTAATTGTCTGTGGGCGTGTGAATTGAAGGGAAAGCGTAAAAATAGCGTTTAGTATCAAGAATAAAAAAAAAAATATTCAAGTTATTACCGATCTTCTTCTTCCTGTTTCAATTTCATTGCGGCCAACTCATTCGGATGCATTCTCTTTCGATGTGAATAATAATTACCTAAGGGGAGAATCACAAAAGAAAAGAATAAAATTCAAAATAATCGATAAGTAATCGGAAAATAATCGAAAACAATCGGAAACATATAATGAAAAAATTGCAAAGCAAAAGCCACAACAACATTAATGTCCAGCAATTGCTTTAAATTGAGATTTGGTAGTTGTATAATTACCGCTGGACGCAAATGATCGATTACAAAATGGGCACACAAAACGCCTAACGCCAGTGTGTTGTACTTGATGATTTCTAAGGGTGTTTTTCAGCTTGAATGATTTTAAGCAAATGTCACATTGAAATGGTTTCACATCCGTATGTTGAACTCGCATATGATTGCGGTAGCATTGTTGATTCAGCGCCGAGTAATCACAAATCGAACAATTATATCGAATCGATGAATGCTGTACCATATGCTTGCGAAGACAGAATTTATTCTTCAACCTTGTTTGATTGATAAAGAACGGTAGAAACGAAATAATTGGAAATAAGTGAAAGACTCAAATAAACTTACCATTTTTCACATTTTGTACATTGAACCTGTTGAGTCTTTGGCTGATGAGTTGTTAAATGATACGCTAAATTACTGCGACACGCAAACTTTTTGGCACAAATATGGCATGCCAATTCTTCTTGGCCCTGTTTTATATGGCTATTCACGTGCGTTGTCAATCGACCTGCTGAGGCAAACCTACATTCAAAGTTAAGTTACATTAAGTTGCGTTCAACTCATTTAAATAAATTCGCCAAAAAAATAATACGGTATCGCTGACATACATTTTGCCACATTCGTCGCACACATGTGCGGCTCGTTCACTTTCCGGTTGATGCGAAATAGCATGTGCAATCAAAGCCGAACTATAACTAAATCGCCGTGGACATTGTGTGCATGCAAGTGGTCGTTGTGATTCGGGCAGATGATTTTGCATATGATACTGTAAAATTTTGGGACAGGTCAAGATTTTATTGCATTCCCTACATTTAAATGCGTCGGGCTGAAAATGGCGTGCTAGATGAAGTGCCATAGCTCGTGGTTTTATGAATTTTGTATTGCAGCAAACCACGTAACCTTTGATTTGATGCACATCCGCATAATGTTCGCACAATGTCGAAAGGCTATTGAACATCGGTTTATCGCTGTATAATTTATTTTAGTGAATTCAATTAAAACGGCTCTTTTTTTTTCAAAATTAAAAAGATTTTGGACTAAAAAATAGCTACCTGCACTGATCACATGCGAGTCGATAAAATTTCGATATCATTTCTAATAAGTCGCGTCCTCTGTATAATAGTTTGCCGTCTTCGATGAATGTGGTTGGAAAATCTTTGAAATTTTCATTTTGGAGATCTGGTACACTATTTGCTACATCGTTATCATCAATTGTATGCTCATCTTCATTATATTGATCGTCATTATCACTTTCGCCATGTATTTCGGCCAAAGTGATGTCATTCGAATTGAGATTATCTAATTCACGTTCGATTTGGGTGGATGCTGTTGTACATTTATCTACTTCCGTTGATATGATGTAATTTTGTTCAATTGCTTCATTCTCCACTTTATCATAGAGGTGAAGTGTGGTGGTGGTGGTGCCTAAATCAATCGTCTCATTTGATTCGATGCACTGTTCTTTTATTAACTTTGAAATGATAACATTATCCGTCAGATTTGTATGGGCAGGCGTTGGTGTCGTCGTTGTTTGCAATGTAATAATAAGCGTTCCATTAGCATTTGAAACAATTGCCGGTGCCAATTGAATTAGATTTGACGATGATGTTATAATTTGTGTTTCATTGCACGAATCCTTTAATTTTGACAGTAATTGCTGATTCTGTGTCACCTCATTACAGTATTTATCAAACGTCGCAATTCGATCGAAACAAAGCTGGCATATCGTCTTTGGAAGTGAATTATCATCATTTATCTATATTTTGTTGTTGAACAATACAAATCAAACTAATAAAACAATTTCGATTTGAAAATTTCTACAAAAATTCTTCATGAATTCTTCTTTTAGCTTATAAAGTAAAAAGAAAAAGAATTTTTTTTAGTATAAAGTCAATTTACCTCCAGACCCAAATACTTTTTAATTTGATTTCGAATGATTAGATTCGATGAATCGCTGAGATCGCTGCAGTCCTGTGAATAATTAAGACACAAACGGCACATACACAGAATCGGTACCGCGATACTATCATCATTCGCTGCCATCATTTATAAATTTATCTATTTAATTGAATGTAATAAAATCGTTCGTTGAAAACATGTTCACGGGGTTCCTTGAAGTAAACAAATAACAATTGAATATGACAACATCGTGTCTGCTGTCATCCACGGCAATACATACACATACAAACTGGATATTACCATGCATTCATTTATAACGCACATACATATACAAAGCGTATGAAACAATAATCTCTCTTATCTCACCATGGCGCTGCTGCCTCAACATTACTCAACTATGAGTGAAAAACATGAGAAACGTTCAATTTGGTCTATAAATAATTTGAAGTATGTAAATAACTGTTGCTGCGCAAAATACGTTAATCAATTTTAATCATCATGTGAAACATAAAACGGAGCATACTTCTCTTACAAATTGATTTTCACGTTCACATGAGATGCTTTAACGACAATAAATATTCATGAAACACTTTGTAAAGTAATAATAAATTTTTGTTTTTACTCTTTAAGTAAAAAAAAATGAGTATGAAAAATGATGATGCTAATAAAACGACAGCAAAGCAGAAATAGAATACACAGAAGAAGTTTTCGTAATAAAAAATGAATGCGTATATGCGACCTTCCATCATTCCCATCGGATACAAAGTGGTACGTACATCAAGTCAAAATTGCAAGTGGCTGAATAAAGATATGAGAAACTACGGCATGGTTTTATTGTTTCAAACAATATTTTTTTTTATTTCATATTCATAAATTTTTACAAGATTAACACCAAGAATTTTTTTTAATTTTTTTTTAATAGATTTTCAATGAAGTTTAGTTTTTTTTTGTTAAATATTTATTCCATTTAATAAAATAGTGGCCAAAAAAATAAAAATGGTAATTGATTTGAGTTATTCGATTTCAATATGTGCATATTTTGAGAAAAAAAATTGAAACGGTCGCAGCTTTATATTTGAGTACTGCTGCTCGCATTTAGGCAAACAGAGTATTGTTTGTTATTTTTTTTCTTTTGCGTGTGTATTTATTTATGTGTGAGTGTGTGTATATATAAATATAATTTGGTTGAATTGTTTTATCAATGTTTTCGCTTTATAGATTTTCTTTTCATTGATATAAGCATACAAAAATATTCTGTGTTCGAAAATAGTTTACTGTTATTATATTATAATATGTTTTGTTGTTGTTTCTGTTTCAAAACGTAGATTTTTTGTTTTTAAAAGATACGCTATTAAATAAAAACAAATTCAATTTCTGTTGCACTGAAATCTTAAATGAATCGTTTTTTTTTTTCAGTTTTGTTTTATCGTGTGTGTATTTCATCAGCTTACAACTAACAACAACAATTAATTGATTCATGCTTGCATTGAGAGAAGAAGGAAATTTCCATGTGAAAATATGTTTGGTGGTAATGTTTCTTTTTTTTTTGGACTTTTCAAAATTAATGCCAATGCAATGTGAGAATACATATACCAGGCCTTCACCAAATTTATAATTCATTAAAATTAGTCATAGCATTGGATAATTAGTTGTTGGCTTTTGTTTTTCATACAAAAAGAAAACACAATTTTTGAATGAAATAATAGCGAAAAACTATTATTGACAATAATAATGAAAACGCGATGTTGATATTATTAATGCAAATGATATGCTTAATAAATAAAACGGACCCGTTTAGATACATTGTCAGAAGCTGTTTTCTTTTACATTTATGTACAATTCACCACTTGTACATATTTTTCTTGATTTTATTTAATAACAAACAAAAAAAAACTAAGAGGAAGGGACAATCCCACTGTGATGTCCACACTCCACATTTTTTATTGATGCATAAAATCGATGACAATTTTTTTTTATTTCGTTTGAAGAAAGGTTTTTTTTTCTCTTAAATTTATATCTAAAAAAAATGGATAAACAAAAAATTGGCTTAAAAATGATATGTCTTGATTTTTTATTAGTAAAATCTCAAGTGCATTTTAACTGCGTTCGACAAGCACATCACATTTCCCACCCGGTTTACATTTTAAAAAAAACATTGCATCGCATAAAAATATGAACAAAATACATTATCCCAAAATGGAAGGGTTGCAATATTTACACTTTGAGATAAAGTAAATGTTCAATGCGTAATTTTTTTTCTTTTACTTTTGTTTTTGGGTTTAAATTTTAGTTGAACAAATAAATAACATTCACATATTCAGCCAATTTTCACAAATTGAAGAAGAAAATTACTTGAAAATCGGTTGAGTAAATCTAATGAAAATTATTATTGTTTACAACTGAAATCCATTGGTTTTTTTTTTGTCAGTTTGTTGTAATACGGTGCCGACGTATGTCGATGCTAATATGATCATCAAACGCAGTTTCCGAAAATAATTGACTTTTTTCTTCATCAATTTGTTTTTAGTCGAAAGTTGCATGTTTCTCTTTTTTGGGCATAAAATTGAATTTTCTGCAACTGTCGAGTCTTTGTTTGTGTGCTTTATATTATCGTTTCGAGTTCAATTGTTTTTTGTTTTGTTTTTAGATCATTATCTTAATTGAATTTTTTTGTTTATTTTGAGTGTCATTTTTTGTTGTTAAAATTGGCGAAGAAACAGGAAACAACGTCTTTTTGTTTTGATTTTTAAAGAAAATTAATAATATCAGATTTGAGACACAATTGATGAAAATGCAGGACTTAAAAAGAATGGCAAATACACGAATGGTGCTTAATCATGAGACACCTCCCCGAGAGTATTATCCATTTTTTACTTTTCACTTATTATCATAACATAATTATGGCATTTCCAATATAAATCAATTTTTTTCATGTTTCCTGGCCGATGCAATTTTTGAATAATGTTTAAAGAAAATGGTTGAGTTAGTTTACGTATTAAATTGAAAATGCAAAGCAAATTGCAAAAGTTGTTGTTCAATGAGTTGATTGGGTTTTGTTTTTCTGTCCCCCATTTTGCTTTGGTTAAAGAGAATTTTTTTGTACGTATGTTTTGCAGACCTAACACTTGAAAAATAAGGACATTGAATGATATGTACTGGTTGTATTCATAAGTTCAAATTTCAATAACATTTTTCGATCTTTTTTTTTGGCTTTCGTAAAAATGTGTTTATGCATTTTGCTTACTTCTAAAGACTTAAGCACTGAAATGTTGAAACACATATATAGAAATGATTCAATATTCAATTTGTGACAAAAAATAAAATCCTAGTCAGACAAATCTTTATTGGTAATCTACTGATGATAAAACTGACATTCACTACCACTCTTCTCTCTCACTTTTGTTCATACTTTTCTTAGAAATATTTATATTTAAATGACAATACTTTATGTACGGTTTTTTTATTCTTAGAAGGATATTTGAAAATCATCAAAAACGCACCTTAGTCTCCAATGATATGTTTCGATTATATATAGGCTTTAACTTTTTTTTTTGTTTAAATATAGTAGTATTTGGTAGTGTTTTTGATATGTTTTCAGCTACACTTTTTTTGTAGTTTTCATTATTATTTTTTTGGGCTTGTGAATGGCTTTTACTGAGGCAGATAAATTGATTTTGTGTATTTGTTTGTGTCATATGTTGGTGGTGGTGGTGGTGGTGTTGGTGTGTTTTTGTATTGTGAAATATATCGGACGACATAGAAACGGAAACTTTTTATGCTTTTTAATTAGGTATACTGTTCGAGTGCTTGTTTTGGGTTGTCATCTTATTTCAGTACATGTTTGAAGGCGGATGTGATTCGCTTTTCACCGGCTGTATGCTGAACATCATGCGCTTTTATCTGCACAACATTCAGGTCATAATCAATTATTGAATTTTGGGTGCATTTTCGAAACAAATTGATTCATAAATTAAGCAGAAAATTCATAATTACCTGATCAACTTGAACAGTACCCAGACATGTTAGTGGATCGGTGAAGTATAAGCAAGCTTTTCGTGGTGATTGCCTATGTCTGCGCTGAAGTTGACAACATAGCCCACGTGTAATATCGCAATCGGTAGATGTCAGACAATCTGCAGCGTATTGAAAAATTGTTTAAATAAATAAAGTTTAAAATAGACTATTTAGAGATCTGTTGATTTTTTTTCTTATCATTGTTTGGTGGTAGACTTGATACATTTTTTTTTCCGAACGTACGTTTTTCCGAAATTTGGAAAATTTTACGAAAACGTTCGAATTTTCGGGAAATGACCTAGCATCATTCAGACATGGTTCATATGAAACGAAAAATGTGTTGTAGTACTTTGAGTAAAACGTACCTGCGGAATATTGTTTGGCAACGGCCATTTGTGCGCTGCATACGCTAGCTCCACTTACGGCTGATTGTTCACAAATTAATCCCGATTCGCAATCCGAGTCACGGCGACACAGCTCCCCTAACTTTCGCGAATAAGCAAACAGACACGTTCCTAAAACTAAAGAAAGACGATTTCCCATAAATACAAATACAAATATATATATATTTAAAAATTTGCAAACAAATTGGAAATATATGATATAATCACATCAACGTTGCTTGAAACCAGTTTTTTTCAATCATTTTTCCTACAATATATAAACATGTTTTTACGTTAAACATTGCGAATCGTTGGGGCTGAAAGATTTCTCAACATTACAAGGCAAAAAGTGAAGTGGTAAAATTGCAAAGTCATCCGAAATCAAGATAAGAGCATTTTTTCCATTCAATTAACTAATTCTGGGAAGGATGATTCGAAGAAATAAAAATCATTTAGCCTGAAGTCATAACGCGTATTACATTACGGCGTTTCATAATTTCCACGTACTTTACGTAGAAATTATGGATTTGTGTCACTTGTACATATGAGCAAAATACAATACACAGAGACTGCTCAGGAGTTTTTTTTCTCTTCCTTTTTCATAGGAATACATTTTTGTTACACGGTTTAACGCGTCATAAGTTGGGTATATAATTTCTGACCCCAAGATATTTATATGACAGTTGTTGAATCAGATTCACCTTCATTTGGTGATTTCAATAGAATGATTCTGCACGATTTGACGTCAAAAATCGTACGGAATTTGATAACACTTTCCCACAGTACAGCCTGTATTCGCCTGCAGTAATTTGTATACACGGGTCATTCAGCAATAAAGACAAGTTTATTATTGTCAGCAGAAACAGATTGTTTTTGTAAAGTTTCATATTCTATTTGAGTGGGCGTCCCGTTCACTGTGTTTATAAAACCTCAAACCAAAATGTACAACAACATTTCTAACTAGCAATTCCATGTGCAATCCATCCAATTTGTCCATTTTTTCGAATATGATATTTGGAATGTGGACGTTTTCGATGCTTCTTTTTAATTAATTATTTTTACAGACGGGTAAGATTGCCAAAAATATTATATATATTTAAATTCATAAACAAAATGTGAAATGTGAGTATATTTTGCAAAAACAATGATAGACTGCATCACAAACCGATATACACACACCGTCTGCATGTTATAACATGGAATGGAAGATTATAAGATTGAAAATGATTTTTTTTTAATGTGGTGGCTGAGGCGCAAAGACGATTAAGCTCCTTGCAATCGTAATCCACATTCAGAGTTTGTACACCATTAATCAACTTCAATCAACCCGGCGCTCGCTTCAATACCTCTAATACGGAATAAGGCGAATAATAGAAAAGCAAAAGTAGGCTACATAAAACATTTATTCGTTGTTGTGTTGTTGCTCGTTTTCTCTTTTTCTTTCGTTCATGTTCCAATTCCATTTCAATTATTTATGGTGGATTTCTATGAAAAAGGAGAGTTGATGTTTGCCATGCGGCCACAAAGTTGTATGAAAATAAGAAAGTTTATTTCGGTTACATTACATACAGCTGGCACGATCGAAAATGGAAGAACTTTCTCAATTTTCACCTGTAAAAGGAAGCGATTGCCTCAAGTGATGTACAAAGTTGTTGAGCCGAATGTTCGTTGAACAAATGATTGATTTCGACCAATTGGGATTTAATATACATACATCGGATGAAGAGTTAATGTATTACTTGAGGCGATTCATCCGTCAAAATGACACGGTGTATGTTTATGGACGACACAACCTATAATCCCACAGCTCAATTTGGCCCGTATTACATCGCGCTGACACAATGCCACACGTTTGACTTGTCTCTCAATTTCTTTATTGCTCGGTGGCTCAATCCGTTTGTGTGTGTATATGTGTGTACATAAAAATAGAATCTTTTTACGTGGAAAAACACCTTAACACACAACATATTCTTATTTCGTCATTGTTTTCAACTGTGGTTTCGTTTTGTCTATTTGGGCTCGATTCATTTGGATTCTCATACGAGTCTGTGATGAAATCCCAATATAATCCCATTCATTAGGGGTGTATATTTGCCATATTTACGTATTCAGTTTCGACGACGTATTCGTTTTTAAAAATAGAAAAAAAAGAAAATCAAATTAGAAAGAACTTACCTCCGTCAACGTCCACACACACGCTACCAGGGCAACAATGCTCATTGGCCGTACAACGCTTTCCATAGCACAATTCGTCCTCCATTGCCAACTCATTTTCTTCGGCAAAATTTTCACTCTGCAAATTCATGGCGGGGGAGAATTCGAAATTATTTAATAAAGTGAAATGAAATTGAATTTCAGATGCGAAAAACCTCGTACGAAAAGAGTAAAATCGAAGAAAATTCACAATTTTCTTTCCTCGCCAAATTGAATGGATCGGAATTACATTAGCCTGATATAAAGGAGCAATGTAATTTCTGTTTTACAGAAAACTTTAATTCTTAAGTAAGAATCTCTTATCCATTCAATTTTTCATCAAAATCATTTTTTATGGCGATACAATTTTATTAATCGACACATACTATTTTCTTTTTCTCACGTACTCAACTACACTGTTACGTTATGACTCACTCATGTTTATAATTGAAAATTTATTTAACTGTTATTGTAATAGTTATTACATTGTTTGATGTTCATTGCTTCAAAATGTTAATTTAATACTGCAGCGCTGAAGTGTTTTAATAACTTTCCCAGGTGCTTTCAATTCATTTACTTATTTTCAACTCAAATAATAAAACATACACACAGGGGGTAAGTTTCCTTAACAATTACGCTCTTCCTTTGTATACCAACGTACGGCGAGCCAATCCATTTTCTACGATTTTTTTTCTTCACTCACAAAAAACCTCATTTCTTATACATCTGATGGCAAAGTAAAAAACTGCATTCACAAAATAATATAATGGAATGGATTTACAGAGTTAAAATTAAATGTATTATCTATCTTTACTATACGATTGTCCCTGAATGAATTTACCTTATGCTGTGAATTGAATCATTACATTCAACTGTATAGTTGTATTTTTATCTGTTGGATCTCTACAGCCGCCTTCAATAGATGGGAAAATACGTATATTTTTTCTGTATAAATATATGCATTAGACGCATTGAGAGACTCTGTTAACCAAAACGTAATTGCTAAAGGCTCTTAGGGTATTATAAACCATTGGTGTATAAAAATAACAATTTATGTTCGTATTTTCGTATGTATCTTTTTTTGCGCTAAAAAAACAAGTCTATTATACTGTATATTTTGTCGGAATGGCCATTTAGAAAATGAGTCTCTATAGTCATTCAACGGTAACTTTGCCGCTCAAATTAATTTCTTGTCTTTGTACATTTATTTTATTTATTTTCAACGCAACGAACAACAAACCGAAATTATTCTTATTTTTCCCTCTCATTATCCTCAACAACAAAATATTCATCAACGTTGATTCTTACCTCTTGATAAATGCGATGAGGTGCACCGTAGCCCATGTTTTGCAGCATTTCGGGTGAGAAACGATTATTATAGATGCCACCCCATGCATTAACTGAAGTTCCGATGAAGAGAAATGAGGTCCCCAACACCATTAATACAACGGTCGATTTCATTTTTCTAATGGTTTGATGCACTTGCTCTCTCTCTGTACGTGAAAATCAAAATCTATATATGATCGTTTTGGAAAATGGAAAATAGATAAATAAAAAATATAAATTTATTGAAAATTACTGACACGACAAAATCAATATTAAATGAAATCGAAAAACATTATATTTGATGATTAGTTTTTCGACCACTCGATGCACATAACGAAGTATTACGACCACAATTTCAATGAAAAAACCATAGCAAAAAACCAAATTGTTTACCCAAAGCAAATCTAAATATGAAGCGATGCGATTAAATCGAATGGAAATTTGATGTGAAACAGTGTACAAATATTTTGCAATCTGATGTTGTTGATATGAAACTAATTGATGTGAAAGTAATGGAAATTAATTTCCTGGAAAATGTGTTGTTGTTGCTTTTTTATATGCAACATTTTCGTTTCCTTCGTTTGACATAGTATGTGCCATTTGAAGACAAGGGACATGGACATTTGCTCAGTGAGCTGAAAATTGGAGCAAATAAGATAACAAAAGCACCCCCATGTTTTGATGTTGTCATTTGCATATTCTGATTCTAGAAAAATGGAAGAATATGATTTTCGACGTCATTGAAGTATCATCAATCAATTTATTTCCTAATTAAAATTGACTCTTTCAGTTTACACACTACCCAAAAAACCGTATCAACAGGTATGCTTTTTTGTTTCTTTTGTAAATTTTTGACATTGAATCGGTTTCTCGATTCATATAATACAAGCTTTGGAGCCAAAGTACACACGTATAATCCCATTGAGAAAATTGAAAATAACAGAAAACCAGCGAGAAATGAACATTTTATATTTCATTACATTATTTTCAATTAAACGGCACAATTAAAATCAAGGCTTACATATAAATATATTTTGTTCAATATTAAAAAAGAGAACCAATTTGAAATAAAATCTTAGGAATAAAAAAAAACACACACACAATAACAATAATTGCCATAGCCGCCATAGTTTAAGTTTAGTTGTGCATGGAGCGAATGGAAGAAAAACAACATTCACACAACCCACATACACTACATGTCGTGCATGCAGAGTGCATAAAATGTTTGACGTAAATTCTCCAACGTGCACAATAAATTCGAAAATAAAAATCGATAACGAATGAACGAACGTTGTTCTTTTCACTGTGCGTTTTTTTCTTCGACTCCTTTTCTCTTGCTCGCTCGTGGTGGTGTTTCTTTTTCTTCTTCCAAAACGATTTAGATGATGCTTCTGCTGCTTTGTTGTTTCGGAACAACAATGAAAGTATTTCCTACTTACAAAAAATGACGAAATTTTTTTGTAAATGGAACGCTTTTTATCTCTCTCAAACAATGTACATTTTGGCAAAAATAACTTTATGATTTCTTTATTAATCCCTGCAGTTCAATTTTTTGTCAAGTAATCGGTCTTTCGCTTATGGAAAGTAAGAAAATGGGAATAAATTTGCATGGAAATAGAGCTTTTTTTCACTATACTCTGCATTAACATAGTTTTGGTTGAGCATTGTTTCGCTATTTGGTAGATTTTATGTGTTTGTATGTGTGTGTGTGTGTGCGTAGGGATCACGGCTTTTATTGTTGGGTTAGTCAAGCGTCAATCAGAATTGACTTTCACAACAACAACAACATGTATTTACTTTTTTTTGATTCTATTTCGATTATTTGAAACAATTGGACTATCCATTTATATGATTGAAAAAATAGACATTTTACTCCATTTGCAAAAAAAGGAGATAGAAAAAAATGTGTTAACACTTACCCAATCCGTACGAAAACTATACTTGATTATTCTTATAGTTTTGTATTGTTTGGTGTGATAAACACCAGTAAAATGCACACTCAAATCGCACCAGTACAGATAAATGTAGACACTTGAATTTATTTTGCTTTTATTGAATTGAATTAAGTTACTTTCGTACGTTTCACAATTTATTATTTTTTGTTGTTATATTGTTGACGTTTGTTTTGAGTGCGTGGAATATATATATATCTATATTTGTATATTTGACGGCAACTTGATGTTTGACTTTTAATTTAAAATGTGACTTTTGTTTGGGCGAAGAGCTTTTTCTTCTTTCTATGTATATTTGTTTAAACTGAAAACAATTCACTGTGCAAATTTTTTGTATTTATTTATATGTCACGTTACACATCCTATTTGGTATGTAGGCGATTTGATGATTTGTGCAATGTATTTTTTGTTGTTATGTCAAATCAGTGTGCACGGCGTATGACCAGAATAATTTAAAAACGTTGACTCCAAAATTGCTCTTCCTTCAATGACAAGTTGAAAAAAGTGCTGAATTCGTAATTCGTCGTGTTTCGTTTTTCTTCTTTTTTTACTGTGAATGTTTTTGGTTTCGATTGACGTACACGCCTGTGTCAAGCGCTACAGATTCAAACCATTTGGAATGAAACTCTGCGATGTTCTGTTGGAAAATTCAACTCAAACCTTTAGCCATAGCTAAATCATACACAGCATTTAGTCGCTTGCTTGCTCACTCGCTCCACTTGCTCACTTGTTCGCTCATCATGCACACGCATATCATTGAACCTAACGTTGCGCTTTCCACATTCAAGTTGAATAACAGGCTAGCAGCGTCATAAAATCTTCATTTCGTTTCATTCAAATGGGCGCGCGCGCCAGTATGTGTGTGTGCTTTTTTCGTCCTTTCTATCCGTGTGCCTTGCACAATGAATTTAAGTTATTACGTAAATGGTGAATGTCGTAAAAATGCACATATACAATTCATACAGGCGTCATGCGCGGTAGCGTCACATTGAAAAGAAGAAGAACAACAACAAAAAAAAAAAAAAAAAAAAAAAAAAACAAATCGTGAATTGTTCCTCAAACATAAGCGAAAACATGTTATGCCGTCTCGCTAAAGCGAACATTATGCCTGAATGCCATCCTGATTATTCATATGTATGTACAAGTACGAGACGCGTGTATAGATTCCAAATTCGCGCGCCCACGTACTTTTTTTGTGCTGTGTATTGCTTTCGCTTTATGCGAATCATATTACAGTTAATCTCGAATTTTCGAAATAGGATTACAAATAAATATTTACGAGTGAATGAAAGGGAGACATTTGGCGGATCGTAAATTTCACTTTATCCTCGTGTAAAAGAGGCATTCACCTGAACAACGACGATGTTGATGACGACGAAAGCTGTGATATTCAAAATAAGACCGAATCAAATCGTATACCATTTACTTACCGTTAACCTTAAGTGCAGCCATTGACAATGATAATGCGTACCGCAGCGTAAACTCTATTTGTTACACGCATATTTGTGTATTGGAAATTACTAATTATTCAAAAGGATCAAAGAAAAGAAAAACAATTCGAATTTTTATTGAATTTTTAAAAACCATTTTAATCACTTTTTAACAATGTCTTAAACGTTAACATTTTCATTATTCGTTTTTGTTTCTCTCTCTAAATCTGTTTTTAAATTATTATATGCACGATAAATATTTATACAAAAAAACGTATAAACGAAATTGTTTTTTAAATTAAAAAAAAAAGAAGACGAAAGCCAATCCGAACGTACAAAATTTTGTTTTTTCTTTTCGCGTTGCATTCGAAATGAGAAAACAAAATTCAATCGCTTTGAATTTCAATTTTAAACAGTCGCAAAACATGTTCAATGTTTATTTTTTTGTTTATTTCTCTTTTTCAATGAATTCTATGCAACAATATTTGTTTTGTGTGTGTGTATGTGTGTGTTTGTGGCAAAAGCACAACCACTGTCTCACAAAATGCATTCAAAATGAAAATATATTGAACGGAAAGAAAAATAGTAGATGTTTATTTTAAAAGAGAAAGAAATTCCGAGATTTTAGCATTGCATTGAATTTGTAATAGCAACAATGACGCCAGAATGAATGCCAAACCAGGCAAGTGGCTTTGCTTGAATAATTTATGAAAACATTTCTAATGCTATGAAAATAAATAAGCAAAAAAAGCATTTTTTAAAAAATGTTTTATGTAAAATAGTTGAATAAATTAAATAAATTATTAAATTTTAAATTTTAGTAAGTTAAGAAAGATAGCATGTCATTCAAACAACAGTCGATACATCATTAGTTGATACATTCATTTGTACAAGCATTAATAAAAAATAGAATTGACTACACACACACACGCGTTAGCTCCAGTATAGAAACTGCATGAACATAATATATTTTGTTTGTGTTCTTTCTTTTTTACATGATTCAACTCTGACGTTTTCCGTGTATTTCGCTCTTTGTCATTATAATTCATCATTTAAATAAATTAGTTGGGTTTCCTAACAGTAATAATCTTATTTTGTTGTGTTTTTTGTGTGTATGAAAAAATTAGTGAATGAATGAAAAAAAAAACCTTGATTTATTCACATATGATGCAAGGGTTGCACTCGCTTCCCCAATCAATAATATTATGTATGTATATATAGCATTAGTTTCCGTTTTTTTTTCGTCAATGTTTTGTTGTCTCACTGGTCAATGGATGGTGGTGTGTGGAATGGGGGCGAAAAATTAGTTTTGTTGTGCGTGGGATGACGTATTCTGCATTTTCAAAACATATATGCATATATATGCACATATAGCGTATAACATTATATTAGCGCAATTTATTTTGCTCGTTGATTGTTTCAAACTCCTGTTATGCTTTCCAACCATGGTTTATAGTATGTCGTTCTCATATAGACGCCAGGCAAGTATGGTGCAGCACATTTAATACCATGTGAAACAGTTCCAGCCAACTCCCATCGACCATCTGTCCGTTGCAAAACAAGAGGACCGCCTGAATCACCCTACAAAACGCATTTGAAGAGAGAAAAAAGCAGATACATTGATTGAGTTAAACATACTCAACACGTGTGTTTCATAGTTTGAATTATAATCTCAATAATTTATACATTTTTTTCAGTAAATATTTGATTTTGCGTCGGTGTCGTGTGGCCGGTGACGATGCACAAAAAGCAATAAAAAAACACTTTTGGCAAAAAGTCGACTAGCAAATTTGTGTTTTGTGTTTGTGGAAATCCTCAGTGTAGGCTTTGTATCTATTCATATATTCTCTTTTCATTCAATTGAGATATAGATTCAAGGGATTTTGAGCAATGTGAATATGGTTGTGTCGCATGTGCTCGTATCAAAAGTCAAACATTCACATTCAACTCAAACAATAAAGCGAAGCTCAAGGCTTTGTTTAAATAAAAGCTGGTTTATTTCGCTTGAGCGCCTGAGATTTTGAATGATTAAACAATGAAAATGTTCTGTCGCTTAAATTTCACAACATTTTTGAAATGGAAAAATTTGTTTAAATTGCATTTGAATGACATACTTCACATGAATCTTTTTGTCCGTTTGCATATCCAGCACATAAAAATGATGACAATATCTTTTTATTGTGTCCAGCTGTGTGGAACATTTCCTGACACACTTCATTTTCGATAATTGGCACCTAAACATGAACAAATTGAAAGGAAAAAACACCATTGATTATTTATCGGCACATTTAAACCATGACCATTTTATATATATTTACTTGAACTTCTTGTAGAACAGATGGAACGCCACCGCCATACTTCAAGCGACCCCATCCAGTGACTGTTGCCATACGACCGGTAAAATCGGCCCCATCATCTGGCAAACAAATTGGAACTACAAAAGAAACAACAAACCAATTTTTTTTTAGTGAAACCGAAACGTTCGTTTTTCGCAGGTTTTTTTTCGTTTGCTAATTTATCAACTCACCAATATGCGTATCGTAGTGAATTGGACTCTCCAATTCAAGCAATGCTAAATCGTTTTCAAATGTAGCCGCATCATATTCACGATGAGGAACAATTCGTTTCACATTTTTCGTAACGGATCGTTTCTTCTCCAAATCACCAGAAATATCAAATTCCCCAAATACAGCCACCAATGATGCCAAAAAGCTAAACACACACACAGAGAAATAAAATTGTTGGAAAATGTTCAAATAAAACTGAATTCGAATCGATCATACCCTGGTTGACAATGAGCAGCAGTCATAACATAATTTTTCGTAATCAATACACCACCGCATTTATTTTTGGTAAACAGACCCAACCAAGTTGATTCTCGGACTAGAACTTGCCACGGCCATTCACCAAACGTTGCACCTTTTCCACCAACAATTCGACCAGATTTCACATGAGGTCGAACACCGCATTCTATCACAATCGATTAATTAAATGAATAATGTTTATTATTATTAATCTAGATAAATGTGAATGCGTTATGAACATCATATATATGTGACATGATATGTGTGACATGACATGACATTCAAACACTTATAACATGATAATAATTCGATATGAATCACTTACGGACACGTCCGCTTTCAAAGTATGGTGTGCTTTCCTCTTCGGCCGTTTCTTCTCCAACATCCTCGTCGCTCTCTTCGATGGCGTCAGTAACCTCTTCGTATTCCTGTTGAACGGTTGTTGTTGGTTGTCGTTTTGGTGGTTTTGTGGTTGGTCGTTTGGTGGTTGTAACCTTCGAAAAGAAAAAGAAAGAAAACATTTGAAGTAGTTTCATTTCATTTCATTTCGAATTAATGGAAAAAAAGAAATGTATTGGTGTCCAATAAAAATGTAAACATACCCGATTGAGAACGGTGGTTTGTGGTTTTTTTGTTGTTCTTCGATTTGGTCGATTGGTTGTTGGTTTGGTTAAGGTAGTTGGACGTCTAGTGGTGGTTGTTGCTCGTTGTGGTGGTTTTTTCGTTGGTAATGTTGTAATCGGTCGTTGTTGAATTGTTGTTGCCGTTGATTGTGGTCGCTTTGTCACCGTCTTATTCTCAACAATATCAGCTAAATCATGGAAATTATCTTTGAGTGACTCAACAATTTTGTTCACCAATAAATTCATTTTGTCATTGAGCAATTCATCTTCGATAAATTGTGGCGTTGAAATGTCATAATCTTCAATTGTTGCGCCCGGTATTTGTGCGGTTGCGTTTAAATTTGGATTTCGTACCGGTGGAAAATTGATTAAATCATTTGGTGATGTATATAAATCATCGTTTGGTGTTGCCGTTCCAGGAAATCCATTTTCATCGACAACCGCATAAATGGACGCTGAAGTCACCGTTTGCTGTATATTCGCAATGAATGGTCTTGTTGTTGTCGATGTAAGTCCATAGTAACCGGTATCATCAAATTCATTGGACAGAATTGGACCGACACCTGGTGTATAAATCGATGGTTCATTTTGTCCCGGACGTTTTGTTAAAATTGGACTGTATGACACATATTGTGATGTGTTTGGTATTTTCGATGGAGTATATTTATTCAAATCTGGACTAACCGTCCAACTTGTGCTGGACGATACAAAATTGGCGGTCGGTTTTGGTGTTATGTGAATCGTTGGCGATGGATTCTCCGTTGAACCTACAAAAACAAGCATAACATTTTCAAATACACAGTTCAAGAGCTGAAAATAAAAATAAAATAAATTTACTAACCAAGTCCATATGGACCGAGAACGATAACAGTTGGTGCGGGTGTGCTTGAGCCAATTTTATTAATGATCGGTACTTCTGATGATTGTTGTTTGTTTGGTGTTGTGTACGCAGATACGGCCGGTCGTTTGGTTGGCGAATATGTTGGTCGTGATGGTGTTGGTCCGCTGACATAGCTCGTTGAAATTGGACGTTGTGTCACTTTTTGCACTGGTTTTTTTGCATTATTTGCCGTTGATGATTTTGTTGGTTTTTTCGATGATGTTGTGGTTGAACTGATACGATTTGGATTTGAATTGGACGATGTGGGACGTTTTGGAATGATCGTACTGTACACATAACTAGTTGATGGTGATTTTGTGGTGATTGAGCTGGAATGCGTTAAAATTGGAACCTTTTGGAAAATGGTGGCCAATGTTGATGGTGTTGTTGACGGTGTGAAAATCGATGTTATTGCATTTTGTGATGTTGTATATGTAACATTGTATATGGTTGGACGTTTTGTTGACGGTATATATGAAATTGGCGATGATGATGTTGTTGATGATGATGGTAGTTTAGTTGTAATGTAAAAATTGCCAGCCGATGATGAGCTACCGTATTTAGTTGGCAAACCACTGCTCGTATATTCGTATGTTGTTTGTGGTTTTACTTCTGTATCATATTGTGGACCGGTTTTTGTATCGTTCAACATCAGAATAATCGACTCAATGGAATTGATTTCATTGTCATAAACAGCACCCGGTTTTGACGATGCAACATTCTTATCATTTGACAATGTTTGCACTAAGACATATTTGTCCGTGCTACCACTGTTGCCATACTTTGATGGTATTGGTTTTGTTTGATGCGGTTGTTTTGTGTTTTGGGTTTTCTTTTTATTTGAAATGGTTGTGCCGAATGTTGTGAGGGAATCTGTAACTTGTGACGGTAGCTCGGGGCTATATGATTGACCTGGTGCATGTGATGATAAATATATTGACGTTATCTCCGGCGTTGATGGCTTTGACGTTTCAATTAAAACGGTATCGCTCTCGCCGTACCCATTATTTGATGGTACACGATTATCATTTCCATTGAATGTATCGAGCGGATTCAAGAGTGGTTTATTGTAATCATCGATAACCGCTTCATTTACCGCCAATTGGCAGCAAGCACCAAATAAGAACCTAAATGTATTACAAACAGAGAGAGAGAGAGAGAGAAGAATAATGACATGTTAAATAATTGTTCAAGAATATATGCTAAGTGATTAAAGTATTGAATATTTTGCATATATAATCCTTACCCATCCATACAGGCGCCAACAACTTCGCCGTGTCTTTGAGTACATTCATGATTAAACATGCAAATGGTGGGACCTTCGGCTCGTGGATCACCTTTCGGTAGAATTTTCGATGGTTTACAAAATTTCGGTGTTATTCTATATCCACCAAATAATTTACGTTCTCCTACACATGTGAAACGAATACAAACGAAAACAATAATCATTAATAATTAATTTTCCATTGTGTATATAACAATTTTGTGATGGGAAAAAAATATAATATTGGCGCGTCTATTTCAGCACTATCTAGATGAAACATTAATTGAATTTCGCGAAGAATGACAAGTTTCAAGTTTAATGTTTTTTTCAACATACAAACGTGTGTGCTCGCCACAATTTTCCTAATTGAATTTTTGATGATTAAGCTTATTAGACAAAATGCCTGCGGAACCAACGAAGGAGTCATATAATAAATAATGAAACCGAAAACTCATCAGAACTGTAATATGCATTATGCATATATGAACGTATACGACGTTTGTTTTTATGCAGAGCCATGATAACAATCTCAGACCCACGCACATGCTATGGATTTTTGTGTTTTATTTTTTGTTCATTCATTCGTTTGGATGGTTGGTTAGTTAGTTGCTTTATTCTGTTTGTCGACATGTTCATTCATCTCTCCTCTCATACCCGCTGTGTGCAACGCGCAGATTTGTTTAATGTGTTTTTTGTTTGTTTGTTGTTTTCTGTTATTAAAGTTGAAAATAAAAGTTGACCCATTTTCTTATCCGTGTTGGAATATGTTCAACCTAAAACATCCAAGAGCCATAAATGCAACAAACCGACCACAACAAAATATATAAAGACACACAAACACACATACACATACGGAGAGAGAAGATACTAACTCCGTTACCTAGAGGTATCGTATAGCGTGAAGGAATAACGAACAAGTGATAAAAATGAAAAGACGATGACGACGGCGAACAAACAACAACAACAAAATGCTAGTAAGTAGCTCGCACAAGTGAGCCAAGCAAGTAAAACTAAACAAAGTCAAATGAGTAAATATATGAGGAATGAAAATCACGACAAATTTTTTGGTCGCGGTCTGCATGTATATATACCAAACGTGCACCATTCCGAGAAAGAGAGAGAGAGAGAGAACGTGCGCGCTTACTGGCGCACAGTATGGCATTTAAGTATGCTTAATTTCCGTGCAAAGTGTAGTTTCTGTGCCATTAATAGTAGTTGGTGTGTATATGCGTATGTTGGAACCCGCGCGCGTTTCACGTAACCTATATCTTTTTCATTTTACCTAGATTTCTTGGCGCGCACAAATGCGCGCGACGTTTGCCCGTTTTATTTTGGTGTTAGACATCGACATAAAAGCCACACATAACTTTTAAAGTAGTAAAAAAAATTATAAGGAAATTCAGAAAAACAACAAAGGTAGAACATCATGCCATTCAACGGTTCCACCATCCATATATCAGAAACAGAGTTAGAGAGGAGCCACCTTTTTCGGGCGCTTAGCCACAAGTACACAAAAAAAGCACATGCGATGTGAATAGATTACAAATAATTACGAGCGATCAACAAACAAATAATGACGATAATAAAAACGAAAAACGAATTATAGGCCATTAGAGTATAACGCGCCGTTTGCCAATTAAGAATGATGCTAGCTTTGCTGAGCCGCATTTGAAACTACGACGATGCTGCAATACTTCTAATGTAAAAAAATCAAGAATCCATACACACAATCATATTTACATGATTACATGACGATACATGCGATGTTATTGAAGTTATTTAAGTGTTATGTATGTGGCCAAACGACAAATCCAAACACACACACACACACACACATATTCGGAGGAAATTAGTGAAAATGTTTATGTTCTCATCCCGTGTGAATGTGCATACACGGTGACCTGTTAATGGGAAAGGGTTTAATTATCTAATTGGCTTGAATGTGATACCACGTTGTGTATGTGCCATGAGCTTCTCATTTCACATGATACACTCACCGTCATAAACGGAATACATTAATTATACCGTCAGTTTGAATGAATCATGTGTGAATCGATCATAATTGACAGAAAAATGTCGAAAATAGCCAATTGCGAGATTGTGGATCCATAGAGATTACGTATTATTGCGTTTGAACTACAATCATTCACTTTTTTCCATTTTTACAATGACCTATATAGTCTTTCTGACACATTCAAATGCAAAAATTGCTCATCACATTCGTTCGTTCTTGGGAAGTCAATCATAATATTTGATGAACGATTTGAATAGAACCAAGGACCGGTTCGTGCATATTTCCATGCTTGCCTAGAAACGCTAGGTATCATAGACATGCCAAGCATAGCGGCAAATGCAACCGACGCATCGCCGTCCACTGTGTATGAACATACACATGTTTGTGTATGCAGGCGGCCGTGCTTTGAGAGACGTACGCATAAGATATAGCTCGAATCGAATGACGACGGATGCGTTGCGGCTTGAGTCTCCGCTATGCTTAGCATAGCTATCTTGCAAAGAAATATGCGCGAACCGGTCCCTGAATAGAACACGGACCTAATTATTTATTATTCCACGTAAAATTCGATGGAAATATGAACAAATTTTAAACGGAATGGAAATTGATTCTCTGAGAAAACAAATGTAATAAAATAGAATAAAAATAAACTAGATTCTATATTAAGGTACTATACTGATTTCACCATAATATTCGTACCACAAAATATCACAGACCGTTTCTCAGAGCAATAAATGTGAGGAGGATCATTATCAGACTCTGCAAAATATTTCTGAAGAGCATAAATGAATGATTTAAAGCATGAAGGGTATCGGTGATAAATTCAGTTATCGACGATGATTTCATCGATCCAATTCGATGTGACTTTGATTTCTACAGATGGTTTGTTGAATCAATGCATTTTTAATTTGTCACTCTTAACAAATCAGAGACGATGGTTTTTATGAAATCAGAATCAATCAACAAGTCAATCTTAATTTACACATAATGCCGCCATGTAATTACAATTTGAAACCCTTGTCACTTTTTTTTAATTCGATTTTTTCAATTGATGAATTAATGTAACGCCAAAGATTTAAGCAAAAAATGCTTGAACCTCCCAACACTTAAGACGACATTTATACTGTGGAAGTGTTTTTTTCTCTCTAACTTTCACTTGACAGTGTTTTGTTACGTGAAACAATTTCGACCATTAAATTTATTTTTATTATTAGAAAAGTAACAAAAAAAAACGGCAGAAAACTCTTAATTGTACGAAATCGTGTATTCTAATTTTGTTATGGTTTTTTTTCATTCATCCGTTGTTTTTAAGTTCATTTCGATTTATTGGAAATATGAAACAAAAAACTAAACGAAGTTTTCAAATGGAATTTCATGAGCCATTATAAAAAGCAATGCACTGAAAATGTATGTTTACATTAAATACCGTTCAAAGTGAGTATATGTATGGAATTTCCAAGAGAGAAAAATGGAATTGAGTTAAGTAATACTGAATATTTGAATTATATTGTCCCATATTTTTAATATGTCGTCTCTGTCATTCGCTTCGTTCCGTGTACATATGTTTTGAATTTATTATGCATACATCTACGCAAATTCAATGGCATATAACCATTGGAAGAGATACCCGTAACACAATTTTATCGGCACATGTTCAAGACAACGACGACGACATCGACTATTTTCGAAACCGTGATGTTGTTCCTTCTTTTTGCTTTCAGTACAAATTTATAGAGGTGCAATGAAACGAATGCCAGTTATTACATTTAGTATAATTGTTACATGTGATCAAAGCGCTTTCAATAAAGTATTCAGGACATAACGGCATTTTAATACATGAAGCGCATCGTTCTATATCGAATTATCATCCATTCTGGTACTGTGCGACGACTGTGCAATCGAAGAGATCCAAACATACACACACACACAGTCTAACTAACATACGTTCATTTATACATTAAATGAAATAAAAACGGCGCGAATGCTAGCACATATATCGGCACCAATGAATAATCAAATATGAAGCAGAAAATGAGTCAGTAAATCATAGCGTAAAATATGCTAATACGAGTCAGTGTGTGTATGACCAAGTGCCAACAAGTTCTCTCTCCCTATATTTCTCTTCGATTAGATCTGATTTATAGATTGTCAATTAATTTCTGGTCGTTAGAGGTGATTCGGGTGCGACTAATGCCACATGAGTTATGTGTATAAAAATGCGATTAGTTTCTTTTTACCAAGAAGTATTTCGCATTCGATCGAAATTGTCATGGTTAATGTTGATTTTTTAAAGTGATTTATACTTATTTGCGGACAATTTATGAACAGAAGAGAGCGAAAAAAAGAAATTATGAATAAACGATAAGTCAAATGGTATTTCGCGTATTTATGTATACTCACAAGATGCAGACCATGGTGTCGAAAAAAACAGTGCCACTAAGAATGGCACACAAAGTGGAAATGGCTGAATATAATTAAGTATTCAATACAATTAGATCCGTTTTGACATTGCGACCAATCGTAATTTGGTGCCGATATCTATTCGCACACGACTTTCACTCGTTCCACGTATCAATTCGATCATGATTTTGACAAATAGTTTTTTTTCGCTTGATTCTACTTTAGTTAAACGGTTTTAAATTCGACGAGCCAAAAAAAACACGGTCGAAACTCTGTTTTTTTTTTTTTTGGAAACATGCCCATATCTAAATATTTAACGATGAAGGTGTGTTCTAAATTTTTTTAAATGCTTTACGCTTATCAAATAACTTTTACTTTTCGAGATGATGAGGTGAGTAGTATCGATATGTTTTTTTTATTTGGTCGATAGAAATTTGTGTGCCTTTTTTTAAAATATCGGTCAATATTTACGATTTAAAAGAGAGAGATATTCGCATGGCACCCGGACACACGATTCATTGGTATTATTATTGGCATTATTATTCATATTTTTATTTGCTTATTTTCCAAATATATTTATGTCAAGAGGAAACAATATGTATTTTACTTTCATCATTTCGGGTCACCATGGACAATATTCTTGATGTTTGTGTTTAATGCCCAATAAATGTGCAGAAAATATCGATTGAAAAGTAAAAACGAAGACAATCATCAGATGTTGTGTGTATTAT